TGCCACTTCACAAAGTGAGAACATCCGCGTAATTTGTTAGACCTTGCGGTCACGATCGGCACTAATCACGAAACTAGTGTCAAGAGCGATGAGAATAGAAAGCAGCTGTTGAGTGCAAGGTTTTAAGGAGCGTTTTTCAACGCGCCGAGCGAGCGGCGAAACCGATAAGGGAAGGGCGGAAGCATCTGGACAGAGCCCGGAAAGACGGAGGCGAAACCGATGAGGGAATGGGAAAAGGAGAGAGACGAACTGGCCTCGCGATCTAGGGACTGGCGCGCCAAACTGTGAAGAAAAGTGGCAAAATATCGAAAACGGCCTAGAAGTGCCGCCGCCCCTTAACGGTTTCGCTTAAGAGTTTCGCGAGGGTTCCCGCATGGTATGAACTGCGTGCGCAGTTTTTTATCTTATTTTAAAATATTCACACGAAAACTATTCCCGCACTCGAAAAAAGTTCGCAAATATTCCCAAATATTCTTCAAATATTCTCAAAATATTCTCCAAATATTCTCCAAATATTCTCCAAATATTCTCCAAATATTCTCACACATTCGCAAAGTATTCGAATGCTTTTAAATATTCACAAAAAGAAGACGAAAAAGAAAAGAACGCCGCAACGTCTCCGACAAAAATCCCCGCAAGGGTTTCCCGGATCTCCTTATCGGTTTCGCTTCGTCATCTTCATTCTTCCAAAAGACTGGCCACAGACGGGAGGCCTCATCGGTCTCCACGTGGCGGCTTTTCGATAAAACAGCGCCAGTGGGGACTGCTTTTGCCAACTTTTTTTTTCTTTGGTGGCTGGGGTTGCTGGTCGATTTGGAAAAACTTGCACTTTTGTCAATTTCTGCAGCGATATGCATGAACTTTGTGAGGCTCGAGCTCTTCGCAGTTTGAGCCTCTACGGCTCTAGAAATTCCAAAAATGTTAACAAATCAAAAAACTTAAAAAACGGGAAAACGAACAAACTCGCGAACGCGTGCGCGGTTTGTAGTCGCGCTAGAAGCTTAAACGCCGGGCAAGGGTAAGCGCTGGGATGGGTTTCGCGTGAATTTTTTAAAATAAGGCAAAAGATTGCGCACCCAGTTCGTGCAGTGCGGGAGCCGAACTCGATGCGAGGGCTTCGGCGTGCTCGTCGAGTTCTGCGATGGGTTCTTCTCATGGGGCCACCTGGGCGAGCACATGCCGACACGCTTCCCATTAAAAAAGAAAGCTGTAAAGTTCCAGCGCACTCCGCGGACCGCTGAGAAATCCACGGATTGCGGGTCGCTCCGCGAATCGCTGACCGATCGGACCCACGGGTCCGTCGCCGATCGATCCACGGGCCACCGATCGATCCACGGGTCGCCGATCGATCCACGGGTCACTAATCGCGCGTGCCGCGTCATGGGTCATGCGTCACGCGTCAAAGAAGAGCAAGAGGATCAGCTTTATAGTAGGGGGGTGACGCGGTGGGACTAGTGTGGACAGCTCTTCGGCGTTCGGTCCACCTTACGGAGGCCCCCCGCCTGCGAGGGTCAGCAGGGGCCAGGAGGTCCCTGAGGAACACGCAGAGAGGCGCAAGGGACCGCCTTCGCCAAGTTTTGACGCCTTCCACCACTAGAATCCGCGAAAATCAGCGCGGAAAAGCGCGCGCGCGCCACAACAGACCAGACCACCGGGGGGGCCACCGTGCCGCCCTAGCTCATATAGGTTCCAGGGCGCGGGGCGACGCCCCCCCCCCTAGCGGGCGCCCTGGGCCCCCTTTTAAGGCGTCTGCCGGGAGGGAGGCCTCAAAAGGGGGCCCAGTGATCCCTTCCAGCTGCCTGGCTGTTCCCTAGGTAGGGGCCTCCGATGGTGGCGGGAGGCTTCAAAAGGGGCCCAAGGGACCGCCTGCACCCCCGTCCAGGTGCCTGCTTGTGCCCTAAGTGCATCCGTTAGGCTTCGCCGCCGCAGCCGTGCCGCCTGTAGCCTCCGGGCCCTTGGTCATCGGCTTGCTTGCTCTTGCGACCGTGGCCGCCTTCGGCGGCCTTTTACCCCGGAGACCTCCCGCCTGCGAGGGTCAGCAGAGGCCAGGAGGCCCCCCCGGAATACGCTGAGAAACCCAAGGGGAGGCCCGCGCCAAGTGTTGACGCCTTCCACCACTAGAATCCGCGAAAAATCCGCGCGGAAAAGCGCGCGCGCGCCACCACCGACCAGACCACAGGGGGGGAGGGGGGGGCGCCGCGCCATATACGATACGATCTCAAGGGAGGACCACTAGAAGGGGGGGGGGGAGGGGGGGGCGTCCGGCCCTGGGTCATATTTAATATTCTACGAGCAGATCTAGTAACATAAAAATTCTTTTCTCGGTTCTTCGATAATCAAAAACGTCACAGTACGTTAGAAGCTGTCCTACCTTCACTGCACACAAGAAAGAGAAAAGACATAGAAAAGGTGGAACAAGAGAGAGCGAGCGGAATAAGAGTCTCTACCGAGCGAAGGATACGAGAGATGCCTGAAAAAGGAGTGAAGGTATCCCCTGTACCTGTAGAACGTCATAAAAAGAAAGACAATATTTCACTATGTACTTACCCCTAAAGATGTCATTGTCAATTCTATCCAAAAATAACATGGATCCCTTTATGAGCAGTAATATGCCTTGACTGGTCTTGAGGTGAACTTGACCTTGTTCTACAATTGGAGAAAAAGACACTGTTTTAACTAGTGTTCGGGCTCTGCCCTTTTTTTATGTCCTCTCTGACACCTGCGGACGGTTACCTTGCGTAGATGTAAATCATCTTCATAACATTACACTTGGCTCCTGAGTAGGCACAGCAATCCATAAGTTATATATAAGTTTTTGCTTTGCAACAAGCTACAAGTGAGAATGCCGCTTGCACCTGCGACGCCTCCCACCCCGGGAGTGTTGGTGAAGCTCCATGTAGCCAACGAGATGAACGGCCGCTTTGGCATCGTCTTCGAAGAGAGCGGCGACTGGTTCCGTGTTCGCGTTTGCATTAAGGCGCATCAGAATTTATTTGCACAGAAGATAGATTATTTTCACAGTTTCCTGAATAGGCGTACTATAACTAGGATCCTGACGTGGAAATCAATTTCGAAAGTAGATGAAAAGTTATCGCGAGTGCTAATTGTACCACGATGGAGGAGCCTCTGAAGATAGTAAGGGCGAAAAAAGAGGAGCTGGAGGCGATAGAGATGTGCGTTCTCCTTTACGCAAACCTGGAGTCCTCAAAACACCTCGAGCGCTTCGAAGTACTTCATCGATGACTGAGAGCAAGGACATTGATAGGATTGAAAAAACATTTCACACTGTTCGAGCCTTTTAATGGGTGCATCATCAGTATGAGATACAGCAGAACTACCGTTGATGTGGTTGCCGCTACGTCTATGTACTCTCATGTTCAAAGAATATACATCCTGATACGCCGACTTCTCATTAGTTGTGTGGCCATTTTTGAATATTGTTGAGGATCATGTGATGAGGAACTATAGAAGATGCGTCTTGGTATCATCTGCTTTGAATTTGCCGATGAACTTTCCACCCGCAGGATGCAATGGAAAGTATAAATCCGTTGCTGCAGAATGATGTGGACGCGGATTTCCGCCCGCTCATACTCTTGAGCTACTACATCGATGAGGGCTTGCGGAAAACGGAACTCGGTCAGCGACTGGAATCTCGAGACGAGGACGCACAGACTGACGCCGGCGGCGCTAGTGGATTGAAAAAGAAAACGCCACCTGGTAAGATGACGATCACAACTTTTATTTCTGGATTAGGAAAAATATCTACCAGGTCAAATCGCTCAGTAGAAGTTTTAAAACCTAGTGATGGGGCGTCGACTCTCCGCGGCTCCTAAAAAGTGAAACGGAAAGACATACCATCGTGGACGTACTCTAAATGCAAATGAAACAGAACGACGTAGCATCATTCGCAGAGTTGAGGAACCCATGTCACCCGGGCAACACTTCAGCAAGTTGCAGCCATTAATCCCTGTCAATTCCTGGTCCTGCTTTCAAGACGCGGACTCCTTGAGCTGTAGTACTCGCTTTGCAGCATTTCTAGAATTGAGGCTTGCCCACTTCACTCCAATGATTAATTGGACTATTTCTTTCAAATTACAGCTTCTATCGCTTGCTTGTACCTCTCAATTAGGTTAACAAATCACTGCTACTAATAAGCATCTTTCAAGATGATTTCGTTTGTAAGGTGGGAAAAGCATGGGGGCAAAGATGGTTGTCAAGATATTTGTTTCAGGCAAAACCTCTAATAGAAGTCTTACAACAGTTGGATGCTCCCGAGGGAGCCAAGGAAAAGTCCTCGTCGAGACCGCCAGCTGCGGCAACGATTGGCCGCGTCTTTCTCAACGTGCAAGCGGGGTGGTGGCCGGGGATGCTAGAGCGCGTAAAAAAGGACAAGGAATTTGAGCGACCGCGAAACGCCGAAGAAGTCGACCAGCTTTTTGAGGCCTTAGCGTTAGGCGTGCAGCCAGCGCCGCGCAACGAACGTCTCTACCCCTACCTATTTCGTACAAAAGCTTGCTTTGGGCCAAAAGATGAGAGTGGTCCGACAGCGAATGAGCAGGATGCGAAAGCAATCCCCTGCCACTTTAACAAATGCGCGACAGAGAAAGCGCTACTAGCATACTTCGGTGAGCGCATGGAGGAAAGTAGCATGTGCAAAACCAAGGACTGGCAACCAGTGGACTTCGAGGGGACCCCGCAATCCGCGGAGGACCCCCTAGATTGGGCCTACATGCCAGATGCGCTTCTCGTTTAGCTGCCACATCAAATTCGCATTGTGCGTCAATGACCTGTCTACTACCATGCATGCGCAACAAATTTAGGCAACAGTTAAAAATCATGTCAATTCAAAAGTGTTTCAGTGCGGAGTTTCCAGCTGAGACATTCGGCAGTAGATGATTTCAGTCGCTGGACTCCAGCTTGCGAATACTATGGCATACAAGCATTGTGCAAGACGGGCGAGTGGCGTTGAGCGTGTAAATGGGTATTTTCGCGTCGAGATGACTTCTGAATCATGTGGAAATTATGTTATGCGAGATTGAAAGGTCTAGGTCATGCCTGTTGCGGTAAAGATATAGATCATATACATAGAATAAGCAAACTCCAATGACAGAATGACGTTCTTTCGTGCTTTTGTGCAGGAGGTTCTCTTGTGCTTCTCAGTTTTTTTGCACCACTTCGGGTTGGAAGTAACCGCTGCCGTATTCCTAAGGCCGGACCGACAGAAGCAGGAGCAAATCATCGTCGGCGATTGCCTTGTCGTGACAACGACGGCCTCCGATTCGTCGCAGGAGAGAGACAAACCACAGGACCATCAAGGGTCGCTTCGTGGCGACGCGAAGCATCCAACCGGCTCGACATATGGCGGATCCACTGCATATGGCGGCGGCCTCTTCCAGTGTTGCTGCACCTCTTCTTGTGATGCAAACTCGTCCAGCGGCGAGCTTGTGCCGTCAAGAGTGACGTCATTGCACAGTGTCTTTCGCGTCGATGAAAATGCAGTTGAGGAGGTGCAGCCTCGAGATGTTGCGGAGAGGGTGTCTTTCATGATGGGCGGAGCAGGCACGCAGGACTACTACAATGGTGCAGCAACAGAGATAACTAACACAAAAGGAGGCAATCCCGCGCAACAATCCGGGTTCTGCTGCGATGCAGCGATGATGACAGGAGCTGATTGCTGTCCTGCGCGAACAGAGATCACTGGGGAAACGGTTGTCGTCGATACTACAAGACGAAGGGAGCATTGCGAGAGCCCCGATGTCGAGATGGCAGATGTTGAGCTGAGACTAGCTGCTACCAGTAATGACGGAAGCAGAAGCCGTTCCCGCTCGGCGCCCATGCGAAAGACGTCACTTCCCGCCGAGAGCGCTGATGAAATGTGGGATTCCACGCCAGAGCCTGTATTGAACGTAGCTGTAAGCCAGTCCCCAGGAGCTCGGAACAGCAATACAAGCAAGCGTGTGACATCTCGTGGATTTCCGGCATTGCCTGCATTTCTGAAAAACCTGATCAGTGGGCGTGGGGGCAAGGCAGCGAGGAAGAAGAGCCCAGTCGTGGTAACGAGAAGCCGTACGACGGAACCAAACACGCCAGTTGTATCGCCAGCAGAACGTCGAGATGCCGATGCGCCTGTTCGTGCGCGTGACCAGATGCACGGAAGCGATGGCGACAGCCCCGGTTGCACATGTGCAGGAGGTCTGACGCGCCTGTGGCATTCGAATGTAGTGCATGGATCTGATAGAGCATGTGCAAAACCGCCTGCAACGCGACCGAGCCATCATCTGCGGTTGCGTAGACGACGGCAATTGGCAACCGACAGTGCTATGGAAGTAGAGAGTGAATTTCGTGCTGAAACAGCAGATAGTCGTTGTGCCGCCGATGCTACAACTGTGACGGCAGAAGAACAAGAAGGAGACGAGGGTGTTGCGGCTGAGCCGAGTACGCCATCGTTTGGACCAGACGCGTCGCCAGCCGGAGAAAGTGCTGGCAGCACTACGGTCCGCGGCTCGCCCGCGAATGTTGGTCTGAGCAGTCGCACAGCTCGAATTTTTTCGCAATTACAGTTCTGGCGGTGGGGTGCAACTCCTCGTTCGTTGGCAGTTCCGGCGTCGGCGGAAAACAGCGCGATGTCGGTCGACAGTAATACTGATGCTGCGCAACAACCGTGGATGGTGGACGTTCCTGATGTGCACCAGAGCTCTTACTCGGATGAGCTAGTCCATGTGGTCCAACAAGAGTTAAGGCTTACCCAATTACATCCCGCAGTTGTATCATCATTGGCTCCTTTTCTAGGAGGGATGTTCTACTCTGGGATGTGGTAATCTTGTAACCTCTAAGACAGCCGTCAGCGAGTGCGGCAGCTTTGGGCACAGTGCGAGGCCGCAGCGCCGCGCAGTACTTTGTGCCTGGCGACATGTCTTTTCCACATTCGCAGGAGCGCGCGTTGTACCGGTATGATGGATCAGGGGCGGAGCCGACTCAGCAGCCGACTCGCGCAATGCATACCCGAAACACTCACAGCACGGCCAAGAACACGCAGCGCGCACAGGACTTTTGCTTGGATTTCTTTTCCGAATCTCGATACCGGAGAGGTTATGAGGGAGATTCGTATAGCAGCGACCACGGAAGAAGGCATCAGCATGCAGATAGTCGGGATCGACGAAGCAGTAGCAACAGCCGACAAAGAGCCGACGATGATGCGTATGAACGCAGCAAAGGCAGACGAAAGCAGAACAAGCAAGTAGAGCAACACGAAAAGCTGCAACAGCAGACGCAGAATCGTCGAGGGCAACCACCTGTCGAGCAGCAGCGACACGTCCGACACCGCGCACAGAATCAGCGAGACCAAAACAGACTAGTTGTGCCGAACGAGCGTTTCCAATTGGACTTCGACTTCGGGGATTACCAAAGCAATGGAGGCAGTTCTAACGGTAGCTCGCCTGGGTATCAGTATGCGCCAGAGGACGAGGCGGATCTGCACTTCGACACAACCTGTTCCTATTTTCCGCGCTTCGGCATCGATGCTGGCAGCTGGTCACCCGGCAGTGCTGATGGCCTGGCATCTACGGAGTCTGAAGAAATGCGGCGGAGGATGCGGGATGAGCAAGCGCGACATGACTGGAACATTCCGGAAGTCGGATTCGCAACGGTTGATTCCGCGCACAGTGCCGGGATGTTCAGTGAGTACTCCTGCGGAACGACGGTTACATCGTACTAAAATGGTGTACTTCTACACCAGTGGACCGCAGTAGTCAATAGTTCAACGATTCCTCCTTTTCTTCTTCTTACTTCAGCGGAATAAGTCAGATTCGACAGTCTCACAGCCTTATATCAACAAACTCTTTGGCATCGATTTCACTGGCTAGAAAGAAGTCGGCGTTTGTTGTAGTTGCAGTTCAGTTTCGTGTAAGCTAGGCCGGCGCGGGCATCTAATGTGCTTCGCACCGTTGCATGAACACTTGATTGCCGCGAACTTCATTCGGAATGCTCTAATATGTGCAGACTTTCACCAGTTTTTCATGAATATATCTTGTGCAGACATTACATGATTTCTACCTTTTCGGAGCAGGTGAACAGTTGACAACTACGACTAAGTAATACTTCTTTTTTATGGTTGTGACTACTGCTCTTGCAGAATATTGATTGGCCGCCAGACAGTTCACGACTCAAGATGATATAGTCATGGAACAAAAGACAGTTCACCACTCAAGATGATATAGTCATAGAACAGAAATTCAACGGCAGACAAGAAATATGTTTGTCATAGCTCGTGAAAAAATCATTCTTGTAAGGCTTTGACTCTTTTTTTTCGGCATCTTTGTCTAGCGACTTCACGAAATTTGGTCTGCACGCATCACCTGGCATGAGAATACAATAAATACGACGCGACAGCTTATCAAAGATCCGCAGTGTGACTTTGTGCTGCTGCTTTGAAGTATTAAGTAAATGACTATTTATCGAGCAAGCTTGCCTATACCGAGACTTGAATGCCTATTTTGATGAAAAGATACCATAGAAAAACTCTGGTTCTTTCATAAGCCCATTCTCTACTCTCTTGTGTCGTAGTATTTCTTGAATATTTACATCTGATAAGGTTATTTGTTGGTAGTAACCACCTTCTTTTGCTGCTCATCTTCTATGTATCTTGGGCATCGTCTGAAAAAAAATTGCGTCGCGTCACCTTTCTCGAGTTTCTCATAAAAACAATTCGCGCAACCTGAAAACTTGCCTTTTCCTTGTCAGATTGGCCAATGCCTACCAGGCAGTCCTAGTATAATTCCCTTTTATCCTCTCTTGTTAAACTACCTTAGACCTGGAATAAACACACACAATTGACGTTCCTCAACATATCGAGTTTGATGCGGTCTCGTCTGCTAAAATGCCACACAAGTATTTCCATTGCCCATTGTTCTTTGCTCCTACGATATGCAGTTGCAAGAACAGTTTGAAAAAATCTAAAGCACACTACATCTCTTCCCTGATTTTTTTTTTTTTTCAATCAAAATGCGGAGAATCTATGGATCCGGGTTTTTTTCCATAAAGATCCGAAGAATTCATTAACTTGCAAATACACATTCGTAACTGAGTTCTTGTCATTGCGTCCTGGTGTCTTGGAGGCGAAGTGTTCGTAGGTCGTGCAGTTGAAAAAGGAGAGTCGAGAAAGTCTTCCGAAAAGCAGAGTGGTACTGCATTTCTTTGTCGAGGGAGGCCCTACTAGTTTGCCCGACTGCAAAAAAATTGTTGAGTGACGGATGGAAAGTAGGAACTTCAACCTGCTTAAGGCCGCTCACAGAGGAATAGAACTGTCGCACTGCGGAGGCGGGGGAGGCTTGAAACTTTCTCTAGGCACACGTAATGTAGACCTCATCCACCAAATAATCACCAGATGTGTCGTTGACCAGCGACTATTCACACGTAGTCAATAAAATGTGTCCGGTACTACCTCTCGCAAGAAGTCAATAAGATGGCGCAGCATCGCCTGTCGTGTTCGCGAACTGCGATTGTACTGGCGTGCTCCCGGTGCTACTTTGCTTTGTGCGTGGACGGAAAGCAGAATGATGCACGGCACGTGGCGCATTTGATACCAGGTGAGCCTGCTGCAGGCAGGCACAAGGAAGCCGATTATCACTACGATAATGCTGGCGAACTAGATGAGGGTGACACCCAAAAGAAGTTCGTTGGAGATTCAGCCTCCCTTGAGTTGTCGGAGCACGACCTGCTGATGCTGAGAAAGCAGACGCGGTAAAGGCATCGTATGCAGTGGGGGGGTGTCGGGCACACCGAGGCTGACGAGGTCGCGCATCGTGCTGAAGGTATTCCACAAGCCAATGCTGATAAGGTTGTGCACCCTGCTGCGGGCATTGAGGATACCAATGCTGATAAGGTCGTGCACCCAGCTGCGAGCATTGAGGATGCCAATGCTGACGAGGTCGTGCACCCTGCTGCGAGCATTGAGGATGCCAATGCTGACGAGGTCGTGCACCCTGCTGCGAGCATTGAGGATACCAACGCGCGATCCATACGGAATGCATTTGGCCGATCGATACAGCTGGGCCGGCATGGTGCTCCAGGTCTTCACGTCAATGTTTCCGGGAGATGCTCCTGTGGATTGGCGAGCTCTATTCCCCGACTGCACGATGAAGCCGGTTGAACATGATGTGGCCGCCAAATGCATCGTCGAGCATTGCAGCGAAGAGAGCACTTGTCTAGCAGTCAAAGGGAGACTTTACAGGCGATGCTATCAAACAAGGGCGGCAAAGCGCCACCCAGATAATGGAAGGTCGACATCGGTTAATTGGTGCCATCGGATCTTCCAGGACGGGGAACCATCGATGCGCACGAGATGGGTACGTTTGATCCCTGCTCTTGCGATGACTGAGTCATGAGGACAGAAACTTGATGGCGAGTGCAGAAATCAAACATGTGTCGACTTTCTTTTTTTCCCCTACTTGGATTCGTGCAATCAGCGCTTCTCGGTCTGCGCCAGATTTGATTTGATTACTTTTCCTTGCTTTGGTGGTAAATACTTACCACGCGCGGCTGTCCTGCTGCTGCGTGGCAACAGCGAGCGCTCAGTGTTCGTACTTTGGGGCACAGCACAGGAGTTAGGAGCGATCTTTTGGCGGCTGAATTGATGAACTGACAAATGCAGCGAACAAGTGTCCGTCAGGTAAGTATAAAGTTCTCGAATAGTCTCTCCCTGTATTTGATACAGTACCGATGCTATCTTACGTATATATAAGTTGAATTTTGGTGAAACCAATTACAGTTGCTTCATTCTCTACCCTGCTAGCCTGTTCAGTATATATGGAGAAAAATGGCTGCCAAACAAGAGTCCGTGGAGATAAAAGCGGCGAAGGATGCGTTCCAGACCGGCGACTTCAGATTAGCAGAAGAGCTGTATACAACTGAGATACAACAAGCGGTTGCTCAAGACATTTCGGATTCGACTGCGCGGCCGGACCTTCTTCACCTTAGTCGAGCACTTTGCCGGCTGAAACTGCGACGCCCAGCGGATGCGCATGAGGACGTCCTGGCTGTTACGAAGAGTGAAGATCTTCATGCGTTTTGGAGGGAAAATGTGGAGTCCGTGAAACAAATAGGAAATGGGCTACTGGATGGATCCAGCAGTAGTTTCGCCTCTACCTCCACCGGCAGTGCAGAAGAGGCTGAAGTTTCTGAACTTGTTAGAAATAATGCGTTGCTTCTGGACAAGCCGACAACGTCTTCTACAGGTTTGGGCCCGTCATCTTCCATCAGCGACGCAAGGTCTGAGGAGGACCGGCGGCAATTCTTGCAGAAGGCCTTCTACCGGCGAAGTGCGTGCGAGCGTGCTTTAGCATTACATCCTGAAGCAGTTGCAAGTCTGCAAGTTGCCAGTGCCTTCGGGCTTTCCCGAGAGCTTGCGCGACGGCAACTGCAACAAAGTTGGCTGCGCTTTGCTGCGGAAAGCTTGCACGGCTGTTACGACTGGAACAGATTTCTAGATTATTACACGCAGCCCTGGGATTGGAGCACCGTAAAGCCGGAAAAGAGTTTGGAGGTTGCCGCATGGAAACATTCTTGTATCGCCACCCGTGAAATCCCTGGCAAGGGACGCGGGCATGTAGTCGTGGCAAAAATTCAAGATGGCATGACTTCCAAAGCTGCGGGTGGAAGCACATCCGTAGTAGATGGAGAAAGTGAAGCTAGAGAAGTTGTGGTAATTCCGGCGGGGACGCTGCTCTCTGTGGAGCGAGCGTTTGCTCTAGGCAAAAATGAGGAGCTAGTAGACATAGTGCGCAAGCGTGTCGAAAAGGATCGTGACAAAAATCTAGTATCCCGTTTTTGGGCTCTCAGTGACGGGACACCAGAATCCGAAACGCTTGCCTCTCTCGGGGAGGAGAGCAAGAAAATAACACCTGACACCGACAGTGACACCAGTTCGAAGTTGAGTGACATCGTGGATACCAATTGTCACTCATTGCAAATCGTGGATACGTATCAAGCGCCGATGAAAGTGTCTACTGATACTGAGCGTTCAGGGGTGTGGCTCGATGCGGCTTTCGCGAATCATGGATGTTTACCGACGGTTCACCGAGTAGTCTGCGACGAGTGGCTGTTGGTGCGAGCTTGTAGGGATCTTTATGAAGGCGATGAATTGCTGGATTCGTACTGCGAATTGCTGCGTCCGCTTTCCGTGCGTTCGAGAGCCCTGAGTCTATGGGGATTTGGCAGCGGAGGCTTCCGCGCGGCATTGGAACGAGCAGTACTGGAGTCCAAAACAGTAGACAGCATGCTTTCAGAGGCTTCGCGGCGAGCCAGCGCGGACCCACTTTCGTTAGACGCGGCTTGCACAGAGATGGAGGCCTACTGCGTCAGGCAGCTCGATAAATTTCTCTTGGCTGGTCGTGGCATTGCAGACAGTGCGGGTGCAGTCGCGTTTGAGACGTTGTGGAACAAGGAGATGCCTCGCGACTTTCGTAATCGCTTTGGAACCAAATTGCCATTTTTCGTTTCGGCACCGAAATATTCGCCGGCTTTTGTCATCCCAGCAGCACGTTTTATGGAGCTTCGCTATGGCTTTGCGAAGGCGGACGGTCCCACAGAGATGTTGCAGTTCGAGTTTCAGGAAGAGTTGTTAGGCCTCCTACTCGGTGGTTTCGCAAACGCCTTTCGTCTGTGGTTATGGTCAGTGTTTATTCATCTCTCAAAGCATCTTCTCCAAGGTGGTATCCTCTGGGTTTTCCCGTAGATAAAGAAGTGAAGGGTGCACCAAGATGGACTCAGGCTTATTCTTTATGTCTAATTTTAGCAGTAGGGCTGAAGGAGCGTTCCAACGGTATCACCGGGTACGCTGAGGTCGCCGACGGTTTCGACCGCTTTGTGCAGGTGTTGAGACGAATTTTGCCTAACTCAGAGCTTCTTTGCGAAATGCTCTCTGAGCGCTTGAATCATCGCGCGCTGCAGTATCACTTGCAGTTAGACCTCATGTTCGACAAGAAGGCATCCGCTTGCAGTGCGTCAAGTACGACAGCCGCACAGCGGAGCCAAGTAGTGCGCGAAGTGGTGGAGACACTGGACTGCTTTCATAGGACATACTGTTTTCCGGAGACGGCCGAAACTGTTTACCGCGTGTGGGAAAAAATCAGCAACAAGCTATTCTCAGATGATACGAAAGCACAGGTGCGCGCGATTTGGCTGCACGAAAGCGCGAAAGGGAAGACGTCGGCCTCGCTGCAGCGCAGCCGCTTCGAGGAAATTTCGTCGCAGATCGATTGTCTTCTGCCACCAGAAGAGGAAAAGAAGCTTCGTCCCAAGCCAACGCGGTCAAAGTTTGCTTTCGATCAGAAGCCTGAAGCAGCAAAGGAGGCACGACCGCGACGTGCTGCATCTTTCGTTGGTGGGGGTGGTGGAGGAGGCGCCGCCCTCAACCAAAGCATCAATCAGGGTTCGGTGGTAGAAGTGCCGGAAGAAGGTTCTGACAACAAAGAAAATATCGATATTTCGTCATCAGCAGAGCAAATACTAGAGCAGCAAAAATCTTCATCGGATGCAGCACCGAAAACAGCGAACGAAAGTACAAAACTGGCGGACGCGGGTGGTGAACCGATAATGAGAAAAGGATCGTCGCTGCTATCAACAACCGAGGCAACGTTGAAAGAAGGCGAGGATTACGTATTGGAAGATATTTCGGGAGGCACTGCACAAGGGAAATCCTATCGAATTTACCTGAACGGCCTTAGTTCGTGTCCAGAAGTTACGGCTCACGATGGCGGCTTTGTACGCGTGGGGAAAGACATTCTAGGTCCTTTGTCCGGTTTTCAATTTGATTCTTTGTCAGTGAAGTTCTCTCGCTCAAAGCAACGCCTGACATTGTGCTGGAGCGAATAGCAAGGACGGTTTTCATCGTGCCTTCATTGAAAGCATGGCTGAGCTGGCTATACTGTAGGTACGCCGAAAAAACCAAAGGATGAGAGCTTGCGTGGTAATTGATTTGCGAATAGTAAACGTCGGAGTACTAGAGCCAAACTGAAGGAGACTCTCTTTCACACGCCACAACAAGCTCAGGAGAGTTTTTTTCATACGCCACGATTGTGTCCATGCAAAATCTGAGGAATGAGAAAGTTCGGGCGAGAAATATTCTGAGATGATTTTTAGTTCCAGCCAGTCGATCTCCGCGAGAAGACCTCATGTGGGATTGGAATCAGCGAAGATGAGAGTCAGCACGTGGAGGGCACATGGCTTGATCGTTGTGCGACGCCAATGCGTGGATCTTCGGCTTTGATCGGTATTGATCCCCTACTGAAATCGTTCCTTGAATATGCTGCAGTAGTCATTTTTGTTTTTACTGTTCTCTGTGATCGACAAGTAATGACGCTGTTCTTGCATCAGGAATGTGCGAAGACTGCGTCTTGTGCTCAACCCTTACCTGCGGCAGATCCGCGTGTCGGCGAACGTCCGGAATACCGATGTTTGGAGGAAAAACCGAAAGTCTCGTTCGAGTCTGCGGAGATGAAGCCAACTTGTGGCCTTAATCTTCGGTCGATTCAAAGGATACGAGATCGACTGAGCGCGTCGTCTGCAGTGCGCGTGATGAGCAGGTTCTTGCGTGTGGGGAGTAGACACGAGCGTAGTCGTGGAAGAGTTAGTTCTGAAAAATGCAGCTCTGGGTCAAGCTTTGCAGCAGCACCCTTCAGAGTATCAGGCGCAAGGAGCGCCAGACAAAGAGTACAGCAATCACGAAGTCGAATGAGACCGCAGCAGAAAAGAATATTGAAGGGATGTATTTCTTCGACACGCCGAATTTCGAGAATAAGACAATTGATGTCATCATGTTTCTGCTTCTTGTCATCGACATTTTGCACCATGAGAACATCATTTGGGGCGCTGCACCTGTGCGCACTTACTCTGCTTTCATCGCTCCTGCTTGCCGTCGTAGCGATTCCGGTAATGCGTCGACTAGAGACGGACGACGCGTTGCATCCAGAGTGCATATGGAAGGACGACCCGTTCGACGACTTGAAAGATGTGCGCATATATGCTCTGATCTACTACGGCCGCCGCAGCTATGTGGACATGCTCAATGCGTATTTAGAGAGAAATTTACGAGAAAACGGCGGCGTCTTGGACGGCGTTCTTTGGGCCTTGGTGAAATACGATATGGCTGATTTGCAATACTTGGTTCAGCTGCAGCGTCGCAACCCACGAAGCTACTTTATTCCGCCGATAGAGGGTGGCGGCTGGGACGTAATTTGGAAAGTCGTGGATGAGCCTGGAGCCTACTACGTAAAAATTGACGATGACGTCGTCTTCATTGGCGACGGAGCGATCCCGGAACTCGTACGCGAGAAGCGGCGGGGCCGATTTCTCTTCGTGAGCGGGAACGTGATCAACCACGGCATTGTGTCCGCGGTGCACCAGGTAAGTAGATACAACTTGTACTTGTACATATAATTCTCTGAGTGAGTAACGTTTATTCTGTGAGTCCCAGAAGGAGAAGTGCCTCGCGCCCCGTAAGCGACGACTCCCGTAAGTGCCTCACGCCTCGCGTAAGCGACGTGTCCCTTAAGTGCCGCGCGTTCCGCATAAGCGCCGAGCCTCGCGTAGTTTTCACGTGCCTCGCGCTCGTTTATCGCCAAGGTTTCGCGGAGCTTAGTCGACTGAAGCTGTCACGACACATGGCTTCATTGAGGCAGTCACTATTTGTGCGACGCACGGCTTAAGCGAAACAGTCACTGCTTAAGCGACGCGGAGGTTAAGTGAAGCAGTCACCACTTAAGCGACGCGGAGCTTAGGTGAAGCAGTCACCACCTGAGCGACGCGCCGCCGAAATGTAACGGACGGCACGCAGGGAAGAATCCATCTGAGGCTTTACAAGTGCTTCACCATTTGTCTTGAAAAATCCACCTGAACACCCTGTACCAACAGGAAATGACGCAGTATCCATGGTTGGAGAAACCAGAACCGGATGAGAGCGGCAAGCTCGGCAAATGGAATTTCAAGCAAGATGTAATGTTGGACCCCAACTTTCGAATCGAGCATACGTTTTATTCGGATTGTATATGGCGTCGGTGGGACTGCGCGGCGTGGAGCCACGAGGTTCTACTTCACAGAATAGAACAAGGGAGCATGTGCGCGCTGGATTTTGGTATCGACGAAAGTTGTATGCGTAGTAAGCTGATCAAAAGACGAGACGAGTCTGAAATCTAGTTTTGATTTTCGGGATCGCGCTCTGGTGTTGCGAGTGCTCTGAGTAGATATGATCTCCTAAGGAAAAGGAAAATACCTTTTCTTCCTATGACCACTGACCTCCTCTGTTCCAAAATAGCGTGCTTTCTCACAGGTGTTTTTGATTTTCATGCGCACGGTTACGAAACCATGTCGGATGGAATTTCCAGGCACGTCGACTGGAATATTAATTTCTTTGCGTTTGCGTATGACGATTTTTCGGATATCAGTTGGAATGGCATTGCCACCGACGATGAGGGGGAGTTCTCCACACAACATCCGAAGCGGCGCAACCAGCACGCCGCCGCTTTGGGACGAGCAGTAGTGGCACATTGGTCCTTCTCTATCCAGGAGAACGGCCTTGTCCAGAATACGACTCTGCTGGAGCGGTATCGAGAGTTAGCAGAGAAATTGATGTACGAAAACGCAGTTAACTTCTACAACGGAGTTATGCAGCCAAGGGGTCACGTGTAGCTCCAAAGAAACAACAAAACAAATCTAATGATGCTCGAAGGGCCTTTCTACCCTCACCTACAACCACTGGTAGATGGGTCTAAGAATGGAATTCGTGGTTGGAAACAAGATCGGAACGCGCTCCTTTTTTATCAAGTTTATCTGTAGTCATCATTATTGCTTGAAAATTAATGATTGCACTCTCCATCAATGATTCTCGCGCTCGCAAGACAGAAGGTTCTAAGTCAATATGAAGAATGCAGTTTGACGGTGACTTTGTTGTTTCTCTACTGTGTCAGTGACTTTGTTGTTTCTGTACGATGTCACTGAAGTGTGTCAAGGAAAGTTGCGCTGTTTGTCTGATCTTGCTGGGCTCGTTCTCAACGAAGGGCTTCAATGAAAGAAGACGAGTTCTCCGGAACGGAACGTTACCTGCCGACATGGAACGGCACGGTGTCCCCCACCTGCCTTTGGAGGCTCATAAGTGTTCGACGAAACTTTCTTGTTGTCATCTCATGACAACATTATAGAGGCATGACATGATGTTGATGTGTAATAGCAGGCAGGCACTAGCACCTGCTTTTCGTGGAGCTGCCTTCTGTGATATTTGACCTTTTTTACGAAGCTGATTTTTGCAAAAAGGAAGAAACTACATCGGTAAGAAAAGGTTGAAAACGACTTGAGAAAGTATGTAGTAAAATTTCTCAATCTATCAATGATTACTCTAATGTCCTATCAACAGGTGTGTCTAACGCTAGTTGAATGAAGATATCGCTGCATGAACTTCTGATGCCAAGATTAGTACGCCCTTTTCTTCGCATTATTAAGAAGAAGTCTATAAATCATCCGATTTCGATGGTTTTTGCGGATAATATTCAGCGGACCAAATTAATAAGTGTTGTCGCAATTGATACTACGCTATTTCTGAATGCGACTTACTTTTCAGAAAAAATAATATACTAGCCTGTCGCCAACAAAGATGCAAAGACATGTCGCTTGATCAGTCATCTCGGTAGTGCGTTGCTTGCGTGAAGAGGCACGATGGGCGGTGGCGGGAAGACCAATAAGGTCGCCGTCATTGACGGCCGCTATGTGTCCAAAGGCAGCAAGGGCAAGAAAGGTGGAAAGGGGCAGGGGAATTTCATAGGCGGCGTTGGTAAAGCCGGCGACGGAAAGAAAAAGGGTGGCAAGAAAGGCGACGGAAAAAAGGGGAGCAAAAAGGGAGGCTTCGGTGGTTTTCGTGCCGAAGTGGACGACGATGACGACGACGAACCGGTCGCGAGAACGAGAAGGAAACAGCCTGGCGATGAAGATGTCGACCTGGAAAGAAAATTCGGCATATACGTCATGAGAAGAGGCGATAAAAGAACTGGGTAAGCATACATAAAATATAGCAAGAAACGCCTTTACCTCTTGCTTGAAGAGGAGCAAAAAGGCCGTTGTTGATTTCAAGCAGTTATATATTCGTTACAATGCGGCTCTCCGGTACGCAACGACATCCCTTGTAGCCCCCGACTATCTAATCTCTGCATCGGCTTATCAATCTTTGCATTCTTGTCCACACGAGTTAAGGGTTGAAGCATTTCATTGCTACACGCGCTTCTCCTTTAGAATTGCTACTCAAACATGAATTGTCTCAACCTTCAAATCAAGGTATCTCTTCAATATGCGAGAAACCATTCATCGTGTTGAATCGAGCGGAAGAGAGATAGCCGGTCTCTTGCTCTACTGCATTGCGCGAGACGGAAGCACCTTTCGAGCAACACATCTTTATCGTCCATACTTCCTCGTACGGACAGTAAAAAACTGTCCGGACCGCGTTCTCGAGCTCATTAGGAGCACGTTGCAAGACCAGTTCTCGACGAGTGAAACCGGCGTGAAGCAGGTACGATGAGATTTTGGTTTTAGAACGAAAATCTGAAGCATAAGTTTTCCGTTCTATACTACAAAAAAATGAAGTTTTATTTCCCTGACAAGAATTGCAGGTCTGCAAAGCCACCATAATCGAGAAAGAAGATCTCTCGCTTGAGGATCACCTAGTGGGCAGGAAGAGAAAGTTGATAAAGCTCAGCTTCGACAATTCCTCCCACATGCGACAAGGCTTAGACGCGGTTGGAGACTACGAGAAGGAAACGCGGAAAGCGATGGGCACTAAGGAGGAAAAGATTTACTCTCTAGATCTGCTGAAGAAGCAAGACGAGAGGATCGAGCACTGGATCTACGGCCGATTAGAATGGGATGTGACGTACATGAACCGCATTAGCATAGACAAGGGAATACGCTGTGGATTGTGGTTCGAGATAGACTACCCACAAAAAGTTCTTTACGAGGATGCGAGTGACGACGCGAAAGTCGAGGTACTTGAGATCAAATTTTGGTGCTTGATGCTTGCTGAATATTAAAAGTCTCTATACCTCTTCGAAAGTGTATGCTCCCCCTATTCACCTTAATGCAGTTCTCTACTCGACATCACAGTATCAACTGACGCGACACACGCTATTGGAAGAGATGGTGGATAAGCCGTCTTGGCGCATACTTGCCTACGATATAGAGTGTACCAAAGAACCTTTGAAGTTTCCAGACGCGGAGAAAGACTCTATCTTAAGGCAACATCAGTTATTTCATACATTTACGCTTCATTTTGCGCGTATCAAGAAGAACGAGAAACGTGCCAGATGTGAGAAGCAAATATGAATGGTTTCAGCCTTTAACAGTCTCTCTGATTTCGCTGATGGCGGACGGTCTTGGTTTTCTCATCGTAAACCGGGAGATCGTAGCAGAGGACATCGACGATTTCGAGTATACTCCAAAACCCGAGTACGAAGGTATATTCAAGATCTACAACGAACCGAATGAAAAAGCGACGTTGCTGCGCTTTTTTGAATTGATTCGAGATGTGGGACCACACGTTATCACAACGTTTAACGGTGACTTCTTCGATTTCAACTTTATACGGATTCGTGCCGACCTCTTGATGGGCGAGTACGAAGGCAAAGATTATGGCTTCCCCTATTCCATTTCCGGAAGCACCTTAGAGACGTTCCCAAAGGGAGAACGGTCGCAGGATGAGCTTCGACTTGGATTCGGGTGAGGTCTAAAAAGAGCAGCCCGCGTGGTCGACGGTGATGTACAAGGAAGTAGGTATTGGTCAGGAACGCCAAGGCTACTACACTGGTAAGTGGATCACGCACTTGGATTGCTACGCGTGGGTGCAACGAGACTCCTATTTGCCAATGGGGAGTCGAGGTTTGAAGGCAGTCACCCGGTACAAGCTGAAGTACGATCCTGTCGAAGTCGACCCCGAGTTGATGACACCATACTGCACGGAGCGGCCACAGGAACTGGCGGAATACTCGGTCTCCGATGCGGTCGCGACGTACTACCTCTTCATGAAGTACATTCACGATTTCATTTTCGCGTTGTGCTCTATTATCCCTTATCCACCAGACGACGTGCTCCGGAAGTTAAGCCTCAAACCATTTGTTCATTTCATTTTTACCCGTACAACAGATATGACGGTGCTTCTAGTGTTAGCTAGAAGACTGGACTATTACAATTGTTTCTCACATGCTTTTACATCTAGATGGCTCTAAGTTATGGTTCGGGGACCTTGTGCGAGTCGCTGCTGATGCGCGAGGCGTTCGCCTGCAACGTGGTGTTTCCGAATAAGCACGAGGAAGCGGCGATTGACTACCACAAGGGCACGCAGCGCTTGATCGAGCAGAAGACGTACGAGGGAGCGCGTGTGGAGTGCATGCGCGTCGGCGTCTTCCGAAAGGACCTCAGCGAGCGTTTCAAGCTCGATCCGGAAGCGTTCGGGGTCCTACTCGAAGAGGCTTACGTTAAGGCTAGTTTATCACTATCCCATGTGATTGTGAACTATGCTGAGTGGAGTAGGAGCACCCCTTGACTTCAAGGGGAAACAAAGGGGGAAACAGGGCATATCACTCAACCTGGGATAGTGAAAAACTAGCGTTAATTACGACACTTGCAAATTCTTCTGCGAAGTCGAAGAGGGTACGAAGATCGGAGATATCGAAAATTTCGATGAGCAAGTGGAGCTTTTGAAGTCGCAGTTGTTGGCACTGTGCGATCCGGAGAAGGTAAAATTGCAATTAGCCGCCGAAAAAAGGCTTGCTGCGATAGAACGGGGCATGTCGATGACCGCAACGACAGGGAACATGATTAAGGCAAGGTTATCACTATCCCATGTGGACTATGCTGAGTGGGTTCCCCTTACAAATCCCGGGAAATCTAAGGGGAAAGAAGGCAAGTAACTCAACCACGGATGGTGATACTCTAGCGTTAACATGAGTACCACGCCCGGCATTGGTGGAGGTCTTACCCCCTACGACGGCGCACTGACGCCTTTCATGGAGCAAGCAGTCGCAAATGCAGCAGGAGGCGAAGGCGCGAGTGGAAATCTGGCTACCACACAAGGCGAGCCCACCGATTGGGCTAAGGACTTGAAGTTCTACGAACTAGAGATGGTAGAATGGGAAGAAATCGAGGGTACAGCCGGCGTCAAACAAGGCGGCAAAACGAAGAAAATGCGTGCTAAGCGCGTGGTGCTCGAGGATTTCCCGTTGATCTATCACTTGGACGTTGGTGCGATGTACCCCAACATCATCTTGTCCAACCGTTTGCAGCCTAGCGCGATGGTGAGCCCCGAGTTTTGCGCGAGCTGCAGCTACAACGACCCTTCGAATAATTGCCAGAGGCGCATGGAATGGAAGTGCCGGTATGAACTTTTCCAGACCAGTAAGGGCGAGGTTCGGAACATCGTGCACAAACTGGCGGAGCCATCGCAACGCTACAATCATCGAGACCCGAAGACAAGGCAAATCACTCGCGCGCCTTGGAAGGAACTCACAGAGGAGGAACAAGCGAAGGAGACCATCGCAGCTGCACGTGCCTACTCCCAGAAAGTGCACAAACGCGTGAAAAACTCTTTGTACGAGGACCGCACCGACATTGTGTGCCAGCGCGAGAATCCTTTCTACGTCGACACCGTGCGTAACTTCCGAGACCGCCGCTACGTCTATAAGAGAAAGAACAAGGAGTGGGGCAAGCTGCGGGAAAAAGCGATTGAAGAAGGCGACCCCGTGAAAATTCAGGAGGCTAACGACCGTGTCTTGCTCTACGACTCACTGCAGCTGGCGCACAAATGTATTCTGAACAGTTTCTACGGTTACGTCATGCGAACGGGTGCGCGGTGGCACAGCATTCAGATGGCGGGCATTACGACATTCACGGGCTCGAATTTGATCCGTGAGGCACGTGAATTCGTCGACCGAGTCGGACTGCCGATAGAACTTGATACAGATGGTATCTGGTGCATGATCCCGAAGCAGTTTCCAGACACTTTCAATTACGACTTAGATAGTTACAGAAGTTTTGGCATATGCACTACTGCAACTTCCACGTCATACTTTTTGTAAAGTTGGTTGGGTCTTCTAGTATTGCGTCTTTCGCATTCTAATTTTGATTCAAGATGAAGAAGTCCTTGCCCTTCTTCGTCTTCCACGTCATACTTTTTGACTGCAGTTTTCAATAGCATACAAGCTCAATATCTACTCGCACTTCTTCGCCCACGGGCTACAGCTAGAAACAGCCCGCGGGTTAACCAGTGAGCTTCACACTCTAATAGTGATTCAAGACGAAGAAGGGCAAGGAGCTGAAAATGACGTATCCAAACTCTGTCCTCAATTTGCGAGTTGACCAGAAGTACGCCAACCACCAGTACCAGACAGGCAACGACTACTTAAGTTTTACCACATTTCATACCAAATATCAGGCTTATCATGAGTAGTGTGGAGTAGTTCTAAATGCGCATTACATGCTCCACATTGCTCCATTCTCCGTGGCTTGTTTTCCACTAGGAAAGAGCTCACGAAAGATGGGCCTCAGGAGTGTAATGTTGTTGGAATCGTTAAACTCCTACGTAAACAAGCAGGGAGAGAAGTGCGAGGCGACAGAGCCAGGCGCTGTTAAGACGACTGACTGGACCAAATCCAAAGAGAACTCGATTCTGTTTGAAGTCGACGGTCCCTACAAATGCATGTGCTTGCCGGCATCCGTGGACGAAGACCGCATGTTGAAGAAGCGATATTGCGTGTGGGAAGATGACGATTCTATCGCAGAGTTGAAGGGTTTTGAGATGAAGCGGCGCGGAGAGCTCAGGCTAATTCAGGTAGATCAACACAATTCGTTTAATAACGAGAGAGATACGGAATACTGATCAGGGCAACTGACCATGACCATGAGAGAGATGAACTTGCTTGCCGAAAAGATTTAAAGGCAGTGTGGCAAATAGCTCAAAATCTTTGTAGTTGCCTGAAGAACTTTTCATTGCCTCGACAACTAGAAGAAGTACTTTGATGATCTCCTCGTTTACAGGTCTTTCAAGAAGAGCTCTTCGAATCCGGCGCTTTTTTACGAGGCAGTGATCGTGCAGGCGTGTGGCAAGACTTGGGAAAATTAAGGCTTCCCTTAATCCATCTTCGGAAGCATCCGCGCGAGGCACTTCAAGGGAAAAGGCGCCCGGGATGCACCATCTTAAGATGGAGGACTCGGACGAGCTCTAAGAAAAGTGGCGAACCGTTGGGTTGATGTCCTTGACAGTCGAGGCGCAAGCTTGACGGACGCTGACTTAATCCACCTAATCTCAGAAAGGAAGTCGATGAGTAAATCAGTGAACGACACACCCACAACGCAGAAAAGCGTGCAGGTACTACTTACACGCGTGATTGAGCTTCTTTTGAACGACATTTCGTAGGGTTAGTAGTTGTCTCTATGTGTATTCAAACGCTAAACATCAGTTAAAGTTTGTTGATCATGAAAGTTTTATTCGATGTTTGATGAAGGAAATCCTCGTCATTTTCTTTCCTCTGCTCACGTATTTCGTGAGCTCAAGAATTGTGTGCTTCTCTTCAAACCAGGTAAGCTGTGCAAAGCGACTCGCGTGTATTTTGGGGAATGAGATTTTAGATGATGCAGGACTGTCATGTCACTTAGTCATTGCCGAGAGACCAAAGGGTAGCCCCGTGACGCAGCGCGCGATTCCTGTGAAGGTGTTCTCGGTTGACGAGTCCGCAAAGCGTGCGTATCTGCGCGAGTGGCTCGGAGACAAGAACATGACGAGCTTCGACATGCGCGCAGTCATCGACTGGGCGTATTATAATTGAGGCTGTAGCTAATTCATCTTTGACTGCATCCTCGAAACGTATGGGGAAGTATTGCAGGGGAATCCTTTGCCATACTTTTCAAGGATGCACCTGAAAGATGAATCGCGGAGAGCTCTAATATAAGGAGCGACTGGGGTCCTCAATTCAAAAAATCATCTGTATTCCATTAAGGCCCCGACTTCATTGGTCACTGAGAGTGGTCACAGATATCGAGGAGGCGCCCGCCTGAGAAAACAGGGGATATCTACGAGAAAACAAGTGTAGAGTCGCCCTTCAGAATCAGTGGAGCCCTTTCCCTTCCAATGACTGAATGACCAATGACTTTCGACCTTTAATTTCAGCAGTGATGCAGCGGTTTCCAAATCCGGTTCCGCGAATTCCAGTGCCCGAATGGCTGGCGAAGCGCGAGAAGCAGTGGAACCAGCAAGGGAAACAGTCAAGTATCTTGGACTGGTGCATGCCGGAGACTGCGGCCGAAGTGGCAGCGCCACTGAAGCGCGCTCGATCTGGAGACGATATGGAGGACTGCGTTGGACGCTTCGGCGCCAAATCGGACCTATATCATACCTCCTCCGGTCCGGTCAAGGTAGCGCGCCGCTACGTGCCGAAGCCAAGAGACGCTGATGGCAATGACTTCTTTGGTGACTATGCGGAAGCACCAGAAGCTATTCTCGCGCAGAAGCAAGCAGAATATGGTATGATCTGAATATAAGTAACTATTTTTCGCAGAAGTAGATGAAAAGATCATCAAGAGCTGGCTCTGATTGGGCATTGATATGTGAATTAGCACTCTGACTACTCGAACATCTTCTACTCCATCAGGTAGTAGTGCCGATTCGATCTAGTCGAACATCACAATTTGTTTTGTTTCTCCCTGTTGTATTGTCTACACCAAAAATGATAATCAGGAGTGATTTATTTGAACCACAATTCTAGAGAAGTAAACTCTTAAATTTTGTCTATGGTCTACCTGCTTACTTAAACCACAACTCTAGCCGAATCGTTGATGAAGCAGAATATGGGCATCATCGATGCACCGAAAGTTTGCGAAGAGCCTAAGCGGATTCCCTACAGCGACACTGTCTACTGGAACGAGCAACGACTGAACGCGTCGCAATGGCGAATCGTTTGTGTGGAGTCAGCGGAGGACCGTGAAGGCAACGAAACGCGAGAAGGCGACGAAGTTTGGTGCCTCCGGAATGTCGGGCCGCTTGAGGCTGGACAAGAGGAGCCGAGCTGGGAGTCGGAGAGGGCAGTTGTGGTATCGTTTTACAGGAATTACACGGTTGGCGGCTCTTCCGCGTCCGCCGCGCCGCAGCAGCCAGCGGCGGGGATCAGTCTTTTCGGGGGCGTCGCAACGATGGGCGCTCCTGCGGAGGTGGCAGAAGCAGCATCCCAACTTGATAGCAGTAAGCCGAAACAGCAGGAGCCGCTTGTGGAGCAGCGAGTGACAGTGCGTTTCGTGAACGATGGCACACAGCAAACTGTGCCGTACTCGTGGTTGGCGGGTGGCGCAAACAGCGGTCTCCTCACCGTTTGGTGTGTGAGCGACATCCGCGAACACGGCTTGTTCAAGTGCCAGGTTGAGATGAAGCGGCCGGTCCGTTTCGGCGTGCCCAACGCAGACTACGCAAAAGAGGTCTCAAAGGAAAACCTGAAGCCTCTGCGCTTTGCGAACGCGCAAGTCGGAAACACAGTGCGACCCTTGGACATAGTAAGGGATGGCAACAAGGAAGGCCGAATTCGCGAAGTCGTGGCAGAGCGGCCGCTGGACTACGATGCCCTGTTTCCTGAGATGAACGGCGTCTTTCGGCCCTTCGTGAAGGTGAAGTGGAGCCATTTCGTCGAGAACACGCTTTTGGTGAAAACTGAAGATGTTCTTTTTGTCGACGAGAATGCACCCGATTTTCTGCCCGTGCACCTAGCGTCGAATGCGAAGCCCGTGAAGATGCGGCCGCCGCGCAATCAGGCGTTCAAGTGCGACAAGACCGGCGAAAGCTTGGTCCTGCAAACGATGGTTCCAGAAACCGAGTTCCAGACTAAGAAGAGCGAGGACGCGCTCAATGAAATGCTTTCGCGAGAACAGGTAGAGTCTGAGAAAGTGTACGAGGCAGAAGAACCTCTAGACTTCAAGTTCATTTCGCAAGTCGGCAGCAGAATCAACGTACCCTGTGATCGTCTGACGGATGCGCAGAGGCGCTATTTGCGATTCAAAGTGACCGATCTTTCTGTGTTACCGCCGAATGACGGTGAGGAAATAGCGTTGGACAATGGAATCGCTGGAAATCTAGCCCGGTTGCGGAGTGAGGAAACAATCGCGTACAGCAGCTCGCGTCACGCTTTTCTCTTCGTTTCGGTCGAGAAAGGGAAGTTATGCATAGGGACGAATAGATGGAAGCCAGAAGGAAAAAATAGCACAGTGTTTGTTTCTCTTTGTCGTGCTCTTGGTACAAAGAGAAGAGAAAGTTGGTGCGTCGGCAAAAGCAAACAAATCGCAGGAAATGTTTCGTCTTCCCAATGATTCTCCATGGTCATCTGAGACGCAATGATGATGATGATAATAGAAGGTTTCCAATAATACATATCTCTATCTAAAAAAGGACGGCAACCCTAAGCAGTCTGCGGAAGACGACGATGCACCAGTGAGCACTAAGAAGATGCAACGCGCAGTTTTCGGGTGCTATGCACCTTTAAGGTCAGACTTTATCCATCTTTCTCGGCATCTCGGTGCCCTTTTGTTTCCCTTGTATTCTTTTGAGGGGAAATATAGTGGTCGAGATGAGGGGATCGAGATGGATAAAAGCCGGCGCTAACACCTAGCTGCAATCATGCTTCAATGGTCATCTGCGGCCCCGCACCGACTGAAGAGGAAACTACAGATGAGCTGCGAGACGAGCTGTACAACAAGATACTCGAGACGCACATGAAGTATTTGGCCCATGATGGCGTCTGTCACGAGGCGCTGCTCGAAACGATGGAGGCGGTCGTCGTCTTCGTGAGCGATTGGGAAGAGCTGAGCTCCGAGGCCACGAGTGTTTTGGAGCAGCTGCGCGAGGTCACTGGAGAAATGATCTACGTCCTCAGCTCCAACGTGGACTTGAAGGAACTTCGCGGGTTAGGCGTCGTTGCGTCTAACGTAGCGGTCCTGCCTCTGCGCAAGAAGGAAAAGAAAGCCGGTCGTAGCATCAAACAGATTCCGTGTTTGCGTAAAGCGCCGATCGCCTTTAGTGCGCTCAAAAAGGATGACAGCGTCTTTCCCCCGGTGACAGAGGACATGGGCGCGTGGGCCATCAAACGCTTCTCGAGGTCGGTCAAGAAGCGGCACTTGTGGTGGCTATCGCAACTGTCCTTTGCGCGCTTTGCCAATCTTCCGGTCTGTAACCTGTCTCAGTCCTCGACCCCCGGCTTAGACAGCGCGAGCACGAAGCGCTTCACGTGGGACGTCTTGTATAACCGGTGCTTGAAGAAGAAGGAGCTGCTTACGTGGGCCTCGCGTCGGCCCTACCCTGATGTGGGAAACTACGCTCTGAGCAACGACGATATTGCAGAATTCAACGCGAATACACTGAAGCGGCTTTTGCCGTTGTCGGCTGCAGCGGCCGAAGAGCAGAGAGACGCGCGCGCAGCCTCGATGCGGCTCACAGGTCTGGACGAGATCGAAGAGGAGAACCATCCAGGTTTTTACCGATCGGTTTGTCTTACAGTCAAGCTGCACAACGTTCTGATAAGTTGCGGCGTCGCCAACGCCGTAGAGATCGCAGACGAGTTCAACAGCGAGATCTCCCTTTACCGCAAGCAGCGGCAAGAACAGAAACAGGAGATCCTGGAACACACGGAGGAGTGCGGCATCCCGGCGATGGAGGCGCTGGTTGCGACTGCACGGCAGCTGATCTGGAAGGCAGAGGTGCAGCAGACCTCTGCGCGCACTGTTCGTGGTGACCTTCTCGGGACCAAGAAGAGTTTCATCGAAATCATCAAAGAGTTCATGATGTTAAGGCTGTCGCAGATGCATCCTGCACGCCATCCTTGACCTCTTCTGCAGCTAGACAAAAGGGCCAAGTATGCGTCCAGGGATGCAACTGTGATACTTCTAAAGATGAAAAACAAATTTGAAGAGGATAATTTCCTGCGGTATCAGGAGTATTTGCGGACAAAGCCGGCGAGGATCAAAAAGGAGAAAGAGAGGAAGCGGGCAGCAGCTGCGGCGGGTGCAAGCAGCGGTAGCAAACCGCGACTTTTACCGCGCGAGGACGAGCCAGAGGGCGTCAAGCAGGGCGGAAACTATCAGGTTGGCGGTAGCTCGAGCTCTACCTCCAAAAGGCGGCGTGATGACGACGATGCCATGGAAATTGTAGATGAGGACGGACAGCCCGTGAGTAGCCAAGTAGTGTGTGACCGCGATGGCAATGATATGATTGTCGACGACGAGGAGCCTGGAGGTGGTGGCGACGATGCGGTCGATGAGAATGGAAATCCGACTGGACGACTTATGCGACCAAGGGATCATGATGAGGTGGACGAAGATGCCGCAGCTGTCTTCCTAGATCCAGACCTCCTGGCTGAAATGGAGGCCTACGACAAGGAGTTTGACATCACGGAGAGTAATTTGAGTGAGATTGTGGCGAAGTTGCTGGAGGAACCAGAAGTGGTCGCAGACCTGCCTGTGGCTTCGCTGCAGTCGATGCTCCGACTGGCCAATCTCGAACGCGACGGTGAGAGCGTGTCGTCCTTGATGGAATACCTCTACTCATGGCTGTGCTCGCCGCGCAGCTACCTGTACGATCCGGCGTTGCTGAAACGCGTGAATGCATACGCACAGAAGGGCTTTGAGCTGTTTTTGCGAGAGCTGCGCTTAAACAAGTGCGAGGTTGTTTATGCAAACGGCACGAAGATTGTCATTGCAACCGGCAGGCTAAGCTTCCAAGAAGCCATGGTGACCTTTGAGCAGGTGCGACAAGGCGTAATTCAGGATCCTCTGCTGCGGATGCTGGAGTGCTCGCTGGTCCCCGAGTGCGTCTCCGAGGCCTTCTTCGGACTCATGTGGTACGATCCCAATAATTTCTTGGGTTTCGCGATTCCCATCGGCAGCGACGAAATACAGGACCGCGAGCGGGGACAGCCTCTGCTGGAGTCGGCCGAGTTTCACTTGCTTGCCGGGCAGCAGCTACCAGAGTTCGTGCGAGGCTCGCTTTTCCTCTTCTTGCATCAGTACATTGAGTGCGCGATGCAGATGGCACACGATCGCAAGTCGCAACATATGAAACGAAAAAGTGGATTCGAAATCCTAAAATAAGCAAGTAAATTGTAGGATAGTACTTTATTTCAATTTTTCTAATACTCCGATACTCAAGATGAAGTGAGGCAGTTATTTACCACTTGAATCCCACTTCTTTAAGTAGTTCTTGAGTACAATGACTACATTTTTTCCTTTCATACAACAAGTGACGCGCGGCGTTGGCAACAACCTTACGTCGGATGCATTGGTTATGGCTCACCCTTATCCATCTTCGGAAGCATCGGTCTTAGAGACGTTTCTATTCAAGGGGAAAGAAACGGTCTCAGGATGAACTTCGAGATGGATTAGGGTGAGCTCTAAATTGGACGAGGAAATGGTGGAAAGGTTGGGAAAATTTCTCGACGCCACTTTGTCCCGCCACGTCCTCAAATTCCTCAAAGATCTACCCCATAGCCGATCAGTAGACTTGCAGCGCGAGCGACATGCGGAAGGGCAAATTTACGAGCTGGAGCGCGGTCTTGACTTGGGGAAGAACGACAGTGACGACAGCGACGACGAAGCACGCGGGATTGCGCGTGGACAGGAACTCCTGGAGATCCAGGAAAAACAGAAGGTGCTCGAGGAGCTGCAAAGAAAATGGAATTTCTCGGATGTGCCTCCTCCAGCGCGCCAGTGGCGGGCGGTCGGTCTCGAGTGGGCGCAGACACTAGTCACTTTCCTCAAGCTAGAGCCAAAGTTGAGCGAAAGCTGCGACAAGCTGTTCCAGACAGCGCTTTTGCAGGTGCTCAAAATTGACGAACCGCACATCATGCGGGAAGTATGGAGACCCAACTACATGTCAATCAAAATTCCGCACTGCGAATGCCCTAGATGCAGCGTCGTTTACGACGTCGACGTTGTCACTTATGGCTGCTTTTCTTGATAATTCATTCCCACAACCTCTTACCAGCACTTGAACGAAATTCTATTTGCACTGGTGTGATAAAGGACTTTAACCTATTTATTTTCTGGCATAATGTTTCGCACGCTCCTTTCCTTCATGGAGGAAACAAATGCGCTTTGGGAATTTTTGCCCTTATTTGCTGAGTCAAAAAACTATTTTGAAGATGAACCATCAATGAGTTTGAAGACGAACCATTAGCGAATTCTCTAACTCAGAAATCCATTCGACAAGTCTGGTGGGGAGACGGTGTGGACGTGCTTGGCTTGTGTTGACGGCGAGTTTCCGCGCTCAGTGATGGAGCTGCGACTCGTCGACCTAGTGCACAAGACCATTCAGGCGTACCAGTCGCAAAGCATCATCTGCAACAACTGCCGTAAGCTTAAGGACGACCACATGTACGAATATTGTCCCTATTGCAGCAGCAAGCTGTCATCACCGGCGGCCGTGGATGACGTGCGACGCATCTTCCACAGCATCGAGATCATTGCGCACAAGCACGCGCTGCAGAACCTCCTAGGAACGATCCAATTCTACAGACCCTTTCTCTAGTAGGTCTGTGAAATACTACAACAAGTGTTTATTGTCCCGCAATTATCATGATGATTTTTATTCACATAACAAAAATTCCACTCTATATAGATTCGCAGCAGTACATATTTACACGGAAAGTGTCTGTCTGTTACTCGTTTTCCGCTTACAACCTTCGTGCATGAGAATTCTTCTTCTATTTACGCGACCACTGGAAAACCTTTATTCCGAATCACGCATCCAACAAAAACTGGACTCTCTTCAAAAATTGGGGAGTGTCTGAGGGAAATACAAGAATACCAACTGTCGACTCCACTCTCGGCATTGAAGATCGTGTGTACGCTTGTACTTTGCTGTTCGGAATAAGGGTCATCTTCTGTTCCTGTGACCCACCATACTGATTCAGTTTCATCAGTGCTAGCTTTCTTGAAAACCGATCGGTGCAGTTTAAAAACGCCATCACTCTAAGAGGCTCCTATGGCAGGCTGCGGAGATGTTTGTGCGAGCTTCATTGTATTCCATAGTATTGTTCTCATTTTCATGAGTACCTCATCTGTCTCTATGGCTCATTGCGAAGGCGACTATCTGTCGTTGTGCTGTGCAAGTCTTCAAGCGGATTGAGAAGAAGAACATCTAAAAGAGAGTCTTTTCGGTCACTGAGTGAAGCATCTCTCTGTCCAAAAAAGAGAGTATACTGTATTCCCGGGAGCACATACCATGAATTGGAAGGGTATGGTGCGAAAGCAAGCTGCTGAGAGAATTAGACTTTTCGTGTTAAAGAAAATAGCGCACTGCAAAATAGAAATTGTTGCTCCTTTACAAATAATCTTTCAGGTCAGGGTTTACAGTTTGACGATATCTATGGAAGAGATAGGACGAGCTGAAAATCATTTTTCTGATTCTTCCCGATTTTACTTGACTTTTACCGACGTAAAATAGAGGACTTTCCCTCATTGTGCACTGACTCTATGTGAATACCCATAAGGTGCACTCCCGATCTCTCTTGGAGGAAAACTAGCTATAATTGATTCCCACACGTTTTGGATGAATAAGAGATAGCAGCTCGACTAGACACGCAAAGTTTTTTGTATCTTGCTTTTGGTTGATAAGCGTGTTCTCGTGTTGTACATATTTTTTGCGTTGATTATGACCTGTTAATGGAGCCAAAGCCATCTTCACGATTACATGAACATAACTAAGAAGAGAAAATGTCGTTAATGATCGTGCTACCATCTTCGGATGCATAAGGAGCGCCTTCCCACGACGGAACTATGACTTGACAGGGTATTGGCGATCTGTGACTTGACAGGGTCCAGCTGTTCCGCGAACTGTGACTTGACCGGGTCTTGTAGAGCTGTTCGCACGAATTGTTAGTTGACGGGGTCTTGGCGAACTGAGTGTGACCTGTCGAAGGGTGACTTGTCCGAACTGTGACTTGTCGAAGTGTGACTTGTCCGAACTGTGACTTGTCGAAGTGTGACTTGACCGAACTGTGACTTGTCGAAGTGTGACTTGTCCGAACTGTGGCTTGACCGAGCTGTGACTTGTCGAGCTTGCCTGTGGCTGCAAGTCGCCTTGACGCTGGAGCTATTACCTTATCAGCTTCCACAGTCATGACGGGCAGTAAGAAAGGAAATTCGCCGCAGAAACGCGGGATGCTGTTTGCAGAGAGAAGAGATCCCACACTAAGTCGATCTTCCTCATTCTCTATGGGTGGGAGGTATCCACGGGAAATAGACAAGCTGGCATCCAATAATCCTTTTTTCCAACAGGGGACGCATCGAGCAGAGTATGGAGAGGAGTTACTCACTCACGCGAGAGGTTTTGATCGAGCTTCGCAGGACGCTCTAAGAGCACAAGGAAGGCAATGGAAAGCCACGCCAGGGCCGGGAGCGTAGTTTTTATGTTTGCTTTCACGCATGTAGAGAAGGCAACTCTTTTTTGGTTCAAGGTTTACCTGATTATGTTTGCTTTCACGCATCAAACTTCGACGAAGAAGCATCTTCTAAATGTAAATCATGATATTTTACGAAGATCATCAGTCGCTTTATAGCCAGGTTTCCTTATGCAACTTCTTTCCTGGGCAGCTGCTCCGGAGAACTTGTCGAGTTGGGGCTGTGAAGACAGCTTTTATGCAGGATCGATTAGAAAAGACAGTTCTCCTCCCCTCTTTCCAGGTATAGAACGCAGCGGGTCATAGGAGAGACGCAGTTAGGCGATAATGCGAGTATTGCAGCAACAAGGATATACAAGGAGCCAAGCTGGCAATTTGGCAAAGGTCCAATGTGCACTTACATGCGTGACCAAGCAGGAACTAGCTGGAATTCTCCGGGACCAGGATCGTATACGAAAATTAACCGCAGCATATTTATATGTGGAAATATTTGATTACTTGACTTACTCGACTTGTTTGCGAATTACCTACAACCCGAAACTCAGAGGTGATATTTTTTCCAAAAAACCTCCACCTCGTCATTACCAGATATCGTACATGGAGTCACTTCGTCCCGGAAGGAAAACAAGTGCCTAGATTCACGAGTCCGGCGGTATCGCAGGACGAAATGTGTTCACCGAACTTACCACGCTCGATGAGCGTCACAATACCAATAAAGTATTGTTTCGTGTGTGTTTTCTCGATGAGAAAACGTCCATACCTGATTACTTCGCTGCCGCTATTCATATTATCAAGTAAAGTCTCTATCTGCAGAATTTTTTTATCGTTGAGCAAGAGAGATCAATGTAGAAAAATATTGTCCGATGAACCTTCATCCCACCCAACAGGACCGTGAACGATACGGACAGGCTAGCAAGTTGCAATCCGCTCTTCCCTAATGGAACACATCGGGCGAATTATGGCGAGACTTTCCTGACAAATGGGAGAATACGCGATGACAAAACCATCGACGCTCTGACAGCGCAGGGACGTCATTGGAAGCAGACTCCGGGTACATACATTTTGTTCCTAAAGTTAGAAGGACTAGCAGGCCGAGTATTCCATCCACTTGTGGATGGTGCACTTATAGTTTTCCTTCGCTCTCCAAGTAAAGTTAGAATTTCTTAACGCGCATAAGCTGAAATAGTGGTTAGAAATGAAAACGAACAACGCACTTCGTGCGTAGAAGAGCAGCTGATGGAGAAAGTAGACTCTTCTGTTGTAATACTTTGGATTTTTCTACTTCTACAACAACCCAGGTGCCGGCACTTACCGAACACCTGTTGCTATTGCGGATCCCGGTGTGAATATCGTTGCAGGCGAAACTAAACTCGATCGTAACCGCATTTACCATGAGCCAGCCTGGAAATTCGGCACTGGTGCGCAGATCGCTTTCGATACCATGCCTGGCGTCGTTGTGGATAGCCCAGGGCCGTGCGCATACTCTAAGTATGTTGACATTCAGTGATTACATGGCTGACATCTTCATCAATCGCCCCGCGAGAAAGATGTATACTTGATATTAGCATGCCAATGTGGTTGATGTATTCTTACACATTAACGCGGGTTACTAGAAGTAGGAGAAGTGTTATTTTTTGATACTTTCTCTGTCACCTGGATCTGCACAATCATGAACAATTATACAAAAAATGGACACAACTGTTACACGATACTCTCATCTCTTGAATCTTTCTTGAATAGACACTCTTTCTCTCTCTTTCTTGAATATTTGCATACACGACCATAGCATAAATGAACATGTGCCTCCGAGTGCCTCCGAGCACCGAAATCAACATGACTCTTGTTTTATTCAGCTGAAAGTCAACACGCGATACGACCACATCAACATTTATCATGATGCACAGAAGGACGAGGTGTGCACAGCTACGGTAAGGTCGTAAAATTCATCGCGCATAGTGGCTTTCATGGACAACTGTTTGCACTTTCTAATTTCTTGGGCTAACTGTGACTTCAGATCACTGGAAAGTGAATTAATAAATGCAAGGAAAGGCAACCCGTCTCGCAATGCATCTTGAATAACGTTGTACCTGCAGTAGACCCCAGCATGCGAATTTTTACCTAATATATGTCAAGAGGTGGAGGTTTTCCCGATGTGTCTGTCTGGTCTGTGGTAGGATTAAGAGACAACTATACAATGAATCTTCAGTTAATTTTTTATGAATCTCTATACTGCTCGTTTCCAATCTTGTCGGTGAGTCGGTTTTGTTTCAGTGGTTGGCAGTGGAAGTGCATGACGCGTCGGTGCCTGCTGCAATTTCGAGAGGGATGACACGAGAAGAAGATGAATGAGATTGAGAGAGAATTATGAGAACTGCGAGACATGAGAAAAATCCTTCAACAATGTAGCTTCCAAACGTAGCGTCTTCACCTGGTGGAGTCTGTCTCGGTGAAACTCAAATGTTGAAGAGTCTGCTGAAGAGACTTCGGCTGTTGTATTAACGAAGACTCAAAAGGGAAAGGCTGAAAGAAGCGAACGAAGAGAATATCAAAGTGAGCCTAGTAGAAGATAGAAAACGCGAGACAGTACAAGCTTTGCTTTCTGGCATAATATGGGTTCTGGGAGGACAGCAGTCTATGTGATAGTTCGAGGCATGGGCTGCGGTGGTGGTAAACATGTTCCTCCGTCAGAAGATTACTTTCGTCGCGTCGAGCAGCATGAAGACCCGGTCGATGGATCGTCGAAATACCTGGAGGAAGAGCAAGATCGCGATAATGGTGTACCAAAGAAAGTGGGAGCGCAACGAACGACAAATGAAGATAGAAGCAGGTCTACGTCGCGGGCGAGGCAGCATCAAGGGCATCGTGGTGAACAGGATGCGGATCTTCAAGGTGGGAGTGGTGGCGGAACGTCTTTGGTTGGTATCACGCGCGTCTCGCCGCACGGAGCAGCATCGACCGCTGCGCCACACAGCCGTAAGAGGGGAAGAGAAAGAAAAGCTAGCAGACGGTCCTCTTCCGAAGAGAGCGGCGGGGATGAAGACGGGGCGCGACCATCATTCGCGAATTCGCTCGGTCGAGAGTCAGATGACGACGACGCGCATGCAGTTTCAGCCGCACACTTGCGCCCGCGGCAGATAGCACTTGACGAGTCATCAGATGTAAAATTTTTGATGTTGACTACCCGCTGATGCTGTGGTGATGTTTACCTTATGCATTTTAGGCTTTGATACACCAGGTGAGATAATTCTTATACGGTTCTTCTCAGTGACTGCAGACTTACCAATTCCATCCAAACTCTTAGGCACATTAACACACAAATAAAACGAAAAATGTCATCCAGCAGCAAACCGCCTCTCTGTCCTATGATCAGGATTTTTTTCATCTCCAGTTGAGTACTGTTTTTGACTATCTAAGGTTCGCGAGCTTATCCGGTTCTTCTCTTCTCATTTTTTCAGGATGTCTCGGAGATTTTTCCGAATGACGTTTCCGTATCAAGAGACACGCGCGACTTGCTTGTGAACTGGCTGCGATGGGCTGCCAACCAGAGACGACTGAAAATGGAGCAGCGATACAAGCAGATGCAGAACGACGCTCGCTTCAACCGAGCAGCCCGACCTGCGTACATTGAAGACCAACCGACGCCACCTGCAACCCCACGAGCTAAGAGAAAGAAGAAGCATAAAGACCCGGTTCTTGACACGGGATCGACGGGTCCGAATGTAAGAATCGATGTATTTATTATATTGCGGCATGACCTTGTCCTTGTTTATTTTCCTTGTAGTTTGCATTGCCGATAGAAACATGAGATGCTCGCTCTCGCAGATTGTAGTGTTGAGTGTCATGTTTTGCACCAAGCAGAATATCAATATCATGTGAATGAAAAAGAGGAAATGAATCACGAAAAATACTGCAAAACCACCAATAACAGGACAATGTAGGCGGCAGCTCCGCAGTGTCTAGCCCGGTGGGTAGTGGCGCAAGTCCTTGTGGAAGACAGAGTCAAAATCGTAGCTCCGCGCTTGACGAAATGAGACGAACCTCAACGTCCGCCGCGCGATCCTCTGCTACTCCAGGTTCAGCGGGTTTTCTCGGTGAGGCGCGCGAGGCCCGCGAGCGTGCTATGGATACACAGGGGACACGCCTAAAGCTGGGGCGCGCTATGCCAGATCAAAATATTGCGCACACAGCGAACGCATCTGAAACTCCAGGTTTCGGTATGGACACGCCAGGGTTTGGTCCCGGAACGCCGGGTTTTCCGGGAGGTTCTGCAATAGGTTCGGCGCAGGGCTCGCGCAGTGTGAGCGTTGTAGGTAGCGCGATTTCCGCGTCCCCTCTACCTGTGCTAAGTCCGTGGCTAGCGAATGCGATTCCTGGCGACCGCGGCACCAGCCTCGAGGCCGTAGTAGAGGGAGAGGAGGAGTTGGAAGCCTCATCCGCCGAGGACATGATCATTGGAGAAGGCCAACTGATCGTGCAGCTCGGAGAAGTTGCAGCAGCAACAGAACCTCGCAGTGTTGACGCTCATAGGGACCAGGCTTCGATAAACGGTGACGAAAAAGCAAAGCAACAGATAGACGAAGCCTACCAGCAAACAGGTGGGGGCACTGCTTCCGCGCGAAGTAGTGTTGCAGGTTTTGGTAACGCCACTACCGCAGGAGCTGGTACACCCGTTACTGCAGTCGCGTCGTCGCGTGCTGACTCGAAGCGGAGTAGTACACGAGTCAGCGGCGTTCAGATAGGTGACATGACGTTGACAGACGGAAGCCTATTCGTCGAGGCGGTGGCGGCAAAAAGTGTGAACCCGGACGCAGATTCTGGCGCAACAACAGCAGCGGAAGCGAGTGGCGCCACGGTCACCGCGTCTTCTCCAGAGCAGGACGAATTACAACTCGCTGTTAGTCCTGAAAATTCGCCATCTCACCAAAGCGGAGCGTCACCGATCACGGCAGCAGCGATGGTTCGTCAAGGTGGGGATGCGATAGGCGCACGAAGCCCTTCGGGGGACGACGCCAAAGGGAACAATGCCCCAGGTGAAGCAGGTCTCTGCAGGAGTAGCCCGTCTTCGGCATCTACGGTATCACCACGAGCAAGTAGGACACAGCCACCCTGGGATCCCGATCCCTCGGACCTTTACAAATGGAACGAGTCTGTTTTCTACTGGTCAGCTACGCGTGACCGGTGGATGCCAGCACGGGTTAAGCAAAAGATCGACTCGGAAGTCTACGTTCTCGACAAGAACAACCGCAATTGCCTCAGCCATGTATGGGTCGGCGAGATCCTCTCCGCAAAGGACCTCAATAAGGACCGCGTACTTTCGCTTCTGCACACGGTGCTCGGTCGAGGTGGAGCTGTAGTGCGGGGCGATTTCTCGAGCGATTCCTCCTCTGACGACGGCGATGGCAGAAGCCGAGGGCCGCCAGGAGGCACGCCACGTCCTCTGATGTCTTCCCCAGGCCGTTTCACTGATGAGGACTCCTCAGACGAAAGCGACAACGAATGAGCCGCACCCGCACCTGATTAGCATTTTGCGCCACCTGCACTTGGACTTGTTGATGACATTTGTCAGCCGGATGATTTACCTTCTAAAACCTGTCAAAACGCTTGTTCTTGTTGTATGGATTTTCTAGCAATAACTGACCTTCTTCCACTAAACGGCGCTACTGAGCATTCGCATATCGTTTGCTTATCTCCTGTTTACGAGAATCAATCACGTGCGGTGCTCCGGACTACTTCGTGCAAAAACGGGTCAAAGAATTTGGCGAGCAGTGGGTTGAGAGCGGTCCGAGAGAATAAGTTTTTCATGCTATGCGCTGAAAATCATTCGCCAGCTGACTGTTACCTGCATAGATCTTCTCCATTTTTTCGTAGTTGTAAAACAGAAAAAAAACAGCACCAAAATGGGTCGTGATGAAAATGTATTACAAACATGAATCGACGTTTCTTATTTCAACCACGACTCGTGAAGGCAGCATCAGCGTCGACGACGCATTCGCTGGCTGAGATTGGAAATCGTTGCAAAAAGGCGACTGTATTCATGCAAAGACTGAGACATGATGCCGATAGCGAATGGCATACGGAGGCACGGAGTTTCAGATCGCTGTTATAGTGGGCGATGCAGTTGTATAAGATTCGCCGACGCAGAAGTCAAAGAAAAGAGTCTTTTTACAACAACAATAGAACAAGAAGCTGTCGCAGCACGAGAAAATACTCGAACAAACCAAGGACGCGACGTGTGGACAGCCAAGAGTTTTAGTGAAAGTGACTACTATGGAGTCGACAGATGCCGTTGTGTGGGGCCGCTCCAAATCCATACCCTCCCGTCTTCCTGCCTTATTCGCACCAAGCGCCGCTGCCGCGTTGCGCACTGCCTCACGGCCAGGAGGTCATCGCACCAACGCAGCAAACTCACATCCGTTGTCCAACTTTCAAAACATACCCCTAGTCTCCAAAGCGGCCATCAGCGGAGCTGGCCAGCGCGCGCAGAAGTCCTTCGACGTGGCTGGTGCGGACAAACAGGAAATCGCAGGATCTTCAAGACCAGCTGGAAGAGGCTCAGCGCCAGGGAGCTGCTTTCAGCCGAGATTCCCAGAGCAAGTGCCACCATTGTCAGCCCGATCTTCGAAATCCGTATCGCCATTGGAACCGACGGAAGCGCCGATTATCGTGCAGAGCCAGCGTGGGCAGGACTCTTCGTCCGGAGCGCTATTGATAGGCGGTGGTGGATCAGGCACAGCATTGCCCTTGACGACAAAAGGGCAGCTTGTGCCGGGTCAACTGCGGTTGCCGGTGCGGGCAGCAGATCGCGAGCAGCGAGGACCGCTGTCGGCACGGAGGCTGAAGGCAGCGCAGTCTGCGGAGCACGGTCAGCTGCGAGTCGTCGGAGGCTTGCACGGATCGCGTAGTTGTCACGGCTCCCGCAGCCCGCGCGAAGGAGCAACTGCACGCGCGTCAGATCAGAGCGTCTCGGATCGAGATCAGCCGCGTGGCAGCGCAACCACACCACACATTCAAACGGGTCCACGCTCCGCGGCCTTTGCACCGCCTACCGTGAGCCGCAAAGACGTTTCGACGAACGCCGCGAACAGAGTTTCAGGGCTGGCACGGGCAAACATAAAACTGTTATCGGTGAGTGGGAACCGTGCTGCGCAATCCCAATCCTCTGTTCCGACGCCGCGTGAGCAGCGCCAAGCTCCACGCCGGCCGACGTCGGCACGGCAACGAACAGATCAGTCAACATTATCGGCATTAGCATCGGCGCGGGTCACCGAACAAGACGCTGCCGCGTCGGTCGCGAGATTCTCTGCGCGAACCAACACGGAGGAACTGAAAAGTACTGCTAGCAGCATCCAGGATTCGCAACTAGAGTATCCGGAAGGCGGAGAGACGGAAGACGGCAGCTGCACTGCTCGCACCGCCAGTGTGAACGAAAACGACGAGGGTTCTGGAAGTGCCTCCACCGCGACGCTGGACCCAGAGGAGGCTGCCGCGCGCGCCGCCCGCCGAGCGGCAGGGCGCGTACGCAAAAATGGCACCTCGCGCCGCAATAGCGCTTCGGGTATCGTCTTATTGACCTACTACTCGAATGGAGGCTCCAGTGGTTCGTCCGCCCGGACGTCGTCTGCGGCAATGGTCGCCCCCGGGTCATCCTCGTCCTCGGCCTCTAGCTCTGCCGCGAATCCAAGGGCCCTGCCGTCTGGATCTGCCGGACAGGGGGGTGCAGGACGAGGCTCTCGGTCGCGACGCGGCAGTGTGGGTCCAAAAGACCGAGGTTCGGATGCGAAAACGGCAGAGCGTGACGAGCGCAAGAAGCTTCGCAAGCAGCAGAAGGAGCGGGAGAGGCTGCGGAAACAGCAGACCGACGCAATCGCAGGCATTGGAGAGACTCTAAAGAAATTTGTCGAAGAACAGATTGCTTCAGTTGCAGCTGTGCTTCGACAGAATTCAGATCTAGAACGAGAGTTCGCAGAATTCGTTTCACTTGCGCAGTCATCCGACTTGTTGCGCACCTATGTGGTGCAACGGGTTTTGTCCAAGTTTTTTGGAAAGCTTCCCTACGTGCTTCGTATGGAAATCGAGCGAAGATTGGGAGAACCGGATCGCGTTCGGGCAGCATGGCAAATTGAGCGCTGTTTGCAACTCCTGACTACTGACGATTCAGGTGAGGTGACGGTAGAAAATTTATTCATACAGTCTCTTTGAGATATCTGTGCGATATTAATTCGTACGAAGTAGGACAGCAGGAGGGGGGTTTATTCAGTTTGAGGGTAAATTAAGGAGGTTTTGTGCCAGGGTTGAGGTAATGAAATTTTTCCAGCAGCAGATAATGTAGAGGTTACGCGGATGAAATGAGTATTCACTCTTGTTTCACCTCCACAGGATAGTTTCTTCGACGATGTTATTGCGCGGATTTGGAAAGGAATCGAAGAGCAGCAGTGTGGCGGCAACCAGAATCAACGACAACAGCGCGTTGCAGCATTCCTTCTCGAGGATGCTCTGACACGACAACTCCAATCCTGGGACGATGAAGTAGGGCAGATCGAGCAACAAAAGTGGTCCCATCTCTATAACGTAATGGACGAACGGCTTGCTGGACTAAAGAGAGTGCAGACTTCTTCATCCAACGTGGATCATGAAAGTTGTGGTTCTAATGGGAGTGCAACTCCTGCTGATACAAAAGCAGCAAGAGGCTCGACCAAAAGCGGACGGAATTCCGGAGCGAGGGTGATCAGTAGGACTAGCAGCAGCAACAAATCCAGCCATAGCGGTGCAGCGAGTAGTTCGACGAATGCCCCTCCACTATCGTACGGTGATGACGAGAATTATTTGCTTGATGTGCGCGATGAGCTAATTCGGCGAATGGAGTGGGAGAATGGTATCTACGGCCTTGTGATGCGTCGAGCTAAGAACAGCTTTGTCACAGCCAGAAAAACGATTGCGGCGCGGGTGCCTCGCGAGCCTTACGAAATCACGGTACCGGATTTTCGTGCCTGTTTGGACCTGGTTTTGCGCGGGAAGCGGGACATTGAATCGAAAATCGAGAATTTCAGAACACGGGCAGAGGAATTGCATAGCCAAATCTTCGGTTTCATCGTGCGTCGTCGCATTCCAGATTGGGTGCATGTCCCTACTGATCGGGAAGAAAATTGGAAAGATGTCTGGGCTTCAACCAATGCACTACCAGTATTTGCAGACGCAGACGAAGTACCACCGCGAGGGAGATCCCTCAGTACGGACTTAAATGCTTTTTTTTTTCGGTGAGTATTGTTTTGCTTTTGTTCGTCTTGATGAAAAAATACTTCTCGATACGAACCACGAAACGTGAACATATATAAGAAGTTCCTTGACACGACATGAGATCTTTAATTCCATCTTCCCCTCTCTTGAAGATCTGCATGGACGATTTGCCGTCATTGTCTTGACAACATGACTACGTCCAATTTTGAAACCTCATAACAGTGGATCGCGTGCTTGAAGCCATGAACCGTCTCGACCGCCTCGTGCAGTTGAGCTGCGACGTGCGCGACGACATCTGTAAGAAGTGCCCTAGTTGGGAAATCGACGGGGCTGCAGTGGCCGCGCCTCTCAGCACTTTTATTCAGGACCTATCACAGTTGAATGAGCGGTTACTCGAAATTCTAGATCTTTCTGAAGCGGCTGACTCAGCGGGTCCATCACCACTCGACATCCCTAGCACTGACTTGCAGTCTGGCGCCGCTGGTTCCTCTGGCACAAGCAGTGTGGTTCCGCTCCCGCCTATCACTGCCGGTAACGGCCCTCCGCTCGAGACAGTTGCGTCCTTCATCGACATCGAGGGATGGACTCAATCTCAGCGTACCGAGCCGCAGAGGGCGAGCACCGGCGAGGAGAGCAAAGCAGAGCCTGCGGCAAGTACTCCTGCCCCAGAGGACATGCTATCGCTACGAGCTTTGCGTCGCAAATGGAATGGAGATTTCTCGTCTTGCCTTGCAAATCATGTAAACTCGGTCAGGGCTGTATTTGAAGAGCATGGGCAGTACTTTGTGAAGCGCAGAACCTACATCAGCCTGGCTAAATGCAAAACGGTGTCCGATAATCTTTTCCGGGTGGAACTGCGAATATAATGAAAAGCCCACTTCCTCTTCAGCAAGTAGTGCTCTTGCTCCATACACATCCGCTTCGCCACTTCTAGCGTCAAGGCATTTCCCACTGCGACCACGGCTTATTTTGGTGCAAGCATCTCCACCGATGGATGTCAGGGACCGATACTGCGTCAGCCATTGTTCTGGTGCAGGATACGGGAGAAATCGGAACTAAGGGGGACTTATTGTGGATACAGCTCATGTAGAATGAACAGTCACTTACATGTGTAAGCGAGAGCACGAATACATAGAAATAGAATGATCTGAAGAAGCGACAAGTGACCAGAATGCTAATCTGCGAGCGGCGCGTGAAAAGAAGACCGCATATTGACAAATTTGCACCGTGTAGCCACAGTCCATTATTCTGGGCGGTCGTGATCACCCTGCGTATGAGGCATGCAAATTGAGCGCTGCATATTTTCTTCCGCTTATTTTCTGATATACATACCTGCAGCTTTCGTATCTGATTTAGCTCTGACGAGGCGAGGGAGCGTGAGGCCGCAAGTGTCTTCGCTTCCGTGCATTAATTAGGTAGTTTAAGATACTATAACCATTTTTGGTGAAAACTACACATCATTAATTTTCGAAAAAATCATGAATGTCAACACGCGATTCATTTGCGCTGATCCGGTGTTGCTGCAGCCTGCGGGGATCCAAGATCATCAATACAGCAGGCACGGTTTGGACGAGGCGACGTACGTTCCGTCACAGTCGTCGACCGCGGGCGAAAAAGCGCGGCCATCCCGAAACAGAGATCGAAAGAAAGTGGGGAGAAATAACGGTTTGGCACCTTTTTTCACGGTTCTGAGAGATGAACTTACTAGGGTGTTACAACTGGAGCAGGATGAACATGGAGCGACCCGACAAAAGTTGCAGAAACTCGGGAGACGTAGACCCGTTCGAGAGCTGCACAACAGGTTATCAAGGCGCAGTACGCGAGCGCGCAGCTGCTCGACGCAGAATCGACGGTCGCGACGACTAGTTGCACGGTTGCTCTTGCTTTTAGCGTCTGCGCAAGCTGCACAAGGTCTAGAAGTGGAAATAGACCCGGGCGCAGCCGTCGATGCGAATCTGCAGGCGGGGGCAGCGCGATCTACAGAAGGGGATACGGCGAATGCTATACTAGGATCGGCGGCAAAAGACCTGGAGGACGGCGACCAAGATGAAGACGATCCAGAGGAACCAGATATAGCGGCATTGGTTCACGACTGGCTGCACAGCATCGGGTTAGCCCTGTTTGAAATGATTTGTTGCAGAAGTACATGTAGAAACTACTATCTGTGTACTAGCTGTTATTTATATATGCGCTACCATGCACTTTTAAAAATCAATTTCACCATGATCGTGTACATTGTTGTCGAGCTATAATCGTGCATACCAGATTTGAAGCAGACAGCTACGGCAGAACACATAATATGCTAGAGGACGGCCATCACAACGTGGTTTATGGAAACATGAAGCCGGGTTGTCGAGCACAGAAATACAGGGCACCGCACACTTTTCCAGAAGACCACTGGTTACTGATGCTTCTCGGAACCGTTTGGGGTATTACAGATACTGGATTTTGTAATTCCAAATTTAAATGGAAAATCCTGTACTTGTACTTTCTCACGTGCTGTTGATTTTTGCAAGTAGGTTGTACGCAATCGTTGTAGACCATTGTTCTGGCGCGGTATCACGCAGATGTTGCAGGGGTTTCGCGATAGCCGGAATGCCGTCTGCTATTCCATTCTTTGTGATCTCTTCCATCTATTCCCTTCAGGTTTTGTGGGCTTTATGCTTCTGTTGATAGTTTTTCTAGCGCAGAAGATCTACGAAATTGGTCTGTACGGACGAGGAGTAAGTCTTCAAAAAATGAAGTTTCGGGAACAGCATAGATTGAAGAGTGGGATTTTGAATATCTTTCTAGTCGCAACTCCAGTCCTAGTCGCGTTCTGCTTCCGGGAGTGGGTACTCACTTGACGTGTGTTACATATGTGATCTGACTTTCAGTTGCTAACGTACGTTATGGCTGGTAATTCCTGTATTACTATCATAATATTCTAGCTCCCATAATTTCGTTCATCAGTTCTTGAGTTCAGCGTGGTTTTTTACTTTCACTTTCATATTGCATCAGCGCGCGTACGAGGATTGGCATGACCGGCGAGAAATTATGATACTAACCGTCATGCGGCGGGGATTCAACACGCCAAGCCATCAAGAGTGGCTAGCCAGTAATCCTTACAATTTCCTCGCAGTAGACTGCGCAAATCTGGAGGTCGAGGAATTTACAGGAGGGCCGTCAGATGCATGGACATTGCTGCCGCTAGCGTCATGGGCCCTTGACCACACGTGGAAAAATCACAAGTAATCAACAATTTTATTTGCCTCTGTTTATCATAAAGTATTAGTTTCTTGTACTCTGAAGGCCTACATGATCATTTGCTGTTGTTCCCGAGTACATGATCAGCAACTTTTTCCTCTCATCTCTGAAGTATTTTTTTTGACTATCTAAGGTTAACGAGGTTATTTCCCGAGTACATGTGAACAACACCCGAGTACATGTGAACAACAATGCAGATACAGACGGAATATTCGCATACTATTACACCAAGACTTTTTTCGTTGCATCAGTTCGATTTTTTTGTTTGAAAGTTTACATCAGCGCTATAAAATATCGTATGCGGATTCATCATTCGCCTCGCTACTTAGGTACGTCTACTGGGCAGACCCTTCGCTAATCAATTTACACCGCGATATCCACGAATTGAGCATTACAGCTCACGAGCACATGGATAAAGAGCGGTTGCTAGTTGTAGACGAGCGTGCGGGTCTTTTATTATCGACTGGGGCGCTGTCAAGGCACCTGTTGGATAAAGCGCGCATACTATGCAAGAGCCCAGTAGAGCACCCGCTTGTGGCCTTACTCGCCCTCGCAGTTGGCGGCGCTAACTGGTAGTTTTTATAACCGTCTTTCTAACTTGAATATCTTTGCCTAAGATTGAATATGTACCTGAAGAAGGCAAAAGCCTTCAATTAATATGTTGTAGGTGTACCGATACACAATCAATCTTCCTTGCGATCAGGACCGACGCTGTGAATCAAGTAGCTCAGAGAGCCCCTGATGGAGGGTGGGATTTGCTCCCACTGGACGTTCTGCACGCGAAAGTGTTGCCTCCAGCTGATGGCAGAAATGCAACGCGGTTGCCGTCTCTGGACCTGCAGCCGTGGTGTTAAGCACTTCATTGAAAAGCATGCCAAATAAAAGGACCTTCAAGAAGATGGATCTACGAGAAACCTAAGTTTAGGAGAGCTTGCGTTGTAGTTTTGCAACGTTTTTATTAGCTCTTCTTCCGTGCAGAAGAGTCTACCAAAGACTTCAGGTGTGTGTTTTTGCGAATCACGGACGCCGTGGGCACTTACATTATGAACGGTGAATAGATGGATAGATGATGGCTCACACAAATTACTTCTATTGAAGTAATAGAATTTCTTATGTACAACAAGTGTGGTCGCATATTTTTCTTCAAGAAAGATGTGCCCGATTTTGTATACGTGGACGAGAAATAGCCAAGGAATAGTAGCTTTGTATACTTTGCTTATGGGGAAATCGCGTAATATACCTTTGTTTCAGGATTCCAGTACTTCACAGACGCTTTTCATTGACTTCATCCAAAAAACATTCACTGTCGTTATTTCTGCGGCTCGTGCAGAGTTTTTTAGGGGGTAAGAATTTTGCGTAGGGTTCTGCACAGCAAATAATAGTTTTCGGGGAAGTTTGTAGAGTAACAGCTGAAAGATGAAGTCAAATACAAGCTTGTGTTGACAACTAGCAGATATGCGTCACTTGAGTCAAGCGTGTGTGTTACTCATGATTAAGCGAGTCGAAGTGTTACCCAAGTAGGCAACAAAAGATTTGAACGAGTTGATGCGTGATGCGCCCAGTGCTCCGCCAATCCATATTGCAGAAAAAATGCAGTAGTGAACTCATCTTCAGAGAACAGAGTTTTTGGAGTGAACCGAGCTCAAGCGAAGATGTTACAGAATTCACAATGCTAGTACGAGAGAGAGAGAGAGAGAAGGACGTAAGTAGATAAGCACGGGGAGGCTACGATCTGTATTTCGGTTGCATGTTTCCCCAGGCTGTCACCTCTGTGCATCCTCGACCCGCCCCCAGAACGATGCCTGGCTTTTCAGGCAAGCGCATTTGAATGTGTAACTAATATTCCCCGCTCACAAAGATTTTTTTAGCTTCAAGGTCCTTTAGCTTACACTATGAAATCGTGCCACGATTGCTCGAGATAGTTAAAATGTTTACGACAATGTTTAATTTCATATCGATGCTCGCGCGTCAATCCAGAAGGCTTTGTCCAATATCTTCATGTGAGAATTAAAATCGAAAAGAAATGTCATTTCCCGCTAGCACCTTCTGGAAAGTGGCTGCCAGGAAGACGAAATTCGCGGTTGGCCTCGGGTGGATTTGCTCAACCGGCACTGCAGTCCTTGGTTTTTTCTGGGACTCGGATCCAGCGCCGGAATCTGAGCCAGAGTTTCTCTGCGAGACAGCACAAGCTGGGTACCACATCATTCAGGCAACAGAATGCGGTATGCACATTTGGCGAGACTCACTGAAGGGCACCAAGCCTCTATTTGTCAATTTCGAGAAGTATAACGAGCGGTGCGAACCACCGCAAGGGGCGGTTTTCACGGAGATAGAAGCAGCCTTGCAGATACCTCCGCGAGAGGAGTATCAGCAGCCCGTCCGTTATTTTACGCCCGACGGCGGGGCAGTTAATAAAAACGATGACTTCGGCAAGGTATAATTGGGAGGCAGAGGTTTGTTACAGTTTCTTCTTAGTGAAACAAGAATACTTGATTAAGCTTCTGGACCTCCACCACGCGAATAATTGAAGGGCATTTATTTGTGGGAAGAACCTCGCAGCTCCCCTGTTGGAAGGTCGTTAATTGTCCTGTCGTGTCATGTTTGGGCTCAACTACTTTGCTTCATGCGATTCAGTTCAGGGAATGCGGAGCACGGAGCGACTCACTTGGTTGGGTCTTGATCTTCATGCGTAACAATCCCAAGCACAGCCACTCTCTTTTTTGTTTTATGCCCTTTTTATAGGTCGTGTTCCTGATCGAGGGAGGTCAATGGCAGTGGCCACCTGTGAAGCATGGCCACCGACACGCGCTCCAAGTGGACGACGGACGGATTGTGTATCTGGAAACCCGGTCCCTGCAACCACCTGTCTTTTTCATAGATTCACTCGTTATGTTAAGGCTCAAATTTCAGAAAGATTTTGTTATTTGTTTGAGAAGATATAATGTACTTTCTCGGTCCACCTCATCATTGGTCATTGGGGTTGGTCGCTGAGATCGAAGCAAAAGGGGGTTCTGTGAGAGAAGAGGGGAAAACCAAGGGGGGAAAATGAAAGGAGAGTCGTGGGGCCCTTTTGTTTCACAATCAGTTACCAATGAATGCTGAACTTTAATTATGGAGGACGAGGCTCAAGCTTTGATCGATTGGTCGAAGCCGAAGTTCAAGGATTCCGCGGTGCTCGTCATGGATGGCAGTTCGGCAAAAGACACGAAGAAGTGGCGGACAAGCCGCGACGTGCGGCCGGAAATGGGAGAGACACCGCTTATCCGTACTTTCGAACGAAGGGCGGAACAAGTGTCGAAGCTCTCGCGAGCACACCAGGAGCACATGCAAATTTTGGAGTACGACCTGAACGGGTACAGTTTCTCCTTCTACTCATCACCAACTTGCGCAATCCGCGTACTTTCGTGCTGCGAGGTTATTTTTGATTTAATTAGAAGAACTCAGAGAAGATTCAGTGACATCGCAGGGCCAATCCGAATCGGCTACTCAGCAGCATCATTCAAGTCGACTAGGGGTGGACCGCACTCAGTAGCAGTAAATCCTACCGTGTTTATCAATTACAATCACAATTTGTGACAAAACAGGACCAAGTACAGGTACTACCATGCGCACGACGACGCGACAAATTTGGAGTTGTACAAGGAGCAAGATCAATTGATACTTGAAAAACAGTATGGACACTTTGACCGCATGATAACCCTCTTCTGGTATTTGAATACGGTGGAGGAAGGAGGCGAGACAATCTTTCCGGCAGCCGACGGAACGCAGTGGCCAGAGGACATGTCTGCGTGTGGCGCAGGATTGAAAGTCAAGCCCCAACAAGGATCGGCAATCATGTGGTACAACATGAACGCAGACGGAAAACTCAATCGCTTTGCCCTCCATGCAGCGTGTCCGGTAAAATTTAACTCAATTTATCAGGATTGAAGAGTGCTGACCTACTTTTAAGCCAAATGGAGTGGTTGCGCCTGGACAAACAGTGATGTGGAACTGGATATGCAATGACTAACGCGAAAAAGCAAATTCCATCCTGAACTTCGATAAAACTCTTTCTTTGAGTCGCAAGGGAACAATATGCTTTCCGTTTTGGAAATCCATACCAGGTCACTCGCGGACAGAAATACGCCATCAATGCATGGATTTACAACAAGGAGCGCGCCGTCCCTCCGGCTAGCTGGAATAATGAGCATCCGGTGCTCAAGCGTCTAGGCCGCTCAGGCGGTGCCGTAGACGATGGTCACCGTCTACTTCACACAGTTTCTGCCAGTGCAAGAGACGTGCACATCTACTGGAAAAGTGACCGGCCTGACTGCGGTAACCAGTGTTACGAGTGTGGGAAATGCATCTCCAAAGTCATCTGGAGGAAAACAGTAAGAAGAAAAAGGCGTCTAGATGATCTCTATGATGGTAGGTGGTAGTAGGAGCACTTCTCAACATACACTCTATGATGCATTTTCTATACCTCTAACAGTGCGAGGTGTTCATGATCTCGCTCGACAGTAATAATAACCACGGTCATAGTCTGAACACCTTCCGTACGCACGTTTTTGTGGCACGAGATGCAAAAACAGGAGAATACCTGGATGAATATCAGGTTCACGCGACGCGAGTGCAGAGGTCGTGGCGCTGGGATATTAAGGAATCGCTGTCGTCAAAAGAGGCAGAACTCTGAGCGCAGCAGCAAAATATGTATATGTATGATAAGTGCAACAACGTAATGGTTTGGCGATTTTTAATCGCCACTGCAACGGGCTCGCTGGTGGGAGCAGTGCTAGGTTTCTTACGCGCGGGAACTTCCGACGGACGCAGCGAAAGCGTGCGACCGATTATCAGTCGAAAACAAACATTCGGGCAGCGACATTGAAGTCGGAATGGTCTGATATTTTCCTGGGACGGCCGCGGATTCAAAATCACAACGGCAGAAGGAAGTGTACAGATCATGCCGAAAGCGAGCGACGGAGCTACTTGACGGAGGACGAAATGTTTCTTATCAGTAATGTAGTACCGTACTTGTTGTCAGTGAGTGTGCTGCTGCTGCGTCGGTGTTACGCAACGTGCTACTTCTTTATTGAAGTCAACATTTATGGCACGCGCTTTAGATATTGTAAAAGTATTTTCATCGCAATTTGATTGGAAGAAGAGCCCAATCACAAGCAACTGTGAAAATGAAAAGAGAGCTTGCAAGATTCACACGATGTCAATGATCCTCGAAGAGCACAACAGGTGCACAGAAATTCCGTGATAAAAATCGTCTGTGAAATGAAGAAATACCTGGTGCGAGCGGCCTTGTCAGTTCGCACAGTGTACATTCTTGTTCCCCTAGCTGTCTACCGATCCGCGTCCTGTCGCTTACGATGCCTCAAGTAAAATGTTTCTGCTAAATTCTCTTGAAGGTGGGAAAGCTTATTACCAGAGTGCCAGTTGTACTTGTAGATCATCTTCCAAATGCATTGAGGAATCCTTCCAAATCCCTCTGCTTGTGTAGATCATCTTCATGTTAGTGCTCTCATCACCAATGTTCTTTGTACAAAGATGAGGGTTAGTTTCGATGCAGGGGTAAGTTGCTATGATACCGTGTCGATGTGTGCAACCACTTTCGATCTTGGTTGCACAAAGATGAGGGTCATGTGCGTAGAAACTTACCCGCCTAGTGGTAGCTCATGAAGAGCTCAACTATCCTTTTGTGGTAGATCATCTTCCAAATCCGTCTGCTTGTGTCCACACTTCTTCACGCCTGACAATGATAATTGTTGGAGAAATTTTCATGTCGTGCGAATGATCAGGGATTATTCTGGACCACTTATAATCCTTCATATTCCGTGCGAACAAAAGAAATCCGGACAGTCTTCCTGGACGGGGAAAGGTTGTGGCAGGATCTGATCCACGCGTCTGTTGGTTTGCTCCCCGATAAATTACAAGACTGTACTTGAGTTTTTCTCTAGTGTATCCGTATAAATCAAATTCATACAACGACAGGCCTTTTCGACCTGGCGTCGCTGTTTTGTAACCCCTTTTTACTTTCACTGCAGCTTGTGGTTGTGCATGTATTCGTTGTCATATCTGGACTCCACCACCTTGTAATCCACCAAAATAAATCAAGGAAATATACTTACTTACTGTTCCGAAGATTACTGTTCATTACTGTTCCGCTTTTGGTAACTGAAGATAAGTCTGAAGTTCCCGCCTTTTCTCTCAGTTTTTGAAGAGACTAGTTCTTACTCATTCAAAATGATGAAGCGTGTTTTCGGAGTTGCCGCTATGTCGGCAGTCGCGCTCGCAGACAAGGCCAAGTCTTCTTCTGCTGTCCAACCAGGGAGCGGCCCGCTCATCACGGCTGTGGGAACCTTCGAATTCATCTCGAGCTCTGTAATAATAATTTTTTAAGTACTTAGTCGGTTTACCTACTAAGAGAAATAGTTGCTACTAATCGTGAATGAAGATGATGATCTTCGTGAATGTAGACAACGCTTCTAATATGATATAGATACCGCCCACGTGCCCCCGGCGTGTACACACGCCGGGGCAGGGCGGAAGGGTCTGGCAAATGCTACGAGTTACATAGAACCCATACGGCCTACCGGCGTGCTACGAATTACGTAAAGAGTGGCGGGCTATGGAATAAGCAAAGCAGCTCCGCGCTACAAGCTACTACGTGCTACATAAACCCCCACCCTGGCAGCACCCGAAACGCCCAAAAGGAACTACTTCGAACGAATGAGGCAAACGGGTAACCAAATACATACGCCGAGAGTCAAATCCTTGAGCAGATCACTCCAGGCCTGCTGTTTTCGGTTCTCAGCGTAGTGGCTAGGCGAAGCACTGCAGTCGACTCCGCTCACCGTGAGAACCTCGCGCGCCCCCTTGCCCGGGTTTTGGGCGTGGGTCCCCTACTCTTGGAGTGTGTTGCGTCTCCGGCTGGCATGGCAGTGTCACGAGGGGGGCCCCAGGCTTGTCTCTTTCGGTTCTCCGCATAGTGGGCGAAGCACTGCGCCCGACTCCGCTCACCATGAGAACGTCTACCGTGGATCTTTCCCGTGGAGAGAACTAGGGGGCGGCCCCGTTTTTTTTTCTTTTTGTTTGTTTGTTTTTTTTTACTCTTTGCGCCGTTTTGGGTTTTCCATCCAAATCACGCAGCTTTATGGCGTCGCGTTGCTGCCTACGTTTCAGCTGCTTCGCGTTTGCTCTCTGTGAGCCATTTACACTCCCAAGCTTACGGCGAGTTGCGCTCTATCGCTTAGCCTCCCTGTCTGCTTCTGGCTTTCTCGAGAGGTGTGGGCATGCGTCATCTCAAGGCTTTGATCTAAGTGAACAAGAACAACGCCACGCGAGCAGTGCTGTGCGGCTTTCATGTGCTTGGGCGATGCAATCTTATCTGTGAGCCGCTTGAGCTTTCTGATCAGAAAGCATGCCCAAGCCTATGGGCTTGCTGGTTACTTATGGCTTACTCGAGAGGCCTTGTCCTTTGCGCCCATTCTTTTCTGATCCAAAAAGCGCAGCGCGATGAAGTTTCTGCGTACTTGTGAGCTGCTTAAGAGGCCCCACCCTTTGGCTCAGTTCAAGACCCTCACCCAAACGGCGCATCGCTGTGAAGCTGCTGGCCCTTTTGACTTGCTGGGAAGGTCTCACCCTCTGACCCAGCGCAGGCACCCTACCCAAAAGGCGCAGCTTTATGAAGTTGCTGCCTACTTTTGAGTGACCTGCTTGAAGGGTCTCGGCTTTTGACTCTGCTCAAACCTCCCACCCAAAAAGCGCAGCTGTATGATATTGCTCTCTACTTTTGACCTGCTTGAAAGGTCCCAGCCTTTCAGTCAGCTCACTCAGAGGTCTCCCACAATCAAAGGGCGCAGCTCTATGAAATTGCTGCCCACTTTTGACCTGCTGGAAAGGTCTCGCTCTTTGGCCCAGATCTGGCCAGCTTGGTTATTCAAGGCGCGCAGCTTTATGGAATTGCTGCCCACTTTTGACCTGCTTGAAAGGTCCCACCTTTTGACCAAGCTCGGGCATCCTATCCAAAAAGCGCAACGCCATGGGGCTGCTGTCTGCTTTTGGCTTGGCTTGCTTGAGAGGTCCCGCCTTTTGCCTTTCTTTGCTCAAGCTCCTTGCTCAAAAAGCGCGCTCTACTTCATGAAGCTGCTGCCTACTTTTGGCCTGCTCGTAAGGTCCCGCGCTTTCACTCAGTCAAGTCAGGCGCCTTACTCAAAGAGCGCAACTCTAGGAAATTGCTGCCCACTTTTGACCTGCTTGAAGGGTCCCACCTTTTGACCCAGCTCAGGCCACTCAGGCATCCTATCCGAAGCGCGCAGCTTTATGCGATTGCTGTCGTCTTCTTTTGGCCTGCTTGAAGGGTCCCGCCTTTTCACTCTGCTCCAGCCTCTTATGCAAAGCGGGTGGCTTTATGCGTTTCCTGTCTATTTTTGACTTGCTTGAAAGGTCCCACCCTTTGACCCAGCTCAGGCCCCTTATCCAAAGAGCGCAACGCCATGAAGCTGCTGCCTCCTTTTGAGCTGCTTGAAAGGTGTCGCCCTTTGACTTAGCTCAGACCTGTTATCCAAAGCGCGCAACTCTATACCGTTGCTGTCTGCTTTTGAGCTGCTTGAAAGGTCTCACCCTTTGACGTCGCTCAGACTCCTTATCGATCCAAAAAGCACACCTCTACGAGATTGCTGTCTACTTTTGACCTGCTTGAAAGGTCTCACCCTTTGAGTCAGCTCAGACCTCTTATCCAAAAAGCACAACTTTATGAGATTGCTGTCTACTTTTGATCTGCTTGAAAGGTCCCACCCTTTGACGTCGCTCAGACTCCTTATCCAAAAAGCACAACTCTATGAGATTGCTGTCTACTTTTGACCTGCTTGAAAGGTCTCACCCTTTGAGCCAGCTCAGACCTCTTATCCAAAAAGCGCAACTTTATGAGATTGCTGTCTACTTTTGATCTGCTTGAAAGGTCCAACCCTTTGAGCCCGCTCAGGCTCCTTATCCTAAAAGCGCAAACTTATGGGATTGCTGTCCACTTTCGAGGTGCTTAAAAGGTCCCAGCCTTTTAGTTTGAGCCAGCTCAGGCTTCTTATCCAAAAGGCGCAGCTTTATGAAGTTGCTGCCTACTTTTGACGTGCTTGAGCGGCCCCATCCTTTGAGTCAGCTCGAAATCCTTATCCAAAGCGCGCAGCTTTATGAAGTCGCTGGCTACTTTTGACCTGCTTGAAAGGTCTGACCCTTTGAGCCAGCTCAGGCCCAGGCGCCTGATCCAAAAAGCACGCAGGTGCTAACTTGCTCAGCGTATAGCTGCTGGGTGCTTGCCTCTGTTTGCATTTCTTTGTTTGCATGTGGGTCCTTTTTGTAGCACATACGCAGACGCAGCGGATTCTCTTCATGAGATGACTGGCCCCAGGCTGAGGCGCTTCGCTCTTCGTTTATTTTTGACCATGCAGCGCGGTCCTTGGCTTGTGCTGTTGGTTCAGGGTTTTGAGGTACTGCCGAAAGCCTTAGCAGGAGCAGAATCGCGGGAAAGTTGTACTCAAAAGCGCGGCACTTTTACGGCGCGAGATGTATACATCTACCCCGTACATCTTTCCCATGATTTCCGTACATCTCAAAAAAGTGGAATTTTGGAAACCTACTATGAATCGCCCCGGTGTAAGTACATCTCAAGAGTACATCTTTCCCGTGATTTACGTACAAGATATATATCTCGAGATATATATCTCAGACGTATACATCTCTCCCGTACATCTTTGCCATGATTTGCGTACATCTCAAGGCGTAAATTCACTCCCGTTTAGCATTCAAAATAAGTTTTGGTTTATAATATAGATAATTATAGTATTTTCTTGCTTATCGATTGTTACAATGACAAGATGTGGACAGACACGAGAAGTGCATCATGTCTCTGTCAAACAAGAAAAGTTGTGAAAATCAAGATCAAAATCAAAAATTAACAGGTAAGTGCTAGTAATCTTTATCGTGTGAATGAGAAGAAGTTATTCTTATTTTTCAACACTGACTGTAACCGTTGATCGTCATCACAATGAACACCAGGTGACTGTGACGAAGGATTTGGTTGTATTTGGTGCTTTGACAGCGAAGGATGTGGTCATGCAGAAGCTGCCGCCTAAGGTGCAAGGACAGATTGAGGAGAAGCTTGATTTAGTTGCAGAGAAGGCAAGCTTGGGCTACGCACAGGCGGAGACTCTGCGACTTCAGAATGGTATTCCTCCCCTGAGTGAAATCGCCTCCACCACGTGGACGAGAATGCAGCCAGTGTTGAAGGTGATCGAAGCTTCGCCACCATTCCAACACACAAAGGGCTTCGTCGGCAGCTTCGAAAAGGCATACCCCCAACACAAAGTTAAGAACGGCAGCTTCGAAAGGGCGTACCCTCAGCTTCGAAAGGGCGCACCTCTTGCCCTAATCCATCTTCTGAAGCATCTTAGACCTGTCCCGTAAGGGGAAAATAGGTCCAAGATGAATCCCGTGACTCAAGGGGAAAGGTCCAAGGCTTTTCAAGCGGAAAAGGGGAACAGGATGCTTTTCAGGATGGATTAGGGTGAGCACTAACAAAGGCGTGCTGTCCGGACTGGGCTTTCTCGATCTCGTCCTCGCAGCAATGTTCTTGGGCTACATTGTCCTCGGATACATGCTCAAGATGTTCTGCTATGGTACTTTTTTTCTTTCTACATTTGTTGTTCTACTCGATAAGAAGTGAATGTGTTTGTATCTCATTCTCGAATAGTGTTGTTGGACATTATAAAAGCCCTATTTGAAATGTTATAACCCTCACATATTTTTGTTAATTTGAAAGAGCAGAGCTTTTTGCCATCCTACTCGCGCATAAAATTTTGGGCTGAAGAATACATTGTGCGGGACTAGGGTTGGGGGGATGAATAGAAAAGTTTACGACCCTTGTTACGCTTGTCCCTGTCCACAACAAAAAGAGTTCTTTTTACTCGTCCCGTATCTTTCTATTGACAGAAGTTGACCCTCTCAAGTGCTTACGATAATTCATTGCCTGTTCTTCACGATCTCTACATATTTGTTCGGATATAATTCTTAGTCTTATAGGTCAGTCTCTGTCCCTATTGGTCCCTATCTTCCAGATGTGATTCCCATCACCATTCCCCACTCATAAACAGTGTTCTGCTGCGGATGCTGCGCCAAGCGCAAGCGCTCGTCTTCTTCTCCGGTCGAGCTGAAGAAAAAACCGGTCACTCAGGACAAGAAGCGCAAGTAAATGGTAACCCAACATATTAGAAGAAGACTTGTATATATGTTCATACAAGATGGAAGATGAAACTCTGAAGATTAAGAAGATAATAGATCAGAAGATCATGGGTATATGATGAACGATCTCGTAGCTACCCCGAAATCGAAGATTTGGGGTCGAGGATTTTCCGAAGAGACCGTGTGTCACAACGCGGATGCAGTGTTATGGTGCATAGTCATTCAGGGATTACATCAGCAGAAAGTTCCAGTGGCTCTGAGTCTCTCGTCAGGGGGGCAGATAGACTGAATTCATTCTTGTACCTTTTTCCAACACACAAACCATCATCTGCTCGAAGGCATGTGACATGGTCCGAGTTCTTATCACACACAGTAACTTATCACAATTTGCATCGATATCAGGGGGATGGCGAGGTGCGTTTGCGCCAAGAGGGAGGTGGTGCACGCGTCCTTGTCCTTTCTACACGCATTTGATTGACTATTTCACTACCACGCTTGACATTTTTTACTACAGATGAATCCAGTGCTTGACGTAGGTTTGAAGAAAGGCTAAACTTTATATTTTTCGTTAAATTGGTTTTGGTTGATGAGAAGGAACAAAAGTCTCTACTGCCTATCAAGGAGTGGATTCTGGCATGGTAAATTGATGTAAGATAGTTTCTCTCATTCTGGAGAAAACTATCACAAGAAGACTACCACACACACACACATATTTCAGCCCCGGTTCGTGTGGTCCTCGAAAGAGAAGATATTGATCACCTCCCGAAACAATGCATGTGACGCGCATGATCAATCATGCTCTACATGGAACGCACTATGAGGTAGCAACCTCGTTGAAAGATGTGTGAAACCTCGAAAAAAAGGACAGAGCACGGGGCCCGCCTTCGTACTCTGCTCGAAGTCACCCTCGTCTAGGATGCTGCCTGTTACTTGGATACAAGTTGACTCGCGGATTGAGTTTGTGTTCGAAATCTGAGACAGGCACCTCGTGTGAATGTCGCACGCAAAGAGAGCTAGTTTAAAAGTAGTATTAGCATCTTATCTTCTAGCAAATCTTGAGGATCGCTACGCACCGTCCGTGGCAGGCATTCAGGTTGTATCTTTCTTGAAGAAAAAACGAGATTTTCGTGGACACCGATGCTGATTTTCTGAGCTAGAAGTACTGTGTTGGGTTAATATACAGCGTTCCTCGCATGAAGTGATTGAAGCTTCTTTTCAAGGCTAGCGTCCTGGAATCGGTCGTGCGATAGAAAATGGTGCTTAGTAGAGCCTTGCTTCTTTAATATTTTGCAGGTCATTTCAGAAGGAAAGCGCACCCTTTGAGCATCCCCTTTCACGTTATGCTGTACATTGTGACTTTACACTGTTCTTAGCATTAGCGAGGTTCTACTAGTGCGATAGCGTTAGCGCCCTCGTCTAGTGACAAGGAGTACTTCCTCTCCGCTCGCAGCTTTGTCAGCTTTGCGGAGTTGCATTCGCACGCTGTTTGGTTTTATGGAATACAACGAAGAGGACTCGAAAGACTTTAGACTTGAAGCGCATTGACCGAAACAACCTTAAGGACTGAGCATGGCTCTTTATTGCTGGTTTTGTATTTTCAAGTTGGGGTTGTGTGTCATACTTACAACAATACTGAGATTTTCAGACTCTTTTCTTAACCGCGAAGTGTCCCTGAATAACGAACTGAAAAATCATCTTTGTTCGCTCGTTGTCGCATGACCAAAAAATGGTGCATTCAGTGTAGAGATGCCTCTCTGCTTTGTCGCTCATTTCCTCTTCGGAATCGTATGACCTGCAGCAGCATCGTCGATCTTGATCATTGTCGACGGTGGGATTCGTGACTACCGCAGGAAAGATTAGACCGGTGACGTTCTTCTGACATGACATAAGTGGTAGAGCAAGTGGTCAGCTGAGCGAGAAGACTAGGACATCGATCTAACCTTACCATTTGACGAGGATGGTATAAGAGTAGGGGCTGCTACGGCGCATGATTGATGTTGTTGCACCTGGTGCTTTTGCAAGAACGCCCTTATTGAATTGTTGGAAGCAGAGTTCTATCTTGCGACTTTGGAAGTGGTCACAGGATGATGGAGTCTGACGAAGACTGCGCCTCCGATGGAGGCAGCTACCATTACGATTCCGACGATAACGACTACGACTCCGATGTGGAAATGACCAAATCGGGCGATGGTGCGACGCCGGACGTAAAGGATGCCGTTGTAGATAAAAATAGGTCGGACGGAGTTGTCAGTGCCGCTGTGTCCTCAGTCGCGATTTTAGAAGTTTCTGCTTCAGCAGCGCAACAATGTGCACCAACGTCGGGCTCAACGGATGGCAGTTGCGGCTTACCTCTGAGTAGCGCCACATCACCTCCCAAAGCCACTGATACACGGAAGCGCGATGCGTCAATAGCGGCAACCGTTCGGTCGGTATCCTTAACTGGACAGCACAGAGAAAAGCGCAGCCAGTCGAAAACACCAACTGCAACGCGGGGAGGGGTCGACGACGGAAACGTACTTCATATGTGCTTTTTTCATGCATAGGGAACCACAAGTGATCGTTGGGAAACAACTTATTCTAAGTCTGTCGCGTAAGATGTGTCGCGTATTATTTGTCAGTAGGTTACAAATACAAAAGTAGAGAACTACTACCAGAGTCCGCTATTTTCGTCATCTACAGTGACACTAGTTGAGTTTTCAGTATGTGCATGAAGTCGCGCTATCCGGTTATTAATTTGGTGTTTTCATTTGGTGTTTTCATTTGGTGTTTTCATTTGGTGTTTTCATTTGGTGTTTTCATTTGGCGTTTTCGTCCACCAGGTCTTTGACACAGAGCTGTCAGACGATTACTCTCTTCCCAGTAGCCCCAAGATACAGCGAAAGCAAGCGTCAGACTTTCGGAGTCTATCGTTTCCTAGGGACGTGGGGCGCGAAATAGATCGACTCGTCGCGCAAGTTAGCGAGCTCACGGCACTAGAGAGTCCTGAAGCGAAAATTCTACTGCGTGAATTCAAGTGGGACCCAGAGCAGCTAACAGAGGCGTGGTTCAGCGATCCGGAACGCCTTTGCAAGAAAGTTGGCTTGACAATAGCACCTGAAAATGGCGGACCAGGCGGATCGTCATGTAGCTCAAGTAGTTCGTCAAGCAGTTCGTCAACGAACGCAAGCGGGCCAATCACATGCAATGTGTGCTTCGAAACACTGCGCTCGCAGAGGATACTGACACTTGCGGATCTGCCGGACCTGCTCTCGAATACGCCGCGGCCAAAAGACTCCTCGTATCTTCACGGAGGACGCAGTAGAGGTTTGCCAGCGAGTTTTGGCGTCATAGACCTTGACCCGGCACCGGACGATAGCTCGCGGCTGTTGCCGCTCGACGACGACGACGCCACCACTACCAGCTTGCTTGACAATCCACCAGGGAGAACAGCGAGTGTGGCCCCAGGCCGCCTCGAGCCGTTAGACGACGACGACCCGCAGGCTTTTGCGTTGCCCTGTGGTCACGTGTTTTGCACCCTGTGCTGGAAGGGGCATTTTCAAACAGGGGTCGGGGACGGCGCTACATGCCTGACGCTTCGATGCATGGCGGATAAGTGCCCCGAGCGAGTGCGATGGTCAATGTTTCCCGTACTCGCGGCAGACTGTGAAGCAAAAGCGCTCGAGTACGAAAGGAAAAGGTACTTGCTTCAAGATTGGCTATATTTAACTGATCAACAAGAAGAACCCATTGAATAAATTGCTAGTTTTCCAAGAAATTTGTTCAAGCGCCCATGACCATGGTCATCAACAATTATTTCATCATCATCTTCTTCTTACCAGTTACGTCGAGCTTTCCCAGCGATGTAAGTGGTGCCCATCACCTGATTGTAACAATTGCGTCATTGTGAATGATGTGTGTAGGACTATAGAGTCTGTCCGAGATCCGTGGATTCGAACTGCTAAGAGGCCAGCGGCTGATACCTCGCCACCCGCAGGGGAAGCCGACGATGGGCGAAAGGCCGGCGCAGGCAAAGGTGATAAAGGCGAGGGTAAGGGCCGCGGCGACGCGAAGAGGGCGAAGCATGGAAGAGCGGAAGCGCGGATGGTCGAGGCGGCGCAAGATCGAGCCGAAATACTCGCACTGCGGCACGACCAGCTGCTAACGAGGATGGGCGAATTAAGAGCACAGCGAGAAGCTTTGGTGGAGGCCGGAAAAGACGCGCTCAAAGGAAAGGGCAAGGACGGTAAAGCAAAAGAAGGCAAAGGGAAAGGCGGTAGAGGTGCGAATTTCATGGGCGCTCTTTTTGACACTGTAAGAGGATTCATGTACCAAGACACCCCGACAGAAAAGGAGGAGAAGCATGACGTACTACAACACATTCTATTTTTTCACGGGCCCGCATTAGAAGTGAGATACTGGAAGAAGAAAAAGTTTCTTTCGAGAGATAATCATTTCAGTGACATTCTTTTTTACCAAACTTTCCAGCCTCGCTCTGTCTATCTTCATGTTGTTCCTTCACATGGCTTCTCAGTTTCTTCAAACCCTCCCTGCTGACTCGGGTAACGCCGATATTCAGCCGTTGCAGTGTCGAGAGGTGGAGTGCTCACGTTGTGAGTACAAGTGGTGCTTTGCGTGTAATAGCGAGGGTCACAAGGGGATTTACTGCCACGTTGTCCGCAAATGGTCTGAGAAGAACCAAGACGAGGCAGAGAACGTCACTTGGATTATCGCTAATACCAAATCCTGTCCGAAATGCAAGAACCCGATCGAGAAAAACCAAGGCTGCATGCATATCGTTTGTCGTTGCGGACATCAATTCTGCTGGTATGGAGAAGTTAGATTTTTGATGAATATAGTAAAGTCTTTCACGCTTTAGTTTCTTAATTTATAACGAGTTTAGGATTTGTAGCTGAAAGACTTACTGAACGAGACGGATTCACTAGTGCTTTTGCTTCAGTGATACTATGAATTTTTATACCACTTGGGGACAGCCGACAGCTGCCGGCATGCTTGCTTGATATTTTTCACTCCAGGTTGTGTCTTGCAGACGATTACAACTACTCGCATACACGGGACGGCAGGCCGTGCAACAAATTTATGCAGCCGGACGAGGAGAAGGAGCATAGTCGCAAAAATCTTGCGAGGTAATTAAGCTGGACTGCTCTCAAGCAACAACTATGATGATTTTTTTGGTTTTGTAAAAAGTTACTATGATTGATGTCAGTAAGAAATGGTGCATCAAATCACTCCTGACGCATATCGTCGACTGAAGCCATGTTAGATTTGCTTCTCAATTCCTTTTTCAGGTACGCCCACTTTTTCGAACGATTTCGAGCACACGAGCAGTCCCAGTCGATAGCCCAACAGAAGACACTGAAGCAAGTAAGGGGCAAGATGGAAGATCTGCAGAAGTTGTTCGGGAATTGGGAGGACGTGCTGTTTCTAGAAGAAGCGATCAAACAACTAATTGACTGTCGCCGAATGCTGAAGTGGACGTACGCGTTCAGCTACTTCTTAGGCAAGAGCTCAGAGTTGTTCGAGTTCCAGCAAGGGCAGTTGGAGCAGAAAGTCGACTCATTGCAGGCTTTGTTCGAAAATTCGCCTTTTATCAAGCGCGATCTGCTTGCAGAAGCCGACAATCCGGAACAGCAGGGAAGCGGTGCGAGTAGTAGTAGTAGCACTAGTACTGGCCGAGCATCTTCATCCAGTAGCAGCGCAGCAAGAGCACATGGCGCAGCTTCTTCCTCGATAACTGCAACGGCATCTAGCACTTCCAACAATACTTTTTCTCTCGTGCCGACCTTCGGAGCGGCGTCAGCGTCTTCGGGTACGCCTGCCTCTGCTGGGGCGACGCGCGAGGAGTTCATGGCTTTCAAGCAGGAGCTGACGAATTTGACGAAGGTAGTGAGCAATTTCTTTCTCAACATCACCGACTTCTTTGACACCATCCGACCAGAGCAACTGCTGCTCCTTAATGGGTCGTCGTCCTGACGCTCTCGTTGTCGTTGATGAAGTACGGGAGAGAAAGAGGTTCGTCTTACTGGCCAGGATTCGTCGAGGGTGACTTTTTTTCAACGTTCTAGCATTTTGATAGCCAATTAGCACTAGTCTTACTTGTATCGCTGAGCTTGCACCCTTTCCCCACGACAGAAGCACTGAGGTGCTAAAGTCATGAAGGCAAAGAGGGACGGGGTAAGTCATCACGTAAAGATATCTTGTATTTTGCGATGAGAAAAATGATAGACATTTCCGCGCGCTCCCCTCGGCCCGGGTGTTAAATGACCATTCCGCCTCCAGTCTTCCTGACAGTGACCCGAAGAAAAAATCCCAATTCATTGATCCCCTGTTCAATTTCAATTTTTACGGAAGACAGTATCACGGCAAGGAAAAGCTGCTTGCTTGCAAACAAATAACCACGAGTCAGATTCGCGTTCCGCGGATAGAATTCCAGTGTCACAACTTCCATACGTAAGGAACTGCGGATCTACTTGGAATGATGTCAGTCGGTTAGATGATGCGCGTCGGGCAGAAAAGCCTATGATGTTTAAGTGCTCGGTGCGGCAAGAAGAATGATCACTGTGAAATCGGTCCACTATCAAAACCAGCGTCAACTTATGTCTTCGACGAGTGATAGACCAGTGGCGGCTGTGAAAATTGAAAAAAAAATGCTGCAAAGAGGTCTAGTTTTGAATTTTCAACATATTGGTCCTACAGTTTCTTCATAAGCAGTGATGTTCGGGTTTGTTTTCTTACAAAAAAGTATTGAGTTTCATCCCGATCCCGATATTCTGTTTTGGAATTTCATTCTTTTTCTTAGGCCTTGTTCCCCAATTTTTCTGCCTATCTTGTGAAGAAAAACAGTCGAAAACTACTCTGTATTTTTCTCAGAAAAACACCAGTATCAAGAATGCAGGACAAGAGTGACATTGATCGTCTCATTCTTCCGGACGATGCCATCCCGGTTTTGTATATACTTACGCTGCGCCCGGACTTGGAGCGATGCGTTTTCAGTGGGAAGTTGGAGGTACTCTACGACGTTGAAGTGGCTTGCTCAGAGCTCAGCCTCAATGCAAGGGAGCTCACGTTCAACGACGCGTACTTTCTGACCGCAGCCGGTGACAAAATCGAGGCGGAAAGTATCACCTTTCAGCCGAAATTAACCACCGTGGTCATCAGTTTCGGCGATGAAGTATTGCCAACTGGCCAGGCAGCAGGGAAACTCGTCATCGAGCGATTCGATGGTAAACTTTTGCTCTCACATAAAGAGTAGAAGTATCACCAAGTATTTTTCTTGCATAGAGCCAGAGCAGACACTCTAGAAATCGCTTGTGCTGACTATTTATCGTCTGGTTCAGACTCCTTATGATGAAGTAACTGATAATCTTGATGACATGATTAGTCGGATTTCTTCCAGCTCTCTCTCGAGAAAAATCAGGTATTTTGAACGACCAGATGGCAGGCTTTTACCAATCGAACTACGTTGACACACTGGGCAACAAGAGGCGACTTGCTGTCACGCAGTTTGAAGCCATCGACGCACGAAGATGCTTCCCCTGCGTTGACGAGCCAGCAGTAAAAGCCAAGTTCAAAGTCACAATAACGTGTGATAAGAAATTCCAGGCTTTTTCCAACATGCCGGAGTTATCGCGAACCTCCAATGAGGCCGAAGGCACAGTCAGCCATGACTTCCGAGAAAGCCCTAAAATGAGCACATACCTCCTGGCGTTCTTAGTCGGAGAACTAGACTACGTCACTCAGGAAACCGTAGGCGAGCACGGTCCAAAAACTATGGTGCGGTGCATGTCGGTAAGAAAATGAAATTTTGGTTTTGACGCCGTTGCTTGGTCGTTGGTCTCTTGCATTGAAAATTCATTCTCAACTTCTCCGCGCTCATAGTTATGGATAAGTATCCTGGTGAATCAACACTTTTTTTCTGCCAGACGAATTTTTGGTCAATACTTTGCTTTCGCAACAATCGATTTGAAAACTCAGGTTCCTGGCAAAAGTGAGCAGCTGCATTTTTCGCTCGATGTCGGCGCGCGTTGCCTGGAATTTTACAACGAGTTTTTTGGTATCCCATATCCTCTGCCCAAGCTGGATATGGCTGCTATCCCCGACTTTGCCGCGGGAGCGATGGAGAACTGGGGTTTCGTCACCTACCGTGAGATTGATCTCCTGTGTGATGTGCAGAAGACTTCCACAGTGAGAAAGCAGCGTGTTGCATCGGTCGTCACCCACGAGCTGGCGCACCAATGGTTCGGGAATTTGGTGACCATGGAGTGGTGGAATGATCTTTGGCTGAACGAAGGTTTCGCGAACTTTATGCAAACTTTTAGTGCGGACGCCTTGTTTCCGGAATGGCGAATCTGGGAGAGCTTTGTCGCGGATGACCAAGCAGCAGCGCTAAGGCTAGACTCTTTGCGCTCATCGCACCCGATCCAGGTACCGATTCCGAAGGCGGAGCAAGTCGACGAAATCTTCGATGCAATCTCATACTGCAAAGGTACTTTTTAAATGATGGTTTTTCTTGTGATAGCGTGACCCAAATGAATAAAGTTTTCTCGCTGAAAATTGGAATTGCGAATTTAGTAGGTAGTATACTCTCAAAGAATATTGGCCTTACGCTTTCGCCAGTTGTCTTTCGCCCTCTTTCTCTCGCGCCCAGATCTTTCGGCAATGCAGCCGCGCGCCCTGTGTTCCTAGTTTGGGTAGCGAATTTTGTTGGCTCTCCTTCCATGCGGCCCGCATTCGCCTTGTAGGGGCTTCTGCGGCCCTTCACGCCAGCCGCCTGTGATTTCTAGGTTCGCTTCACGCAACATAATCGACCTTTAATTTGCCTTCATCAAGTAGATAGAAGTAGCTACGAGCCACCTCTCGGATGTATGTCTGATCCATACGAAGTTTGACTACCTTTATTGAATGGACAGCAAAAAGCAAAATCTCATCTTATATTCCTTTTATCTCCAGCAGTGGCGATCAAAGTATTTGAAAAAGTCTATTGTCATTGCGATCAATCATCATGAAGATGAAGCTATGTAGTATGACGGTGAGGACTTGTTCTTGTAATTCGAATTCGTCTATTCTGTCCTTCACCAGGTGGATCTGTCTGCCGCATGATTTACGCCACTTTGGGACGGGAAAAGTTTCAAGAGGGCTTGCAAACATACATGCAGAGACACGCTTACAGCAATACGCAGACCTTCGACCTTTGGAAATGCTGGGAGGAGGTTTCGGGAAAGCCTATTGGCGATATGATGAAAGGTTGGACCGAACAAATGGGCTTCCCCGTTTTGACCGTGTCGCGATCGGACGCGACTACGCTCGAGATCTCGCAGCGGTGGTACCTGGCCGACAACAGCGTGCAACCAGGTGACGAAGAAAAATTGTGGACAGTGCCTATGTTGTTCGCGACAAACAACGGATACCAGACGGAAATCGACTTCTTGAAGGAGAAGACGCAGACTTTTAAGCTCCCACAGGGATCGAAGTGGGTCAAGGTTAACGCGGGACAATTCGTGCCGACTAGGGTTTTGTACCAAGGCACGGAACTTCTCGAAGACTTAGCGAAGGCGGTCGAATCAAAGGAACTCTGCGCAGAGGACAGGTACTGCTGAAGATTGTTGATCAAAAAGAAAATGCTTAGGCTGTTTACATGATGTAGAAGTCAAGTGTGTATTCGAACAAAACGAAGCTTGGGAAATGAAAAATCACATTCGGGCCAACGCACAAACTGAATGCTCCACACTCAGAATCGGAGTGCTGCAGGACACTATGGAGCTTAGTCGCAGCGGTCATTTGGAGGATCCAACAGCGCTCTTCTTCCTCCTGCGTGGCTTTGCAAAAGAGGACAACAGTAATGTGTGGGCGGCTCTCAAGACAGCAATCGACGGATTAGACCGCGTAATGAGCGAGCTTGACGTCTATCCCAAGTTTCAAGCCTTCATTGCGGACATGATAAAGGAACCCGCGGAGCGTCTTGGTTGGGATCACAAACCCGATGACGACGACTTGACTAAGCAGCTTCGCGGCGTCCTCATCGGCCTCTCTTCAACGTACTAATCATTTAAGAAATATTTAGTCTCGTTGCCCGCAGCTACTAGAATTGAACGAAAACAACGTCAAGTAAAAATACATTTTCTGCTCTTATTTGAATGCGGTCAACGCAATGCGACAGGTTCGCGTCGCACAGCGCCACCGTGCAGGCAGAAGCTACGAAACGGTACGAGGCGTTCTTAGCGGACCGAAAAACTTCGTTGTTGCCGGACGACTACAAGCGAAGCGTGTTTTGCGTCATGCTGCAGAACGAAACACAGGGAGTTGAGGTGTGGGAGCAGCTCGTCGGCATAATGAAAGACCCACAGACGCAGCAGTCTCATCGACTCGCCATCATGGCCGCACTTGGTTTCGTGCACAGTGTCGAGTACAAGCGCAAGACGCTCGAAGAAACGTATCACATCAAGATTCAGGACTTCTTCTATCCGATGACCGGGGTGCAGGGCAGCGGCAAGGCTGGCAACCTGCTCATCTTCGACTGGATGAGAGAAAATTTCGATACCATCAAGGCCCGTATTTCGGGGGCCAACAGTTCGCTGCTGCAGCACGTGGTTAGCGTCTCCTGCTCCGGTTGCACCTTTCAGCGAGCAGAGGAAACGGAGGCCTACTTCCGCGACCGAAATGAGCCAAGTATTCAGCGGACGCTGAAGCAGGTATGCGAGAAGACTCGCGTGAACGCACGCTTCCTCGACCTACTCCAGAAGTCCGAACTCGTTACCGCTGAATTCTGGGCCACGAAAATGAAAATCTGATGACGTCTTATTCTCGTGATTTCACATGGACGTGAAGGCTCTTCGGTAAGTACTTCGTAGCTTTATTGAGCTTGAATTTGTAAGAACAAGAGGCACTGCCCTAGCACAGCGATGGTTTGCTAGTACTCAATCTTGTTTTTAAAGCTCCGTGAGAGACAGCTCAGTGTTTCTGCTTGAGATTGTAGCTCTTCACTTTTGAGCTGAATATACTCGTGGCACGCATGTCCTTGCTTATTGTGATACATACTTTTTGTGGTGGACGACGCACTTTTTCCTTGCTGACTCCTGCCTTGATCTTGATCTTGACCTTTCTCTTGATTTCGTGACAGCGCGCCTGTCAAGAATGGACGCAATCAATCACTATGTGCGCACGCAATCGACTCTCTCGTTTTCGTTTTGTCTCCAATACTAATCTTTATCAGGAGGAACAATAAATGAAACGCCCCACCCAGCAGCGCACTCCATTCATGCAGAGCAAAAGGCTCTGAATGCCAACCATCCCTTTTGCGTATGCGCGTGCACAGTTTTTCAATTTTTTGCAGGACCATGCAGTGAACGCCAAATCGAGCGAGTAAGAGAAATGGAAGAAAGCATGACTCATTGCATATGGTGTTCTCTGGCTAGCAGTGCATTGCTGTTTTGTAGTACTTGCGTGGGACTTCGTGGTTTGCTGTACGTCCTAGGTAGGTTCGCATTTGGTGTAGTACAATTACGAGTGAAGAGAGAATTGAAATCGTCCTGAAGGCCCTTTCACCGATCGCGTTCGAATACTAATGAGGTTTGATCTAATACTACATGGATATCCGTTCTACTGTGTACATGTAGGTGCAATCCCGTTCGCTTACAGAGGAAGACCCTTTTTCCGACATGATGTGCATGTCCCTTTCGCTTTCTCTCCCAATCTTTGCATTTCGTGTCGCAGGTGAGTCTGATAGAATCAATAGCCATGCAGATTTTTCTTACTTGTCAAACATGCGAAACCTTCGCAGGTAATAATATTAGTAGTCTCTACGATCACTAGCGAGAATCGTAGTTGCTCTTGATATCTCCTTGGTTAGGCATGATCGACATCATATGGGCGTAGAGGTAGAGTTATTCTACAGTTAAGAAATACACATGACATGATTGGCGCAAAAAACCTAACATTTCGTGTTTTCTTGATTCGAAGGCTCTAGTCAGTGAGTGTGATCCTGTCACAACTTCCTGTGCATAATAGTATTCTTGGAAAAAATGCTTTGCCCCGGCGCTTGGTTGGGCTCTGGGTCGTCTGTAGTGCATCCGTGACTCGGCCGGGTTGCACGTCACTTCCATTATACATCGAGGCTCTCTTCATACTGTTTTCCTGTCGCTGAGGACGAGACCTCGTCGAAGAATTCAAAGAGCAGTGGCTGTTTCCGTAAATGGCTCAACCTGTGGGATTTCCCTCATCCTCGTCCTCCTCCTCTCAGCAGCCTGGGCTTAGTTCTTTGACGGGTGGTGCACCAGCGGCAGGCATGGAGCGAAGGGCGCGGGTGGATTATACGCGGCGGATGGACGTGGACCAAAAGGCCATGCTGATTGGGGCGCGGTCAAAACGCGGACCAGTGGAGATGGGGGCAGTGGGCGGAGGCAGCAGCTCATCCTCAAACCAGATGGCCGGTGGTAACCAGATTTTGCAGGAGGAAAACGACGAGTACATCAGTACGCTGCTGGGCAAAGTAAGTAGTCTGAAGGGCGTGGCCCAGGGCATCGGACAGGACGTGATAGCGGGAAATAGCATATTGGACGGCCTGTCAGACGATTTCGATCGCGCAGGCGGGGGACTCAAAGGAACAGCAGCGATGCTCAACGGGATGATGAAGAGAAGCACGGGGAATCACATGTGCCACATGCTGCTATTCGTTCTTTTCATCTTCTTCCTCATGTGGTGGTTCATGTGATGCGAGCAGGCTGGAGGACGAACACAATTTCAGTTTTAGCCCTTCTGATGTTTGTTGCGATCTCCAATCATTTATATTAACGACACTTCTATTTCAGCCTCCTCCTAATTAAAGCATTCCTTGGGATCAAAGGCGGTGCCTACCCGAAGCATCAAAGCATGATCGATCATGTCTAAATATGAATTTTTCTCATCCTGCCAAGACCGACAAACTCTCATCACATGTCCCTTTTTCTCTCTTTTCACAAACCTGCTTTCAAAAACCTACTTTATTGACGGCTACGCTTGCGACCTTGGCATCGCACATTTCAACTCCTCTACGGTGGGAAGCGTTGGTGCAATTCTGTACCACTCGCATACGATTGATGTGACTGTTCAGAGATTGAGTCTGTCAGATTCACAAAGCTGCTTTGGGATAGGTCTTTTCCACCCCTACTATCACCTGGTATCAATGTCCCAGAGACCCGATACCTTAGGACGCTGATGAGTATCACCGTGAATTATGAGAGAGGCATGATCCGTGCGGCCGGAGGACGTTACAGCTGCATCGGTAGGCAGGGTGGTCGAGTACTGATTTAAGAGATGACGGATTTCCGAATTCGGTCTCCCGAAGATAATTCTCAATCCTTGATGAGTCTGCCTCTGAGTGTAACCGAGAGTGCAATGCTTGGTCTGTGCAGATGGAAAAACCTTTTCTAACCACTCACTCTGGATGGGCTTTCAAAAAGGAAATGTGCTTGGTTAGCTTTTCTTAAGAAAAATTATAAACCCCACTTGATTTTGTTTTTGATGATGCTTGTTTCAAAATTTGTTCCATAAAAGTGAGACGAGCGGCTTTCGGCGTCAACCTGCAACTGCAAGTGGCCTTGAGTCTGAAGTTTGCAAGATCGTTCTGTGTAGGAAAATTTTTTGGCGCTCGACCTCGTAAAGATGCCATTGGCACAACAGCTGCGAAAGCCGCGCAGTCTAGATTTGCGCGCTAGATCGCAACAGATGCCCGAACGTGTAACCGAATTCGACTGATAAGATACCGTTCGCGGTGTTCCGCGTCGAATGCTTCGTCCCCTAGGGAAGACGTTCCATTCACATACTCCCTCCTATTAATATCGAGCCCTTCCTCGGAAGAGAAGCTTGGCACTAAATAGGCCCGTCGACAGTTTCGGAATACTGATCTGGGCAACATTCCAGTCCATAAGTTTGAAAGTTATACTTTTGTCTCATATCGAAATCGAAAATCATCTTGCACAAAAACACGTTTGATGTATTTTTTCTTTTGTCGACGTGACAAGCTTTTCCAAGCAGAGCGCGACCGTCGTCTGGGCAACGGGCAGCCCTGATGCCGTGCATTGGGCTCATACGACCGGACTTGTATGACAACACGGAGGAAGACCTCTTGAAAACGCGAGTCTGCATCTCAAACGAGGACTTTCGCGAGTCGATTTGAGCGTTGGGGCAGGGAACGAAGCACGTGAGCCAGTCGGGAATAGACCTTGACATCAATGATGTGGCTTTCGCACAACTTTCTGTGAAGCGAGAACATTGAGACTGGTCACACTATACGAGCGCTTGAGGAGGACGGTTGCAACCACGGCGTGGTCTGATCTACATAGACACGTAGAGTCGTCACCCTCAGAGGACGGCAAGGCCCGGACGGGGCAGGGACGCCGGCAAGCGTTTTGCGGTCTACAGCTATTGCCGAATACATCGAGGTTCACCCTGAAACGGCAGTACACCTCGAAAGATCGGAGTTAGAAACTATTTAGGCAGATTCTGTGTGGTACAGCTTTCCTGGTTCTGCAACCTGAACTGCCACTAGGGCCATCATGCGGAGCGTAGCGGCAGCACGAACTAGCGGGGGCGGGGGCCCGGCTGGTCGGGGCCAGGCGGCCTCAGCGCTGTCCGAAATGTTAAGGTTTCCCCTAAGTAATCCATGTTCGGTAGCATCTTAGAGACGTTTTCAAGGGGAGAACAGTCTCAGGATGGACTTTGAGATGGAGTGGGGTGAGCTCTAAAGATGGCTGGTTGCACGACATGCAAAGACCGGGAGACCCAGAGCCGCCATCTCCAGAGTCGAATTACCGAAATTACGACTCATTTGCGGGAAACGCAAGATCAGACAGCGCACCTGAGCGACGAGATATCAGAATTGTAATTCTTGACTAAGTAATCTTTTTTTTTACAGAACTTTCGCTGTTAGTTTACTTCTTACTGCTCTATCTGTGCTTCATTGAGAGTAGATCTTAAAGAACTTGGTCCGATGTCAATGCCTGGCTGTGGAAGAACAGACTGTCACTAGCAATTGTAGCCCATAACAATTTTTTCAAAGGCTATTGTCAGGCATGTTTTCCATGTTTTCACTTTTTCTAGGTTCCATGTAGAGGATCCATAAGAACCTAACCTAACCAGGCTTGGCTCAGGTTTCGCCGGTACATGAAATACAAAATGGGATCAGCGCATGATGTTGATCTGTTGACGGAAGATTTAAAGGAAATATCGCAAATCTGGCAAAGACATAAGGAACGAATTTTGTCTGAGACGGGATCGCCGGTACCTAAATCAGATCTGTATTACAAACTTTGTCTTTGCAGTATCACCGCTGCTTAGATAAAAAGTGTAGGTCCAGTAAAGCAGCGTTCTACGTGTAGCGTGGGTTTTTCTTCCCCATTTCATTCCCAGGCGGATGGAGGTCGGTCTCCGCGGGGCGGCGCGCAGCGAGGAGCGTTCTTTGCAGCCCGGCAGGAATCGAATGCTCGTCTCGGGTTGCCGCTTGATGGAGGAAAGGATAACTTTCGAGAAACGCAGCGTTCTGAACTCCACGACACAGGAATGCTCGAGGAGAGCATATTCTACGGTACGAATGGAACGCTTGCAACTTATGACTTCTGGCTGGAGCACTGTTCTCTATCTACTTTTGCTGTTGACTATTATAACTTCTGTATTTTAAGATCTAGAAGAAGGAGATGATGAACCTAATTTGTTTTTGTTAAGAATGACTTGCTCGTTGAGAGGTTTCTCTTAAGATAAGGCTGTTTGAGAAATATTTGGAATAGACACGTAGCAAACTAGTGATGCATGAGAGTAGAGTACTGAACTTCAAAGCAAGAACCTATTCGACTCGCTCCTTTCATCGTTGCAGTAGCAGTCTTGCAGAACAGGCTAGCGGAGAAGCTAAGAAGGAGTACGAAGACAGGGTGCGGGAGCTGTTGTTTGCGCTGGGAGCGCATAAGATGCGCTGTGGGATGCTTTTGTCACGGACTAATAGGATGCGGGAGAAGCAGACAAACATGGAACAAGAAACGGCGCAGCTACGGCAAAAGCTGCAGAAGCAGGGTGGAGGCCGGCGGAGGCGGAGCTCGGGGAACGAAGACGGCGCGGGAAGAAAGGGCTCGGCTGGAGCAGGTGGCGAAAGTAACGGGGAGGACGACGAGGACTCCGCACAGGTGGACGCAGGTAAAAGTCCGCGGAAGGGTCGCGACGAAGGCAAGCAGCGGAAAATAGACCGAGTGGTGAAGAAGCTAGAAGAGGTAGACGGGCAACAGGCACTGGTGAAACGGAAACTTGCAGAGGAAATGAAGGCGAGAATAACCGCGGAAGAAGAGGTGGGGCCTTTTTTCTGTCTAGAAGAGTTTCATGGTTATGCTAGACAGAGCACCTCTTTGTGAGCACATTCACTTCGTTTGACGTTTTTCTCACGTCGTCATCGACTGCTTCCCTAGAATTTTGTCGTACACATGACGATTCCCCCGATTGCTATCTTGAACAACAAATCATGATTCCAGGCTTCGCGGCTACGAAACTTACTTGATCGGCTGAGGAAAAGCAACAAAATCCAGCGCTTACCGGAGATTCAAGAAGCAAACAGGCTAATGGATTACAAACGACTGGACACTCGAGGAGGCAGCACCGACATGCTTCAGTCTTCGGTAGAGTCAATGGGATCACCCACAGCTGGCGGTGGCAGTTCAATTAGTATGCATGGAAACGTAGTAGATTGAAAAACATATAAAAAACAAGTACCAAGTATATTCAAAGCACTGAATATGAATGACGGATCTTGAATTTTCATAGTCTAAGACGAGCATGATTTTGTTTTTCCAGGAACGAGATTCACGTTTATTCTCCAGTATCCTGATTGGTTAAAGAATAATGGAGTTCCCGTGAATTTCCGCCTTCTCTCCTGTTCAAAATCGGCTCGAAAGCGCCGTTGGTGGATCGCAAGTACAAGACGCGGGAAAGGGAACACGTCCGCGTATTGCTGAAGGGCATGCCCACTGGCCCTGGCGCAGTCCATAGTCGTGAAGTCGCCTACGCGGATGCTGAAAAAGCCTTCAGTACGAAATTTGTTTCTCTAAAGCGTCTGCAAGCTAGAAGGGGCTTCAAAAATTAGAAGTGATCCACAAGGGGAACCCAGAAGCTAAAGGGATGCGTAAATAGGAACGTTGCTCCTGATAAGATATGATATTTTTGGAAAAGCACATTTTTCTCTCACGTGAAAGGTAAATGTCCGGTAGAAAAGTTACGGAAAAAGCGGGAGGCCGAAAGGCAGGAAGAAGAGAAGATCGAGGAGATGAGACGCTTGAGGGCCGCTTCGATCAGAAACAAGAGTCATCACAGCCGGTCACCTGTCAATCCACGCCAAGAGCCGTATCTTGCTCGTATGCACGGAGGTGCGGAGTCAAGGGAGAGTTTTTTCCCCGGGCGAACAGGCTCTCCCAGTGAAGGAAGGATCCTACTCACCTAGCACCCGCCAAGATCTCGTCCAGGGACGAAAAGGTGTTACGCATGTTGTTACAATCTACGAACTTCTAAAAACTGATGATTTGATTTGCAAAATAGAGAAGGACGAAGGACGAACCTTCGTCCACCTGTAGAAGTACAATTTTCTATTCCATCTCTGTCGCAACTGCTGATCGCGCACTCTAAGTTATTTGTATACTGCTTTGCTCTAAGCTACTGCTAGCGTATATGAAAGTCGCTTCTTGTTTACCATGAATACTTACTTCGATGTCGCTCACTATTGTCTATCGTTTCAACTTTTGACTGTGGGACGCGCTTTTTTTTGGATAATGTATGGTTCAAGTAGTGCAGTCCGACGAAAAATAGCGAAATTGCATAAGATATTAAAGTCCATTGAACTGCCTTGGAATCTTTATTCCAAAAAGTTTATGGTGAATCGGACTGTAGAACATGCGCTAGAGTTGTTCGGAATGCGAAAAACCACATACCATACCTCTGTATCTGCAAAACAACTAGTCGTTAGTAAGTCCATCGGCGGCTCTTGGTATTCGCTGCCATGATCGGTCTCGTTTCGGTTGGAGAAGTCACTCGGTTGCAAAGAAGAAGGTGTCGTGAACCATACTTACAGTATCCTTCAATCGAAGCTCGATTTGTTTATACTATTGTCTGAAATTATGTTTGATCACGCTAGTTTGATTGCAGAAGTATGGAGAATATGAGCAAGCCAATTCTAGGACGTGAAATTTTCCAGAGATCCTGTATCGTCTGAAAGTCAAAGATGACTGTTGAGCGTCGGATACAAGAACGAATACAGCTCTTGAAGCGCGAGTACCAATTGGAGCGAACGCGGCGTAAGGAAGTGGAGGATAAGATTCGTAGTATCCAGCGCCTAATGCAATCTGACCTGTCAGAGGAAAACGTCACGAATTTCGACACACGCAGAGTCAATTTGGCTGGGGTAAGAAACATTTGCTATACGTTTTTGATTTGGAATCAACGTCTTCGTGCGTCTTTGAAACTTGAATTGGGGCCGAGAGACTTTATTTGTTGTCGATGGCGCTGTAACAAACTTTGGTACAGTTACATTCATTACTGTTTTTCGCATTTCACACGATCAGGTAAGCGGCGAGTTCGGCGAGTGGCAGCGGAAACTGGCACGGTCTCAAATGCAGCAGGCCGCTGAGGCGGCAGTCGAGCCTGTTGTCGAGTATGATGAAGAAGCCGCACGACGGCAGTTTGAAAATGCGCGCCGCGATTTCAAGGATAACGTCCAAGTGACCCGTGATACCTTCAAATTCTGTTAATCCTTGGCGACTAACGATACAAGCGAAGAAAGAAGATTCATCTAAGACGAAAAAAAGACGACAGGTTAATTATAGAGTGAAAAATACGTATGAGTCGACAAGGTCAGGAGTACTTGGATGTAGTCGGTAGTGGTTCTTTTCCAATTTGAATAAATGTGGAGTGCACGGTCTTCGGGATCTGCCGCGCGGTCGTCAACCAATTTTGGTAGTGAGGTTGGTTCCAGTATGGCGAACGATGCAGGAGTTGTTGGGTCTGTTGGGGCGAGAGGACCTGTGGCGTCTTCGCGCCGAAGCAGCAGCAAAGCGGGTGACGGGGGCTCGCGTCCCCGAGTTGTACGCTATGCCGAAGCGGAGGAGGAAGGCGAAGAGGGGCCAGTAGTGGTTACGCGTAGCTTGCGGGCGTGGACGAACCACTTGAAAGCGCGGCTTCGGCGCATCTCAGACCTGATGGAGCCACACGAAGTGCGAGCGCTGTCCAGTGTGCGTGCGTGTGCGCGAGAGGCTGGCGTTTCAACAGGAAATCGGGATGCTTCGCTGTCGCCAAGCCAGAAAATTTCGAACCTGCGACGTGCGATGGAGGCCAAGCAGGCGAAAGAGCGGCGAGCATCGGATCTTGCCGCTTTCAGTGACATCATTGACGACCCTGATAAAAGTGAGAACATCAAGCGATTCCTTCTACAAGAGGACGATACCACGTCGACGCCTGCTAGGCGAGAAGTGCCCACAGCAAGCGAATTCGCAGACCTGTTAGACGAGCAGGGCACTCGTGATGGACGTGGCCGCTTTACCACCTCACCTTACGCGTCGGAGTCGTTGCGCATCTCCTCTGCGAGCGCAACTGGAGGGATTCGTATGCCTTTTGGCTTGCGAAGGTCGGTCTCCTCTCTGGGACAGACCGAGGAAGCTCAGGGACGGCAAGTACAGGGGGAAGTAGATGAAACTGAGCGAATCTTGCGGGAGGTTCAGCAAGATCTGGAACGCGCTACGCGAAAAGCCAAATTGTCCATTCAGTCGAACATTTCGCTAGTGTCCTTCTAGCACAAATCAGAAGTCATCGTCGAATTACTTTCTAATAGTCGTGCGGGTCTAACTAAAGCATGAATTCATGGCTTCCCCGATTTCCAAGGTGCAGTGGTAAGATGCCAATTGTTATCATTTGTACAAATAAGGCGCGCTCTCTAATGAAGATTAAAGATCGGTTTTGCCAAATTGATACTACCAAGTATTCAACTAATGAAAAGTCTTCGTTGTCGTTGACTAGCCAAAGAACGACTGTCTGCGACAGCTAGTGGCTATTCTCAGTTTATTCCGTCAAAGTGATCGATAGTAGTTGTAACCCGGATACGAGCAAAATTCGTGCTAGCTGTCCTATCTTCAGCACCAACGAGCGCGGTAACCTTAAACAATTTTTTCCCATCAATTCGCGTATTCTTGATCCGAAATCTATACGCAAGAGCAAAGATCGAGTAGGATAATCCATGGTTGTGTTAGTTCTACCAGCAGGAGAACATAATTGATCCAACGTGACGTGAGAGGTGCAGAGAATGAGAGACGTGAGCGAAGTGTACGAGTCTTTCTTGTGGTGATTCCTGTGATAAAAAGGATGGCGTACTACCAATGATTGGCGCTCAGCTACAATCCAAGTTTTATCTTGGTATCTTTCCCACACCCAGTATTTTTGCTTTGGTTGAACAATTTTGTTTGAGGTCGTTCTTTCTGTGGTGGAAAGTTACGTAGCCACTGCATGATCGGTGGATAGTTGATTCCGGTGGTTGTAAGTCATTCCCCACCTCACTTGAGCGTAGTTGTGAAGTGTCTTCTAATTACGAAAGGAGGCTACAACATAATTGATTGCGACAGCGTATAGCGGTTCAGTAAGAGGTTTTTTCGTGCTTGGTGTGCAATTAATTTCGCTGGTCGATTTGCGTTCCACTTGTTGCCGATGATACAAATTAAGTAGTTTCCACTGGCTATCTCCACCCATTATTTTTTACCCGATGAAAATATTAATATTTTATAAGAGCTTCTTGATTTTGTTTTTGAGGGACACCAGACAGAGTTTGGTCACATCCCTTTCAAAAATGTCTGACTCGTTCGATTTCGGTGCGTCCTTCATTGCATGCTTGAGTCGAACGACTGTTGAATTACTTGCACCGCCACTAGAGAGCAGGGTCTCGAGTGTTGCCTGAGTGGCGCCTACTTTGCTGATTCATCCGGTAAAGCCTGTTTTCTTCCTTGGCAAGATGGACGGAGGTCGTAACTCGCCGCGGCAGATGCAGGAAATCTGCCGATTGGAACCGGTGCACGCAGGCATCCTCGTTTATGCTGCGTTTTTTTCGTGGTGTTCCTACTTGTGGTGGACGTTTCCATCCGAGCTCTGCATAGTGAAGCCTGGCCCTGACATCAATCAGGCTTCCAGCGTCGAAGCGGGGCTCGCCTCCCTCGCCGCAGGCCCAGCAGAGGCGAAGGCGAAGATACTCGAAGTCGCAACGAAGTTGGGTTCCAGTAGTAGTGAGCAGCCTGGAAGCGTGCAACGAGGAGAGGACGCCGCTAAAAGCAGTGAAACTTCTCAAACGATGGCTACAAGAGAGGGCAAACCGGGAGAGTCATTAGTGGGTGCCGACGTTAAGAAGAAATCTGCTTCTGGAGGCTCACCTATGATTGTTAAGCGTGTATCTAAGGAAGCTGCAGCAGAACTCGAAGACTCGCGGACAGCGCGAAGGCATTTAGCACCATCTGCGTCTGCCTCTGCCGAGAAAGACAATGACTATGACGTGAATGAAAAAGTCGAGACATCAGCTTGGAGGGATTTGGGCTGGGATGGTGTGGGTCCCGCGCCAGAGTTGCGACACCCTTCACAGCTTGCGCTTGCAAGTATGTCCCTCCAGAATCCTGCGCCGACCGGTGCTCTTCGCACAGACGGCAATAGATTGTCGATAACTTTGGAAGACCTCCCAGAAAAAAGCAATGACTCTGTGCCAAAGCCAAGCCCTGCGTTTTTGCCGAAGTTGTTGGATACTCGTAACGACAAGGTAATAAGTGTTCTACAGGTCGGAGGAGAGAGCAACGAGGCCTCCTTGAGAGTAGACAGCGGAAAAGCCACTGCGCTTCCTCCGGCTTTGCGATGGCTTGAGGGGGCTGCACAGGCGAGCCGCATGCTTTTCGGAAAGCCAGCTGCCATCGCGGAGGCTGCTCTAGCAAGATGGCGTGTAGCAGACTACGACTCGCCGCCTATAGGCCTGAGTGTGGCAGCGGAGGCCAAAAGAAGAGGACTCGCGGACGAGGGTGGAAAAGCTACCACAGGGGAAGCAGATCAGGGAGCTGCAGGGCCGTCGAAAGAGCGCAACGTTTGCTACATACACTTGATAAGAGGAGAAGGCAGATTACAACTGCACGGAATAGCCTGGTTTTTCCTTCACCCGCTTCAGAATATGCATTTGCGGGCCCTTCTTTTCTTTTTCGCGGTGTCATCGTTGGCGGGATTTCTGGCTCTAGTGAATGGTTGCTGTTGCTGCATGACTCACAGGACAAGATGCATCAATTGTGGAGCAGTTTTCAGCGTTTTGTGGTATCTACTGACTATGTTGATTCGTAGATGGAAAAGAACGTACTCTCGATACCGCCCTGATACTAGATGATATGATATCGATGTTCGTGAAATTCGTGTTTCCAGTCGCGTCAACGCTGCAACTCATGTAAACACCTTCTAGTCTTCAAGAAAGGATTTTCATATGTCTCACTTTCAGGGTGATTTTGATGAGTTACGCTGCTGTGGTGATATCTTTCGCTCATTGGATACCCTGGGAGGTATATGACAGCGCTCTTGATGCACGCGGCGTGGTTCCCTGGTTGACGCTTTATGCAATGTCAGCAATCGTTCTGTTGCAAGTCGGGCTTCCAGGAACCATGTTATGGCAAGCTTGTTACATTCCATAAAATGTGAGCATGCTTTTCCGAAGTGATTTATTCCTCTGGTAGAAGATGTTGAAGTATTTGTTGGAGCTGATTCTGATATAATTAGTTCTAGCAATATATACTCACAGCTTATAGAAGGGATCTCCATCGTGTTTGAAGTCGCTCATTGAATTACAAATTGTTTCTTCTAATTTTTCTTGTGCTCCTTTGTGGTTGTCTGCCGTGCCTCCCATGCTGTGCGCCTCTGCTGTTACGAATGTTCAGACAGCAAATTCTCGCAGGACAACTGGGACAAACACGGGACGCAAATGACGTAGCGCACACGCTTTCAAGGTACTGATATTCTACGCCTACCCACGAATATGTATGCGCGTAATCCTCAATGTTTCCTGCCCTTAGATTCTATGCACCGCAAAAATCGATTACACAGGTGCGTGATGTTCAAGATATCGGAAGCAGATGTGTCGGGAGAAAACTGTGCAATCTGCTTGCAGGAGTTTGAGGAAGGTCACGAAGCGGCTGAGAGCCCTTGTCATCACTTTTTTCATCGCGAGTGCCTTGAAAAATGGGCCGCTTTCGGTGGAACAAACTGCCCCGTTTGTCGCCGTGGGCTACTAGCGACGGAGGACGGGGGCGAACATCCTTTGTTGGCTGGAGGGCGCATCGGTGCTGGAGCGCAGGATGGGCCGTCCTCCTCATCGTCAAGCAGCTCGCGCGAGCTGCGGCCTGTCGCGTGAGATCTAGTGCTGAAGGTGGCGGCCAAACCTCCTTCGACTGCGGAAACAAGCTTTACCTGTTAAAACCTCTCCTCCTCAAACAAAAATTAGTGAAACACCATCATCTACTAGTTGCTGTGCCGGCGATTTAGTTTTGGCGGTCGAAAAGATTCCGCGTGTCGTGTTATAAGTCGGACAAAACGTTAACGACTACATATATTGAATATCGTTCGCGGACGAATGGACCCCGACCTTGGCATACTTTTGCGACTACGATTTCGGATGACGACGATGTAGTAGTTGCGGATGCTGAAAAATAAGCGGTGAAGACTCTGGATGAAGCATTTTTGAATTCAGCGGGATTGTGTCTGTATCGCCGAAATAACGACATCTATCTCAGTAGGTCAAAGTAAAGCATTGAGTATGAGACGATGTTGTAGCCTTTTGGGTTATTCATTTACAATGGTAACAGGGACTTAATTTACACATGGTGATGATCTCGTAGTCAGTACGTAGGAGTTTGACCTGGGCTGGATGCATGCAAAGAACATGACTTTTCAGTTCCTCAGCAGAAAGATTCCAGGATCAAAAACAAAGATACAAGAAGACGAAGTTGCGCACGAAGCCTACTTGTAGGTGATTCTTCCCTCCTTATTCACTCATGGAGGTCTAGTATATCGAGCCAATAAGCCTAGTGAGAATAAGTGTTAAATAGAACATCCATGTTTTCCTTCAGGGCAGCTTTTGTTACTAGAAATAGTAGTCGCTCGGGAAGAACTTTCCTCTACCTCGCTCCCAACATGTTGAACTAGTTTTTGTTGAATATCGATGCTCACAACAATCGCACAGTAGTTTCTATGATCCAGCGAGTGCTGAGTCAGTATAAATTTGGCACCGCCAAGATTTTTTCACTCGTGTTCCCTTACGCTTGCAAAAATGTTTTTTTGGCGTCAGATTTAATTACTATCTCAAAGAACGAAGGAAAAGACCCTAAGCGAGGACAAGCTTGCGTGATTACCTCAAAGCGAGCAAAGGCTGAGTGCATGAAGAGAGACAGAGACGAAAAAATATTGGCAGAGTTTGGAAATTTTATCGGGACGTAAGAGTTTGCTGATCAGCAGTCGTGTGAGAGTAAAATGGATCTGATCAAGGTTACCTAATTCCTCTTCATTTAGTTTTTTCATCATCTTCTTGTTTCGAGGATAGAAGTCCAGATTATCCGACTCGCTTCTCTCATTTTGTTGATCCCTGCATTTGATTCCCCTTCATTGATTCCATGCCCATCGCTCTTTAACCCCGATCTGGATCAATACTTTGTACATGAGACACTGTCCTCTTTCGTCCAGTATGTATCGCATCCATTAGTGTGCATCTACTTAGACTGACTTGAACGACGACAGAGGTCGACTCTGAGACATGATGCTGGGTCAATTTGCGAGACGGGCACTCAAAGTGCGACCGAACGCGATCCAGAGCCGAGCACTCGGTAAGGCATTCGAACTTAGTTTTTATGGCTTCATTTCATGAGGATACTGCCTTGAGAAGCATTGGCTAATCAAATGAGGCTTTTACCACATCTGTAGGCGTACGAAAATGGCGTGGATGTATCGTGCTAAAGAACGAACTTTCTAATCGGTGGTGTATTTTTCAATTCGAAGACCGACGTCCAGAATGTGCATTTTGATTATATGTAGGTACAGCAAAGCGAGGGAAGGATATTCTGGATGTCAATAGCACAATGCAGACAGCGCAGAGGTTTTTCACGAATCCGGCACTAACGTATTGCATCCTGATAGGATGAAGGATTGCTTTCTACCTGATTCAAGAGGGTATGACATCGATCTATACATTCATAAGGAGATGATCAATTTGAATTTGTTCGTTGTTGAGCAAATGCTGCCGAGAGTGTTTACCAAAAAACGATAGCATGAAGTTGCGCTAGCGCATTTGATTTCTTAGGTTTTATCGACGTCTTTTTAGTTTTTACAAATTAAGGTATGTCGAGTTCAAGTATCAGTGCGATGCGGTTCGATTTTTCGCGTTCTGGGGATTGACGGGCCTATTGACACTGGACTTGATTGTTCGACCACTGAAGAGCTCGTATTTTTGCCAATGGGGACCAACGTGGTGGCCCAGCAACCTCGTCTCACTCTTCTATGCTGATACTTGCGACGTCTTCCTCCAGAAACCTCCCACTTTTGCTGGTACCTCACCAGGAGAGGCTGCGTCGGACCTCAGCAAGCTGAAATGAAGATGAGCGAGGCTGAGTCATTCCTTAAGCCCCTGGACTCGATTTTCCTTCAGACGGTGCAGCGCAACAGCGCATTTGGCTGTCAAGAACAGCTGTACCTATTAGAACATTCATGCCTCCGTGATGTACACCAGGTCTCGGATGCGGATAGGTGCATCCACCATTCTGTGTTGACATATCATTCGTTTTACTCCCGTCAAAATACTATGTGTGTGTGTGTGTGTGTGCCAAAGTACTTATCACTAATTTCGGAAATTTCTTTTGCGCCGATCGAACGTCTGCTTGTAATGTGTGTACCAAAGCACAAAAATGCTCAAGAGATCAGATAGGAGTCGTTCTTTATGGAGCGACCCTATTCAAAGACCGCTCATACGATGAAATGTTGATGTGCATTTGCATTCTAATGACAAAAATACTACTTATGGCACACGGGTTGCAGTAGCTGCACACACTCGGTATGAGCCTCTCTACGTTTGTCAAGTGTTCCTCGTCAGTGAACTTCGAAATTCTGTGTTGCTTTCCTTTCTTGCGCGTTTGTGTTGTTGAGGCTCGTGACTGGCTTGAGTGAATCCGATGCTTCTGGGAGAGCAAACTAAAATGAAGAGTTAAGAAAAGCATGATGATGCAAACTGTGAAAAAAGTGACTACTTTCATGTAGGCGCTTTTGGTCACAAATAAGTACACACGACTGAAAACCTATGTAATTAACCTCCTCGCATAACAGGACGATAGTGGTTTCCCCTTATTTTCTCTTTGATGTGTGCTGCAAATCTTGCCTGGCTTTCACCTTTTGGGTGAAGGTTTAGGTCCCGCGACGCTCAAGGCACTAAGTAAAGCAACCGGTTAGTCTTCACCTCAACAAATCTAGTCTTATCCCATGTGGCAACACGCTTGTCAAGTGTTCTGCATATGATGGTTAGTAGACCTCTGCTGTGTCTCAGCTTCAGCGACTTGATTTAAGTTGGTCTGGGAGTGAGTACCAGAACTCGTATTCATTAACTTAGCTTCTCCGATACAAGAGGGGTACAACGAGCTGGTCTACTTTCCGTTCGCAGAGATTTACAAGAATCTCGAAGGAGGCAATAATGTGTTCAGGGTAAGAGCTGGGAAGCTGCCCAGCGGCTTAACGTTGCTTGGGTGGAGCACATAAACATGAGAAGCAGTTGTTTAATTTTTCAATCAAGTCGATGGAAACTCACAGTACTAGAGTCAATCTATCATTACTACTTTTGAGGATTTTTATTTTATCGCAGCTCCCTCCACGATGAAACTGTCATCTCTTTGTTCGTTTGCGTGCCAGCTTGCAGAATCTTGGATATGGTTTGTGCGGATTTGGGTGATAAGCACCAACTTGGATGCTGTGGCCGCAGATTCTCTGGTGAAGATTGTGGCGCTGGAGAGTCAATACACGATTTTCAAGCCGGACACGAATTGCTTTCTCGAAGGCTTATATTTCCGCGATCGGGACACGCTGGTCGAGTCATGTGGTCTCAATGGGCGCTCACAGATCAAGGAGCTGAAACTGATTTACGACACGCACAACCAGGCTGATGTACCCGCAGCCGGTTCTGGTGGGACGAGTGGAAGTGTTGGAAGCGCTTCCAGTTCACTGGCTCTCAGTTCCGTTACCGCGGAGAACACTGTCGACGCTGCGTTGGCTCGTGTATTTGCGAAACCGCAAGCGATGCAAATCGTCAAGTCGCGCAAAGTGCCGCGCATTTTCTCGGAGGGGACGGTCGACATGGGAGACAAAACTTACCACCTTAGCTACCAGAGCAAAAAAATTTACATCTATGACAAGATGAAGTGGAAAATACAGAGGACTGTCCCTTTTCCATACGGCCAGGGATGGGGGCTTACCACAGACGGCTGCCGTCTCTTCGCAACAACGGGGGATACGTACTACTGAAGTTTTAGATTAACTTTCGTTGCATGTGCTTGAACACTAGCTGCCTTGTACAAAAAAGAATAGTTCTTGTTGTACTAGAATGTGTCTGTAGTAAGTTCATATTGGAACAGTATCTTCGCATGCTTAGGCATCGCTGTTGAAACCAGTTGTAACAGAGTTAGTGCATATTCTTCAAAGTTACTCCTCACGTTCAAAACCACACACACCCACTTCAGAAATTTGTACCATCTTGATGGCGAGGGGAAGTTGTTGAAGAAAGTCCCAATTGTCGATAAACACACCCGGCGTCCACTTGCCATGCTTAACGAGGTGGAGTTTATTGCACCGCGAACAATATGGATCAACCTTTGGCAGACAAATCGTCTCGCTCGCGCCGACTTGTGGACAGGAGAGGTGGACCGCTACATCGACCTCGGGATTCACTCCTGGAGAGGCGACGCCACGCCAAACGGGGTGGCATACAACTACGAATTTCAGCCGTTGTCGCTTCTAGCCGCCGGAAAACTGTGGAACAAAGTTTACGTTCTAAAACTAGGAAACAAGGCAGATTTGTGCGCAAGTGAACCGGCACCAGAAGAGGGGGCGTGTGCTCTGGCACCGCGGTCGCCGTGCCATCCGGAGGGGCCGTTGCTGCGGTTTCAGCCGACAGTCACAGCAATGCAAGTGAAGACTGTGCCACAGAAGCCCGTCACAGCAAATGCGAATCCAACTAGCGGTGGTGGTCACGGAGTAGGCAGGGTGCAGCCAACATCAACATATCCTAAGACTACGCCCTCGTCTTCTTCCTCAAGGTATAGCAATCCAAGTTATGGAAGTAACGGGAAAACGAGTCCAGTGGTCATGCATCCTCGACCTTCGGCGCCATTGGACGCAGCGACTTTGAAGGCTGAGCAGCTATCGGCTGCGTCGGCAGTTCCAGAAGCACCGATACTAGCACGCTTTGCCGTATTTGGAGCCACAATGGCACTCTACATAGTTGTATTTCAGTCTTGTTTTCGGTTTTTTTCTGCTGCAAAGCCTGCGTTTGGTTCAGTTGCAGTGGGAGCTGGTTTCGAATCTAGTAAGGTGCTGCAGCCTGATTTTGTGGCTTCGTGTTCTCCTACTCGGTCCAGTGCTCCTTTTGCGTGGAGCAGTCATTTTCCGGTCGTGAGAAAAGGACATTTAGTTAGCACGTTGGTCGAGAGGATCGGAAATTGTACGAGGATCCCTTTTTTAACAGTGGGTTAAGGGTGATGATCGGACAGTCTTTGCGTCGGCTTTATCAATCTAAAGATGAAGTTGCGATTCTGGTTGGTGAAAAGATGATGAAGTGTCGGCTCTCATGTGCTTGAAACTTGTTGATGACGACGCTATCACCTTGTAGTTTGAACAGCCGTTGATCAGAAGATGTGGGTGCAAGCTTTTTCTTTTGGCTCGTGGGTATCTCCCCGGAGGATTAGGGCTGCTTTACCGCGTGCTTTCTCTGGAATTTCGGAGCATGGTTGTACTTTCAGCTATCGTCGCCCGGGATCTCAAGGACGCTTCGAGTGGTCGACAGACAAGAAGGCGGAAACAGGGAGATCAGGCCAAAGTGTAGTAAAAATTGGCGGCTCTACTTCTAGTAGCATTGCTGCGACTGAAGAGGATGTTGAGGAGCCAAAAAGTGAATACTTGAAAGTTGACAAAGTCAGAGCAACAGGAGATGGAAGTGGAATAAAGGTTACTTTTCAGACAAAAGACACCCGCGAACACGAAGAGGGCCAAGTTAGGAGATCTGCTCGCAATGACCCTAGAGGACCTCGGCGTAGTGGCGATTTGGACTCCGCGTCAAACTTTGGATCTTCAAACGCGTCTTCAAAGTCTTCAGGCGAAAGCTCGACTGAGTCTAAGAAGAAGCGCCCGCTCAAGAAAGGGAAACGCTATCGACCTCAGTGGGAGCAAGACGTTGCTTCCATGCGCGATGACACTTCATTGTCTTCCGATGCTTGTCTTGCGCAAAGTGTGGTTAGCCGCTTCGACGTCCTCTCAGCCGATCTAGATAATGAGACAGCCCGTGCTGGAGAGATCGCCGCACGATCCGCCTGGAATGCAGGCGTATGGAACGAAAGTGCCGATCATGCTAGGGTGTTAGAGTCTCCTCCTCAGAAGCACGGGCATATTTTTGAAATAGACGGCAGACTGCATGCCCCTTCTCTTCCTGGAAGCACTGGCTCGTCTCCTTTTGGTTGCTGGTCTGGCGAAAAATTGGTACCTTCGACAAGGCCCAGCATTGCTGGAGGAGACGGCAGCATTCAAAATGGAAAAGGCGACGACAGTTCAGTGCAGGAGCCTTCGAAGCGTCGGGAACGTATTTGGTGGAGACCGAGGAGCATGTCTAGGGCCGACGACAGGCTTCGCGACGAGCCATGGTGGGCCTCGTTTCAGAGCACGATGAGTGGGACTGAGGCGACAAAGAATAAAGATTCTCCCCAAAAATGCCTTGCGTCGTCTTTAGAAGACCTCGTCGGAAACACTGCAAACGAAGGAGACGAAGATGAGGAACAGAGGATAGAACCCCATGGTGGAACAAAAGAGAACCACCCGGGTGCTACGATAAGAGAAGCGACTTCAGAGCTAAAAGACGTCATGGCAGGCGGGCCGCTGGCTCTCGCTACAAGCACGGATCTAGAGACTTCAAACTCTAGCGTTAGTACTTCTACGACAAAAGCAGCCGGCCTCTCCAGCGCGTTCACTGTGTCTACGAACTCTGCACTCTTCATCCGTCCAGCGACGGCTGAAAATGGCCCATTGCAGAACGCTGTTGCAATGGAGCTCGCAAAGAGTGCAGAGAGGCATAACCGAGAAGTGGCGAATTCTTTACGACAGTGGCTTTCGGTGGAACGGCCGCGGCCTTGGCAGGTCCTCAAAATTCTGCGCTCCATGCGGGAAAACGACGTCCGGGCCCTAGCAGTCCTGGATACGCTGAAAGCCGACATTCTCTGCTGCATCAGCCTTTTTTCCGCGTCGCAACTGGCTGAAATCACCAAAATTTACGGTGAGTTTCGCGTTCAATTCCGGGAACTCAAAAAAATGCAGCGGGCATTGGGAATATTTGCGGTTTCTATACCTGGGTGAGCAAAAGGTCTTGGGGATTGCAAACGACTGACTGGGGCAGTAATCGGGGCGCCGCGCTGAAATTGTGATGCAAACATTCGTGAGCGCAGTTTTTTTTCGGACAGCGCGCAGCGCGGGCGGCGTGCCTTGCGCCAAGGAAGACGGGAGCGGACCGCGTGAGACCAAAAACTCGAACTACCCGCATCTCATAATATGCCTGGCTCTCGGCGCCAAGAAAACAGCGCTTAATGCAGTCATGGAGCTCTTCTGTGAGGAGTTTCGCAGGACGAATCCAAACGATCCTGAATTGACGCTCACAAGCAGGCTCGATTACTTTGTTGAAGAACTAACAATATGTTACGAATTAGCATGACATTTTATTAAGCACTTACATGCCGACTCTAGCTGTTGCCATCCTTGTTGTAAAGATCGGCCGGGACAATAAATGAAGTAAGTGGGACTCGATGTTCGTAGAAAGCTTTAGCGGGCATAAGATGACACAATAGGAATTCCGCAATTTGGGGCATGGGAGCGTGGCACAAAATACGCCCAGGGAAACCGGAGAGTAATACGAACCGAAAGAAATGCCGGCGCTACGATTCTTAGGTTACAAAAAATGTGTGAAGAGGAAGGAGAGCAGAGGTCAAAGTAGCATGCGACAAAGCACTTTGAGATTGAGGGATTGATAGCACACTTCATGTGGTAGTGGAAATTGGGTCATAGAAATGAATGCTCACATTGATTCAGAACTAGGTCAATATTTCTTCAATGGTGAATGTCCTTAAATCAACACCGAAATTGCTGAATTTCTTCGTTTACATTTCTAACGATGAGTTAGTAGGGCCTGTGTGGTAACTTCATTTGTGAGAAACTTCATCTGCAATAGGAGGGGGAGACATTCTTGCTTTCGACAAGCGGCGCTCCCCCTCCGTTGCAGTCCTCTATCAAGCTGCCGCCAGATCTGTCGGAAATTCGTCTCGTCAATAAGTGTAGCAAGAAGATGTTGGCTGTACACGACGTTGTCCGACACATCAAGGTGACCGGACTCGCGGCGCGATTCATGGGTCTGATGATGCTGTGGGCTCTTCTCGTCGCTTCTCTGTCCCAGCATGTTGTGCACGGTGTGAGGATCGTGTCCACCGGCGAGCAATTGCAGCTGGGCGGCCAGCGGATTCGGTACCTGTCGGAGTTCCTCGCTGGGGTGGAGGGCAACTTCACTAGTGAATTGGCAGAAGTGAAAGCGGTGCAACCTGAAACGGCGGATCGGGGAGAAGAAGCCAACGGCAATGTCGACACAGAGTATGCCATGGACCAGTCTGATAAGTTCTACAAAGTAACCGCAGAAGTGGAGAAGCAGAGTGTGCGTCTTCTGCAGGAGCTGCTCCCGGTTGCCGGAGCGCTCCTGAAAATCACCGGCGGGGACAAAGGAAACTCGAAACTATGCGGTGACGTCCGATGTGGCATTAACGCAATCTGCACGCAAACAAGAAAGGTAAAATACTGCATCCATGATTCATCGCAAGAGATTGCATATGTATCTCGTGATCAATTAGCGGCTTTCTTGTGTATGTTATGCGCTTTTTTTCATGGAAACATCCTGCATTGAAACTGAATCTTCAACGCTACACCCAAGGGCGCCCAGTGCCTGTGCGCTCCCGGTTTTTACGGTGATGGCCTTCTATGCCGCGAACCAACCTCCTACATTCCGCAGAAGCTTCTCAAGGAGGGCGTGGAGGGCGCCTCGGAGCGGATTCACGACCTCGAGATGATCGCTCTGGATGCAGATAGAATCGCGATGGTTTATCGCAATGCAGACCGAAATAACCGAGGCTACTTGATGCTTGGCGCGGTCGATGGACTCACTGTCGACTGGGCTACACCGGAGCTTTTCTCCACGGGCGAGGACGGTGATAAAATCCAGGCGTGGGAACCGAGAATAGCAGGAGATGTTAAGCCTCGTTTTCTGGATGTTGTTTCTTCAAAGAAATAGGCTAGGTTGTCCGTTTTGCTTCCCGGTCTTAGTACTTGAGCAAGATTACTTTGGAAATTATAACAAGTTGTAAAGTATGAGTATCGGTAGCTCTAAAGAGAGAAACAAGCTGGTGATCAATTTTCGCACCGCGAAAGAGGATGGCGACTGTTACGTCTTGAGTGCGGATCTGGACCCGGGGATGGGAAAGGCCTTCGTGGAGTTTAGTCCGGTGATAAAAACGTGCGAAAAGAGCGGCAGCGGGCCAATGGCAGGCATCCTGTTCGCGCCCAGCACCTACGCAATGTTTGTTAATCGCCAGGCACTGGACGGAAAATTTACAGGCGAAGCTACGCTCTTCGAGCTCCAGCGATTCAAAGTGCAGCCATCGGCCGTAGACCCAGTGCAATTTGCGAATGCGCCTGTTGGGGACCTGAGAGCCAGGAAGGTAAAAACGGAATATTTCATCTTTCCTCCTAGCTTGACTTAGGTAGTGAATGATGGCCCGCCTACAACTTGTTCTTTTGTGAAAATGTTCAGCTGCCTCATCCTCTCATGGTACTGATACATAGTTGTTGTCTGTGCGGAACATCTATCTTCCATTCCTTCGAGAATGACTTGACAAAATCTCCCATACTTTCTGTCGAGAAGATGGGAATGGTTTTCCACCACAGATGTCGCCGACTACGTTTTTGCTAGAGTTCTCACGGACGCCACGCCTTGAGGATAACAAAGAGGTGCAGCAGGAGGCTGTGCTAAGCTTTGGAAAATTCGAGGAGGGATCACTAACTCTATTGCCAGGAACCGTATCCGCAGAACCGGAAAACATCAAGCAAGTCCAGTATTTAATCGTGATATCATGTATTTTCGACTAAGTGTGTTGCAGCAAATAACTTAGTGAAATTCTGTAGCACACATGCAACTGGTAGACGTCGACCTGCATTTTTTTCAGAACACGCGGACGAGAATAAATCAGTTTCTCAGGTTCCGTGATGTCGCTGTCTTGTCGAATTCCACGGCCTATCTGTCGTACGCAGTTGGCGCGAGCAGCAGCGCAGTACTGAAGACCGTGAAAATCACACCTCGAGCAAAAGGGAAAAAGATTGCTTTCGTAACTACACGCGTGTTAAAGCGTCCAGGGTATGCGCCGTTCGTGACGCCGGTCAGCGCACCACTCCCGGCACCACCTGGATCCGCAACGGGTGACGCACTACCACCAGAGCACATGGTGATCAACTTCTATGCGCCTGAGGGTGCAAAGAATACTGTTGTGGAGTTCTGCACGGTAAGCCCGGACACAGGCGTGATCGACGAAGAAACCTGCGTGGAGAAGGTACTTCCTGGCGACAAGAAAATGAAGGAACTGCGCGCACTGAACATGGGAGGAGGGAGGATTGTCGTTACTTTCACTGCGGAAGAGGACAGCATACCTTACTATCTGGTGTACGGGGTGTTTAGGACTACGTAGTTGTTGCATGATGCACAGAACACAGCGAGTGAGGGGAATGAAATAGAACAATATGAATAGAAGAGTCCCCAGTTGGGGCCATGGCACAGTTTGCTTTCTTGTTTTTTCGGATGAACAGAAACAAAGCTGTTATAGATCAAATTTATTGAACAGACGCAATCAAATTGTGTTTGGACTGATACGGAGTAAAGCAACAGACACTGAGAAGCATGACGCTTCCATTACTGCATGTCTCTCGTTGTTCTCGCCCGTTTAGCTCAGAACAGAAGTACAGGCAACGATGAGCAGAGGAGAAACGAAGACGTCCTCGTTTACGTCGGGCACTTTGGATCTCTCTCCCTCAATGCCTTGAGCATGCATTAGGGCATGGAAAAACCGAGTGAGTCGGAGGCTGGAACAAGGATTATTTTCGTAATTCACAAGTAGCAAATCTGCTTCTGCAGCGAGGTAACCCAAGAAAGATGAAGGAGATTTTATTTTGCGGTTCCATTGATTTGGGTTAGGATGCTTGCAGGCTCGCTTTCGGTGGATTTGTCATTCGAAGTTCCACACCTGTCTGTCTCTGTCCGATGAGGGTGCTGGCGAGTAGCAGAACAAGAGGCCACCGACGCGCAGCCGCGTTGCTGCATAAAGTGCGGCCGTCAGTCGCTTGTCTGGGTAGCAGATTAGAAGGCATAAATGCAGAAAAGCTTCATTCTGTTCATTCACAATCCCCGACTAGAGGATGCAATGTTCTGGTTCGTACCTTCTCTTTCGTTCGCGCAGCTCCAGATCCGTCCACAAGCGCGCCTGCCCTGAGCATCACGCCATTAGAGGTTTTAGCTTTGCCCGAGCTTCGTTTCCGAGGAAGGTTGGTTGTGATCGCATCACAGGCGACTGAGCGACAGCACGAAGCACTCATTCGCCAACACTTTTTCAAGCCAGGAGCGCTCGTAGGGTTTGATTCAGAAGCAAAACCGGCCCTTTTTGGTCGCAGAAACCGTACTGCGCTCATCCAGATGGCCACGGATGAGCTATGCGTTGTCTGGCGCAACCCTCTCTTTGTGCAGCGAAACAAGGAGAAGCTAGGATGCGAAGACTCTTCTAGATCAACGTCTTCAGAATCTTCCTCATCTAGACCGTCTCCATCGTCAAAGTCTGAGGAGTCGGAGTTTTTCTTCCCTTTGCTGACAGAAATCCTGGAAGCATCGTCGATGAAAAAAGTGGCGCAGGGCGCGAACGGCGAATTAGAACAGCTTAGTCGGGAATTCGCGATCGACGCACGCAATTTTGTCTGCCTCTTCGAGATCGCGCACCAGTTACAAACGAATCCCCGGAGTCTACAGGGCCTAGTCGGTATCTTTCTGAGGCATCGACTGAAGAAGGACTTGCGCTGCTCGAACTGGGAACGAGAAGCACTAACAAAAGCGCAACTCGACTATGCAGCCTGCGACGCGTACGCTGCTCACGCGGTGCTGCACCACTTGCGTACGCGTCATACAGGCAGTGCGCGACTCCCATGCAGTTTCGAGCGCGTACACGGCGCCACGGGGATCGGCAGGACAGTGCGAGATGTATTGCGGGAACGCGACGACGGGATTAGTTCACTCAATGCAAGCCTTTCCCAAACGCATGCCGATGTTGAGAATGCCCCTGTACTAGCATCTTCCGTTTCATCTGATGAGGAAGAACTCGAAGAAAAGAAAGTCGATGCTCCAGAAGTGAACTCCTCAGAACTACAAGAGGGACATCCACATCATTCAGCAATGCTCTTATCGGGTGACGTGTTGCAACAGCTCACACAGCTTTGTGCAAAACGTGGTCTACGACTTAGATCTGAAGGCTTCGAACTGGGAGAGCGTGGTCGCGGGTTTGTAGCGAGTTTCTCGCTTAAGGGGAAAAGGTATGTGTCACGAGAAGCGCACGCATCGATAAGAGAAGCTCAGCGTGACTGTGCGAGGCTCATTATGAACGCAATTTGGCCAGCACCCGCACCAAGAACAACTAATTGTCTTTCCGAACAAGAGGAGAGGCCGGTTCAATATGTGGGGCAAGATTATTAAACCTGCATGTTCTGGTTCAAACCACACATAATGATGCCTTGGCAGGCACCGAAGATTACGCCGATCTAGTACTCACCTCTAGGCCGGCCTGCGTTGCCGCGGATTGAATGCAGGAAGCACTGCGCTGTTCTACACTACAAGTGTTTCCAATGTCACTCGTAGGGTCATGTGCGGTTTCGGTTGTACCATTTCACGTACATCTGAGTGGACGTGCGCGCCTCGGTTTTTTACCAGAAAGTGATGTCCTCATCTACTCTGTTTTGCGACTCTTTCTTAGTATCTATAGAGTTTGTGCAATGGACGTCGAGGAGAAAAAGCGGTGATGAAAACACAGTGAGTACCCGCGAGAAAGACAGCTACTAAAGTGATTGTGTCCGGATGTATTAGAGATCTGTGCTGAGTGGTAGAAAGACTTGTGGAGTCACCCAGCTATTTAGCACGCAGAGACACCCCTACAAGCCCAAGGTTTTCATACATGTGGCTGTCATGGAACCCCATGAAAAATATTCTTCAGATCAATTCAATTAGACCAAACCGCCTACAGAATCAAGAGGTGCATTGCTGCATTCAGTTTGAAACTCACGAAGAAAATTGTTTATGACCTTTGTCGTTAGCGTTAGATGAAAGACGATAAAACTTGAAATTGGTTGTAGTCTTTGGTCGACTGCCTCCAGAAGTCAGATGATTTTTGCTGAACTAACCGTCATGAGAAGGATTGGTCTGGATGATCAGAAATTTGCGACAGACTAGCTCTAGTGACCATCTTCCAGTCCTTAACAAGAGGAGAGGCGGCATTCCTGCCGTTTTGGAGTTGGGTAGAGCCCATCGAGACTTGATCAAGGTAGATGAATAACAGGTGAACTCGGTGTCGCACGGTCGTTTTCTCAGAAATTCATCGGGCGCTTTATGGCTTGAGCAGGCAGTTGTGGTGTGTTGCGAGTAGTCCTGAAATCTCGGCAACCGGGGCATCAGAGCAATGACAGCCGCGGACGAAAGAAATCCGACGCCGCGACGACACAAAGTAGTGCCGCGACCATGCTGACGGTTCAGTGTCTCTCCTGTCCGCACCGCTAGGTTGAAAGCAGTTTTCCTCGTTGGGTCTTCAACCGCAGTATTTCTAGGGCACACAACATCAATCGCGCACAATGACAGACGACGGCGGTAGGGATGCGGTGACGCCCTTGAATTTCCCAATGGGGGAACCTCTCGGCGACGCCTCCATCCCGCTTCCACGTGGCACAACCTACAAAAAGCGGCGCTCTAGTCTAGACTTTTTGGGACGTGAAACACGAGAAAAGCATCTCAGGTACTGCTTTGAGACCGTGTAGTTGTACCTTTGTTGAAAACAATTCATGAAAGAATGTAAGTTGAAGCTGTTTTCTACATTTTGTTCGCTCAATTCTCTAAGTTCTGGCACTTTTCTCAAGATTACCCAGTTATTGAAAACGACCCACTTGTAGCGCAGAAGTAACAAGGCTCATGATGTCCAACTGATCCATCTGTCAGTGTTAATAAGAAGTACGAGCGGCTTGCGCAATATAGCATAGATGGAGTGCTGCTTAATGACCCAAGAAGAAAGAAACGCACGCCGCCAGGCAGTGGGTCCGAGACGGAGTCGGCGAATAAGCCTGTGGCGAAGCAGGCCGCTGTGGTTACGACTTGCACTTGCATGATACTTAAAGTGGATTTTTTACGTCTCTTTTTTGGTTGTCGGTAGTGAGGATTCCACCACTATTATACGTAAAGTGGAATCTTTTTCCAGAAGCTCCTCAGGTGATATGTACTGTGTAAAGCCATTGTTCCAAGTACAGAAAAACCTCTGGATGAGGCTCGAATTTGAGGGGACGATCAGGATGCCTTCTATCGAGATGAAGCTCTCATTTTGAATGATGTTCTTTTTCTAATATGGAGCTTGGCGAGAATGGCGAGCCTATCGCAGAAGACGATGAGGACGATGAGGATGTGCTTTGGCAGGACTGGCTAGATAATCTGACCAATGTCGAGTGGGGCGTGGCGCAGTCACTGCGCGTGGAATCGTTTCTGATGACAAAGGCTGGCTTGTTGAACGTGCTTGAAGCAGGAAAATATGTTAGCGACTCAGTACAGTCGCACGCACTGCGCGAGGAAATCGGGGACGACCAAGTGCAAATGGCCACCCTCCTCATTGCTCTGTCGAAAGTGACGAAAGCGCTTTTCAACCAACTCCGGCATACGCTCATGCGGAAGATAGGTTCCTTGTATCAACTAGCCTGCGAATGAAATGACTTAAATACAATAAGCGAAATACAACCCTCCTGCCAATATTTTTCCAACTCCTGCACCACAGGTAACTTCAACTGTGTGCTCCGAAAGTTCGAGCTCAGTGGCGATCGTTGGATAGACCTCGAGGAGTGGAACACTATTGCCAAGGATTTTCTCTTTCCTTTCGAGGACAATGGTCTCGGTTACCTGCCACCGGAACTGGAGGGCGATATTCTGGTGAGCCTCTTCAATCTGATCGGGGGTCACAAGAATGCCCGTGAGAGCGGGCTGCGCGTGGACAAGCTTGCTTCGGCTCTCAGTAACATTTCCGAACAAAAAATGCTTTTCTTTCGTAACTGCATGTTGCAGGACTACCACGGTTTCAGGCAGGCTTTCGAACACATGCGAGGTGAGCTCCGCCATGGGAAAGAAGTGGTATCCTTAGCATTATTCATTCAAGAAGGTGGAACTGGAACGGGATGATTGACGTCACCTCTCTTTTGAGTGTTTTACTAGTGGCTTTGGTTGGTGACATTAACTGTTGACTTGTTTCTGACAAAGAGAAAACTCCACTTATTAGATCGAGTATCTTCCGCGAGACCGAGTTGTTGAGGAGTATGTGCGTATCTTGCGGCGCGCTGATCCGCGCGCAAACACGCACTCGTTGGTAGACGGCGTACTTGATGCCGAGTACGAGCCGGAGGCGAAACGTTTTTACGACTACGTCGCTGCTTTCGGAATGTACACTGAGCCATTGCCGCAAGGCACGGACGGCATCACTTACGACTGCTTCCTCACTGCTGTGGCTACTACTGCGCCACCTATCGACATGAGCCATTTTCGAAAGCGTCTGCTCGTCCGCTATGCGAACTGGAAAAACGCATTCGTTGGAATGCAAAGCAGGAGGAAGTCAAAGGTAATTGATTCGTTTTTTCGCTTACGCGCATAATGGAGGCAGGTGGTTGTTAGGCTGCCGATCGATCGATTTTGGAAGCATGCTATCTCTGTAGTTTGTAGAAAATGAAACTTTCTTTGGAATTATGGCGCGAACACCTATTCAGGACGAAGGCGCTGACATTGAAGAATGGGAGCTGTTTGAGCAATTTGGATCAAAGCTCGATTTCAATCGCCAAGACGCACTCAACATTTTCGAGATGTTGGATATAGATGGCAGCCGATCTTTGTCCTATGAGGAATTCGCAGATAGGATGACCGACGGGGGACTCGCGTTTTCGCAAGAAGAGTTTGCGATTCGCTTATGGAATGCAAGACCAGAAGCTGGTAAGCATTACGGGGCTTGTAGTATGAATATAACAAGGCCGATAAGTAACATAGATAGGTGAAATATGCTTGACATTCTTCTTTACATTACGATAGAAACAGCCCTCACTCGGCCCGATTCACAAAACTTTCCAATGTATACAGGTATGACGATGCAGCAGTTGTGGAGCAAGACCAGCCTGGATCCCAATAACCACATATTGAAAGCCGATTTCGCCGCAGACCTGTTTGGAGTCTACTTGAGTCCAGAAATCTCAGAACGGTTCTCCAAAAAGAGTTTTCTGAGTCAGCGCAAGAACCGCATACCCTGTATGCCGAATTTGGGTAAGCGTGAGGTTGTTTCACTCTACGACGAGCTCTTTTCGCGGGGGGGCAAGGTCACCATCGCGAGTGTGTTGTCGCAAGCGATCGGGACTCACGTCTCAGACGTTCTATGTACTGTCTTTTTTTATGTTGCAGATGGAAAGTAACAACAATTCTGGAAAATGCAAAGGTAGAAGTGCTTTTCGCTGGGCTAGGGCTATGTCATCAGAGCTTAAAATCTGCGTTGTTTTCCAAATTTAGGTACATCGCAGCAAGTGTTTTGTCCTGGAGAAACGGCGACGATTGCCTATAGAATCCCGAAGAAAATGGTAGCAGATCTCCAAAAGTTTCCATTTATCTCTGTAGTGGTTGCGGGGTGCACCTGGACCTCAGCGGGCGGCGGTGGCTGGCAGTTGCGCGGACAGAACATCGGAGAGCTGTCGAAGACCAAAGTTTTTCTTCCCAATTTCCCAAGGCAATTGCAAGGTACAGTGGCGCTGCAAGTACCGTTTCCGCAAGACCCGACTGAGCGATACGAATTTCGGCTGTTCGCGTCACAGAACGGCCAGATTTACGGCAAGCAAGTCGGCGGTAGTGTCAGTTTCTCTATTAGCGGACCGCGACCGGGCCGGCCGATCGCTTCGAGCATCATGCCGACTTGTTGTTCTTTGTCGTGGACGCCGATCACTGAGGACGACCAGAAGCTTTTTGGGCAGGTCGTCGAGTACGTAATCGTAAGACTAGAGATAATTCATCTTTGAGAGCATCCCTGAAAAGTATGGCTGATTTCGTGATATAGTTCAAGGATGCAGAGTAAAGATGAAGATCGGACAGCCCTAATAATCAAGGTGGTACCGGACCTCGAGACGGTCGAAGAGTCAACCAGACTTTCAAAGGAAAAGTACTCCCTAGGACGACGATGGAATGCTATCAAAGGACAAGACGAGAGTGTCTGCGTGTACGATATCCAAAATCTCCACCCAGGCGTCAAGTACAAATTCAACGTGTTGCCGAGACACAAGGTCGCGGTGGCGGCGGGATCCGCAGTTGTCGACGAGGGGGGAGGCAAAAAGAAAAAGGGTGGTGACGAGCAGTCAGCGCCGCCTCCAGAGGACGGCGCAACAGAGGAGGGCTCTTCAGAACCACCTGCTGCAGAGGGAGAAGCAACCGAGAAGGAGCCACCACCAAAGTTTCACATCCTCGACGGCAATTGCTCGCTCGAATCGATCTCTTATCAGGTAGTTGAATCCAATAGTGTAGCGATCTCTTGTCAGGTAGTTGAGTGCAATATTCTTCCCATCGCGACGGCAAAGGCATTTACGCTGATTAATTTGAATTTTATTTTGTTTTTTTTGTAACAACTCGAAATACAAGTAGCTACATCAAAATTCTTCTAGTTGTGTGATTTTTTCTACATCATCAGGCCCCCACGTGCTTGCCGCCTTCGGTTCCCGGTCAAGCTGAATTTGTCTCCTGTACCCCTCAAGAAGCTGTTTTGCGCTTGAAGAAGCCGGAAGTGGAGAATCGCGCGTCCATTTACGACTATGTAGCAGAATATTTCGTGGGCACGGCGCGCGAGATTGATGTTTTATTATTTAAGAACGAACTTGGACAGGAAAACCGACAAAGCCGGCAGATGACGGCGGCCATCAAAAAGCACGCCACAGAACTGGAAAAGCAATGGAAACCTGTAAAAGTTCACTGGAAGCTGGAGAAAACCGGTATGGTCGAGACCATCGTGCGTCCGATACCGGAGGCCTGGCTGTTAAAGCCCCACCGGAGACGCCAGTACGTCATTATGCGGATGGCGGCAGTGAATCAAGGCGGGAAAAGCCCGTTTAGTATGGCCTCGCAGCCTGTCCGCTGTCCTTACGCACGTAGTTGTCCCGAGGTGCGGTGGGGCGTGAATGAATTCTCCTCTTCCTTCGCGATTTCAAGGCCAGGCAGTGCGAGTCTCTATGTGGAGCATCCGCAGATCTTTGATTGGGGAGGTATTGAGCTGGCCACTAGCTACGAAGCACAGATCTCGGTTTGCGTCCCGCACGACGTGCCAGGGCTCCCAGCTGCCTACACACGCTGTCCACTGAAGACTGTGGCGAAGCGCCTCACGGAGGACGAGATAAAGGAGGTGCGGGCGGAAGGAGCGAGAATGGAAGCCGAGGAGGAAGATTAAGAAACCGAATCAACGGCCTTTATTTGTTCCTCTTCCTTAGGTTACCGAATTTTCTTTCAAGCTTTTGGTTTTAATATTAGAGAGATTGATTCTGATTACCTCGAAGTAGGTAAAAGCTGCTATTTTCATACGTGGTTGTTATGTATTTCTAGGAGATGTAACTTGGTTTTTTGCTATTCTGCTACAACATGGACCGCGGCCTCCTTCATGAAGTACAGAAAAAGCGCGAGGAGGAAGAGGAGAAAAAGCGCATCGCAGAGTCAGCAGCGAACCCCAGCGAAGTGGCAGAAGAACCCAGGCCTGAGGCCAGCGCTTCCAGTGGAAAAGGGCGCCAAACACAGGCACCGGGTGCAGTTGAAAAAAGTACGTCGGCACCACAGACTTCTGCAGAGGCTAACCCGCTTTCCGAAGACGAACGGGGTGATATGTCCGACGCGGAGCGGGTGATACCGCGACGCAGCTCGACGTCACAGGGTGTTAAATTTATGTTGCAGCGGATCGAAAGTGAAGACGAGATGTTTGACATCATGCTGGATGACTACAAAATGATAATCGACGAGAAAGTATTCCCGCTCTACACGCGAGTCTGTACAGACAAGAACGACTCCACCAGGGTTGGCGCGACAATAGAACTTGCAGAATATCTACAGGAAGCTTGGAGTGAGGGTATCAGTATGACTCTTTATCTCTTTCATCGCATTGGTAATCGCTTTTTCGATTTCTCTACATGTGAAGGCGGCAATGTCGAATCCAATACAAACGCAATCATTTTTCAACGTTTATTTTTTCAGGCTTTTTGCAGCCTCTTGCGGCCAACAAGTCCCTTCGTGGAATGCCATTGCAGATTACAGGCCGACTACGGGGAACCAACAGCCACGGCACCGGGCCATGGACAGACGAGTTTGTGCTTTCCTCTTTCACTCTTGGGGATATTCTGCACCCCATTTGCATGCTCGGGGATCTTCTTCAGCTATGGGTTAACAGTAACTTAGTTCATCTCAGGATAATGCCGAGTTCTCACATTGTCATTTGATCAATGAAGGTCATTGCAAACACCGACTAGAGATCTTTCCTCTAATTCTTGCGGGTCTGGACGAAGAAAGACATCGACAGGAAGAGGCCGACCGACAAGCTGAAGCGGCAGCACAGTTAAGGCTTCTCCCAATCTATCTTTTTGAAAGACATCCTAAAGAGTCTGTTTTTCAAGGGAAAAAAAGCTTCCGAATGCTCTCCAGAAGCATCCTCAGCGACCTCCTTGGCCTCCTTTTCAAGGGGAAATGGGGCTCAAGGATGGGCTCAGGGATGCGACGCGGTAGCTCTAACACAGGCAGCGATCGCAGCTGCGGCCGTACCACAACCCATGCTTGACGAAAGCGGCAATCCGATGGTTGACGAGAATGGAAACCCGATAATGCTTGTACAATTATGACTTTTTTGTTTGTAATCAAGCTGGAAATGCTGTTCGAATTTGACTTTTAGCTGGTATGCTGGCTAGTGATAGACTCAATGGAATGGGATTGTAATTAGTTCAACTTCGACTATGTGGGTGTTGATGTGTCTTGTTTTTGATGAATGAGATTTAGTACGGATTTGGAGTCCTGCTTCAATTCTTTTGGACTGCTCGGCCATTGTCGGGCCTCCGCTGATTATAAGCACCAGCTTCCCATTCGGAGTTTGTCCTGCTTATTTTCGTTGCCAAGAATATTAGCGTTGCGCTTCGTGACTTCATATTATTTGAGGCTGCAGGGTGTCATCGTATAGTCTAGGGGTTGGCATGCTAGCCAATGATAGACTTCACGGAATGGAATCGCCGACTTGCCTGAGGGAGGAAGTCATATGCATATTCTTGTTGCGACCTGACTGTTTCTAATCTTTGAGCCCGTGCTCGGGGAGGACGGGAAGCCTCTGTTGGATGAGAACGGCGCGCCGATTCTGCAAAGTAAGCAAGCAGAAGTGGTTTTGGGCGAAGATGGGAAGCCGCTGCTCGGTGATGACGGAAAGCCTGTTACACTTGTTGAGGTGCCAGAGGTAGGGCCCGATGGAAAGCCCGTGGTGGATCCAAAAACCGGAAGACCGGTGATGAAGAAGGTGACGCCGCCCTCAGCACCAGGCCCGATCGGGGGCGCACAAGATGTATTTCTTATGGTGAGTTACGAGTACTTTTATCTAGTAAAAAATAGTTGTTCAACTACTTGCCTCTTCTAGATTTAGAAGTAGAAAATGGACTTGCTGAAAACTGCTTTCCTGATTCCACGAATCTAAGCTGGAAATGAAGAAACAGAGTCGTTTTGAGAATCAAGGGATCATTGCTATGAGTACGCGTGCATCCCTGTGGTGTGTAACAATGCGGATTGAACATTTCAGGTTGTCGAGGTTCCGGTACTGGGTGCGGATGGAAAGCCGGTTACTGGCCCAGATGGTAAGCCCGTCATGCAGCAGCAGGCTATGGTCCAGGTTCCGGTTCTTGGTGCGGACGGCAAGCCAATGACAGGGCCCGATGGAAAGCCACTGGTGAAGACGCAAGTCTCAGTTCCTGTGCTGGGTGCAGATGGAAAGCCCGTAACAGGAGCTGATGGAAAACCGCTAATGCAGGTAGTAGATCCAGACGCCGGACCAGTGCCAGTGATGGACCCAAAGACAGGAAAACCTATGGTCGACCCAAAAACCGGCAAGGCGGTTATGGTAGGTGCAAGTCCTGCGGCGGCGAATGCCGCGGCAAGCGTGGCGGCCAGCGGTGGTGGTGCTGCCGGAGGAGGAGCTGGCGGTCGCGCCAGCACTGTGAGCACTGGCAGCAGTACGGGGGGTGGCGCAAGACCCTCCCAGGGGTCCGCAGGCCCAGTGAGAGAAGTAGAGGTGCCTGTAGTAGATCCGAAAACCGGAAAGCCAGTAATGGATCCGAAAACGGGAAAGCCAGTAACAAGGAAGGAGTCTGTAGGATCAGATGGAAAACCTGTGGCGGGAGGTACTTACCTATTTATTTTTGCTTTAGCAGGAACTAGTTGAAGATAGTCGTAGTGATGTTCGAGGAATACTGGTTGTCATGTTTTGTTGATGAAGACAGTCCCTGTCGTGACGAGATCTCATTGCCTGTCAATGATAAGTCGTACTTCTTCTACCTGTAGGCGCAGCTGGTGGCCAGCAGGTGATGACAGCGGGTCCCGATGGACAGCCCGTAGTGGTAATGATGGGTGGCGGTGGTCTTGGACAGCTAGAAGGCTATGGAAGCGGCGGCAGGCCTGGGTCTCCTGGCATTCCAGGCTCCGACGGTGGAGATCCGAAGATGCGGATGAAAGCGCTCGTCGAAGATATGGGCCCGCGGGCGGCGTTCTTAAAGATGTACGAAGACGTCGCTGGGAAGATCCCACAGTCTGTTTTACGAGCGATGCTAGGCGGTGTCGCGCTTTCCGCGAACGGCGAAGAACTGTCAGAGGAGGCGATCCAAGAAGCAGAGCGCAAGCAAAAGGACGCGACGGAGGTACACACGATGGTGTTCGACCGATACGGTTTCAAAGAGAAAGATCACATAGACAAGGTGCTAAAAGCGTGCATGCGGTATAAGCAAGGCAACCAGAAGTGGAACGAGTTTGCGGACACACTCGGCAGGTTCGGCAAGAACTTCCAGTGGGCGGTCGAAGTGTGCACGCACAAATGTTAAGCCTACCACCAAAGCATGTCCTTAACACCATAGTCCTTCTGAACCATCTTCAGCTTCATCCTTAGCATTTTTTTCAAGGGGAAAAAGGGCCCAGGGATGCTTTGCGGCATGCGAGCGCGGCGCTTTTTCTACTTGGAAAAGACGCCAAGGATGCTCTCAAGGATGCCAATGCAGTAGCTCTAAAAATGCTTCCAGGGGGGAGCCGGTTATCCACCACCGGAACGGCTCGGCGCAATCTACACCTGTGTTGCGCAGGTGGGTGGCAAGAGCGTCGACACGTTTGTTCAAGATATATTACCCGGTTTTGGTAAGTTCGAAGAGGCGGACCGGGCACTGCAATTGTGGAAGCAGTTGAAGAGGGTCACCCAAGTTCCGGTCGAGCAGATGCCGATGGAGTTCAAAGAAGCACTATGCGGCGAAGCTTTGGTAGATCTTCTAATCAGCGACGAGGGCGCTTCTGCATTCCGGTTGCTGCAAAAATGCACACTGATCGACCCAACAGCACCGCGACGAGTGTGCAAATTGCGATTGCCAGCGCAGCAGCAGCAGGACATCACCAACGAAAGGAAACGCATCGCACGTGATAAAGAGGCCATGGCGCGCAAAAAAGAAGAGGAAGCTGCGAAGCAACGTGCCGCAGAGGGAGCGCCAGTCAGTGGTATTGGCCCGCCTAGGCCTGTGAGCCAGCAAACCGCAAGAATAAGTCTCGACAAGAAAGAGCCCGGAGAAGATGTTATGATGGGTAGGTATCTTTACAAAAACAAGGCGCCTTCTTTAGCGCTATAATACTATGTATGGCTGCTATTGTCCTTCTGCTTCTTTCATAGTCCAAGGCTCCGATAGCGAGGACGCGGGTCCGAAGAGTGTGCTTGCCGCAGTTTTACAGGAGGAGATGGGCCTCGGGGATAGACCCGTCGCGGACGAGCCTCCCTACAGGCAGGAAGTGAAGTACGAGAGTCGGTTTGACAAATTGAGCGATACGCTGAATTATCTGCTCGAAGACTTCGACAAAATGGATCAGATAATCGATTACGGGTTCCTCGTATCGCGTGTTTGGGCAAAGGGTAGTGACTCACCTGGATCCTTTGCACCAATCCCTGCTGGTGCCTTTAGTAGTGAAGCTCCGAGCATCGAGAGCATCGCCGAGGCGTTGCAGTTAGTGAAGACGGCCGGATGCGACCGCGTGAACACGTTTTCGCGTGTCTCAGCGAAGATCATGAACGGCGACCTGTCCGACATCGGCAGCATGCTCGACATGATTGTCTCCCTCCTGAGTGCGTTCAACCCGAAGCAGCTCGCGGACCTGAGCGGCATTATCAACGACCTCGGTGGATACGATAAGATGATTGCCATGACGCGCGACTTGGCGGCATTAAAGATGCGCCTACGCCGTGGACAGAGCTTCCCGCAGTTCGTTCGCTGTGTTACAGACTTCTTTGGAGGTTCCGGTAGCCTAATAGTAGGCATGGAAATTCTCCAACAGCGTGATAAAAAAGCCTATGCTAGTTTTGACTTCGTGGAGCTCTGCTCACTGGTATTGATTTCTCAGACACAAAGATAGACATGAGCCTGAGAACGAGGAGTTGTACACTGACATGTAGAAAGACTTCATGGAATGGAAGGGGATACTGTAGTTTATTTCGAGAACAAGATTTTTTTTCTTGGTGAGAAGCAATTTACATTTTTGCACTTCATCTACTACAGGTTTCACACCTGGCTCCACGGTCGCGCGACCTAGACGCTGTAGCTGATCTCGTGAACGAGCTGGCATTATGGGAGCAGTCTCTGCACCCAGAGGAGATCGCGATCAAGGCGGTTCCGGCACCGTTCAAGACCAACGCTAAGCTCGGTAGAGCAAAGGGCAGAACCGGCACGATGCACTCAACGGGACTGATAGAAGCGATGAATGCTGCGAAAGCGCTTAAAGACGCGCGCGAGGCGAGTGACACGCAGTCATCTGGCCGTGGCGGGCCAACGCCCAAAGGCAACAAGCAGAGGATGGATTCCAAAACCAAACTCGAGCAGCAGGCTCCCAGCCTGAACTCCAGCGTGATGATGGACGAAGACGACGACGAGTGCGCGTTCCACCTCACGACGCGTGGCACATGGCCCCCGGACAAGGAAGGCGCGTTGCAACTCTTCATCAGGCTGCTCAAGAGCTCTGGGTGCAACCTCGCCAAACTGGAACGAATTTTCACGATTATGACCGAGTGCGGTGGCGCGGAGGAGTCGCTGGAGATTTTCGAGTTAACACAGCCTTTGATGAAAGCGCGAGACCACATGCCAAAGAACAAGGAGGACAGAGATGTCTTCCCGGTTGTGATGAAGGCAGTAGTCCAAGATAGTGGAATGGGCCTGGCGAAGTTTGCCTCGTGGGCCGGCAAAGTGCATCCAATTCACTGGAGCAACGTTTTTCAGCTAGCAGAAGAGATTCTTATCCACACTACCTGTGGAAATTTGAAGGACCTGAGCGATCTGCACTTCGGGTTCTACCACCGGCACGTGTTAGATATCCAAAATGCGTTCCAGGGTCGGTCCGAGAACATCAAAAACTGTCTTCATCTGCTGCACACCGTTGGCATTATAGGGAAGCGGAACTTCAAGTACGCAACGAGCAATCCAGAGGACTTCGAGGCCCTGTTGGGCGACAGTCGGCGCGAGTTCTCTCCCGTCCGTAGTCGTCTAGACCGCAGTCCGCCGCCACGACACGAGTCGATGCAGGCGACTTGGCGAGGCAAGTCACGAGAAGCTCGGGCAAGTGTGGATCCGCCAGGTGGGTCAGCGTTCAAGATGTTTGGCCGGGAACAGTGGTCGCCTGGTTCGTCATCAGCCACGGGACGGCGTGCGCCTGGCAGTGCAGGCGATGGCAGACCATCAGCTAGCGCCGGTAATGAAGCGGGTGAGTACAGTATAAATGTCGTAGATCATGAAGCGGGTCTTGCATCGATGCTTTCACCGACGACTGCAGGGAACATTCACGGGGAAATAGCAGGCGAGGATGGATTTGGCAGTCCACGAGAAAACGACATAGAGGAGCTCCGAAGTCCGCTGCCTCCAGGCTTCGACGAGGTTGGCGAGGACACGTGGGAGGACTGGAATGAGCTAGTGAAGAAGGTCAAGAGCTTCAAGGGAGCTGCCTTCTTTTTGAAATGCACGGAGGGCTGCGATATGATGGAGTTCCTGCTCTCGGTGGATGCCTTGAAGACAGTACAGGTGATCACCGCAGACCCAGTAGTACTGCCGCAAGCGGAGAAACAAACGAAGGCGGAACGCAAGTTCTTCCGTGATCATGGCACTCTGACAGATGCGAAGCCACCGGAACCAGCAAAGCCCGCGGCCCCGTCAAGCGGCAAAAAGGCACTGCAGCCGCAAGACAAAAACGCAGGAGAAACTACTGCTGCTGCAGCAGAGGACGGAACTGACGCAAACCGAACACGACGCGCCAAAGCTTACTACAAATTTTCGCCACTGAAGGCGTTCCTGAAGGTTCTCATCGAAAACGGTGGCCTGGAAGTCTTCCTGTGGTTAGTAAGAGGTGTGGACTTGACGAAAATACAAACGCAGCTGTTCTCTATGAATCTGTTGCGCGCATCACCTCTCTTCGCGCGAATGTTGGACGACGAAAAGAACCGAGGCACACTGCTCCGGTTAGTCGCGTGTTGTGAGGACGCTGGTAGTGTGGAGAAAGCGGTGCTCCAGCTAGAGGGCAGCCACGTAGCGTCCTCGGCGTCGCAACAGGACACCTTCGGAACTACGTCACAGTCTTCGTCAATGCGGTTTGGTAGCACAGAAACAGGAAGACTCGAGGCTGGCACCGACGCGGGCACGCGCTCATCTGAGCAGAGCGCGCCTAGCTCGCGAGACCTGGTGAAGATGAATGACAAATTTGCGCTAGATGCCGGACGCATGCTCTGTCGCGGTCTTAACATTTTAAGTTGGGACGAACGCGATCACCAGACGATCTTAGCACTAATCGACTTCTGGCAGAGTGTCTTCTTCGAAGTTCCAAACGGAGATGAGCGTATTCCTTTAGAAGAACTAGAACTTCTGAAGAACTTCTTACTCTCTTTGCGGCAGTATATGCAGGCGCAGGTGCTGCGGGGCGAAAACCTGGAGAATTTGAGCATCTGGATCAAATTCATGAAGAAAGTCGAATTAGGCGACACGAAGTTCCTCAGTCGCGTAGAGCGGTTACTGAGTTTTCCGGGCCGTAGTATGCGTCAGGGCCTTGACGTCTGGTGGGGCATCAGAAATCGATTCCCACTAGCGAAGATCGAGGACTGGCGCACCCTCTTAGACCGCATGAGCGTAGCTTGTAAGCCAGAGGTGAAAGATTTAGGAGTAGTGATCCACTCCCTGAGCACCTCGGTGTCCACGCAACTCTACAGAACCAACGTGCAGATGAGCGCGAAGCGCAGCGGGACGAACTCTGGAAACTGGAGTGCAGGCTCAAACGATTCACCGCAGCACCAGGCCAGCGGTGAGGGCTTGGGAGGCTTGGGAGGATCCCCAATAGGCCTGACACGTCAACCTGGCTCGCCAACGACAAGCACGCAGGCTAGTTTCATACGAAGCACGCACCCTGGAGGGCCGTTCTACAACACAGCACCACCGACTCTATCATCGACGAGTAGCGCGCACCCACCTTCGATGCACCACAGGTGCGGTGGGATGGGAATGAGTCATGCGAACAGCACGGGACCAGGACGATTAGGCGCAGGCCCCTTGGCAACAACAAGCATCGACGAGATGCACCCAGAGCACGCGCGGTCAGTCTACAGTCTGCCTGGCGTAGACGAACCCACATACCATAAGCACGCAGAAGAGCTCTACGACCTGTTCCCAGGCTACAATCGGGCGAAAGCGCGCCTCTTCGGGCGCAGCGGAGAACAAAGCACGTCGCAGGGAGGTAGTAGTTTTGGAAATACTTTAAGGCTTCCCGTAATTCATCTGGACAAGCATTTTTTCCACGCTTTCAAGGGGAAAGCACGGCAGATCATATGCTCTCCAAGATGAATGGAGACAAGCTCTAAATGGAACGCGCGGCAACTTCACAGACGGCGCCAACGCGAGTTCGCACTCCTGGATGGGGCACAGTGCAAGCGGTCCGAGCACCTCACGGGGGCCTTTCCACGGGACAGGAGCGAGCCTTCCCCAACCTAGCGTGGAACTTCCTGGCAGTCTGATGGCTTCGACATCAGTCTACTCGGACACCTACGCGACTTTGGAGAACAGCACAGACGCCGTCTTCAAACAGGGCTCGCGGAAAGGCACGCGACCGGTCCGAAAAAATGCCTGGCTCTCGACTAGTCAACTGAGCAGTCCTGCTAAAGGGAAAGGCGCATCAACGCAAGGTACATACGCTAGATTTATGAAAATATTAGGTAAGAACGCTGTATAAGTACTCAGTACGCTAGAAGTTGTAACAGGTGTAAGAACGCTGTATAAGTACTCAGTTCCTTGTTGGGTAATTCTTCCAAGCTGGGCTGGTTGCTGATAGAACTTTTCTGAACAACTACCGTTGGAGCTTGTGTTACAGAGGTAACCAAGTAAATCTTGGGTTGTAGAAAATGAGGTCTAGTGTTGGTACAACCCACCACCGCAAACTGTCTTGTTAATGACCCTGTTTGTGTTTTCCAGGTGAAAGTAGAGGCGTCCTGGCACCTCCACCGTCGTTATTCACCACAAGCGTGCATGCAGGGCAAATTTTATCGCCGCTAGAAGCAGAACAATTGGCGAAGGTGAGGCGGATGGCGCCAGCCCTTGACGAAGGGTCGAATAACAGATCGACCGACCGCGTGCGAAACATTTTTCTTCTATAGCGGAGACGAAGATTCGAGTGGACCTCATGACACGGAAGTTCCCATTTTAATTTATATAATGTTATCGCGATATTATATGCTGGGGGAGGTGGGTTGCTCCCCTCCCCAGCCGGCTTGTATGGGGTTCATTGTTTGGATTTGTTTTGTGGGTTATTGGCTTCTTTGCAGGTCCTCGGCTTGGGTTTGCCGTTCTTTTCACTCCCTCTCCCTATTCATTTTTGCATTACGACACGACTTTTTTCTTCCGTCCATCCCTTCATTCTCGTCCTTGGAGATTTACCACACTTGATCCTTGTTTATCACTCTATTCTTCGTTCTACTACCTTACACGCATTAATATTCGCTTGTGGATTGTACCACCTACACCGAGTAATCGTAATCCTAACTTGAGAATATTTTCAATTTCACACTTTTGAATCCATGTTGCAAATGAACAAAACGAGAGATTGTCGTTCTACTTCTACAATAAATTTTGCAAGATACTAACACGATACGATTTACTAAGAAATAACTTCCATCCTTGCTGCACTATTAGACCAGAGTTTCGATGTTTACTGCAAGCTGCTTTCGCAAAATGAACTTTGAGTATGCTGGATAGTGATCCCTTGAATCCAGGGACCTGTCCTGCAGTGGAGTGAATTGATGGTCATAGAACACAGCCATACAACGGAAAGCTAACGAAGTCATTGTCACAGCGCGCCAACTTTTTTACGCGTGTGTCCGTTACAGATACAAATATTGCGACCGCTCTTCAAGTTCAAAGCCTGTCGTCACACAAAATGCATGACCATCAGATTCAGAGGTTAGTCATACTCTTTGCATGCTACTTATTTTCTGTAGATTAGACCGGAACTCACACAAAACGTTAGGCCCATACAGTCAATCCGTTTCAAGCATTTCAGCTGTTTATCATAACTCAAGCCCGTAGTCATCGAAAGGTCAATGCACAGATTAAGCCAGACTGACAGCAGACTTACATGTAAAAGCAATATCAAACGTCCCATGCCGCTGCCCCGTCTATAGAAATAACAGGCATAGCAATTAAGTATTACACGACGCACGTCCATATGCATAGCTAGGTGCATTGTGTGTTTCGCTTAAATAATTTGACTCTGTAGATAGTTGATGAATACGCTAATCTCTTCACTATTTTATCTATCTTCACTGGAAAAACTTCTGCCAACGAGAATACATTGATAAAGGATAAATATGTACTAAGCCTCCGCAGCCAGGACGAGGGGCTCGCTGATTGCGAGACTGGATTATGATGTTGGGTACACCAATCATGACAGTTGGTACCCGAAGCCTCCGCCAAACAATCTGATGTAATCCCGTCTTGTTAGAGGCCCGACAGGAATGATCATAAGATTTATGTCGTATGCCCTCCTTTCACTACCCCATTACCCCGAGTCACACTTTCCTTCACGCTAATGAACGTTTCATGTCTTTGAAGATGTTTTCATTTCATGTCCTTGGTACTTTCCTTCCAAGTCACGCTGGATGCACGTTTCAAGACAAAGATTTTTTGTCACATCTCGATATGAAAATCGTGTTCAACTGCATCGACCACTCTCACTCAGCACACTCGTAGAAGTGCTCACATTATTTTTACTATTGGTGGATTGAAAACGGGCAGTAGTACCTCCCAGAGCCATGACCATCTCAAAAAGGCGAGAATGCGGAGTGTCTCTACCGTGGGTTCCAAAAAACTGCAAAACGTAATATTTCCAAGTATCTTTATGCGATACTGATAGTCCGTGCATGATGAAAAGAGCTTTGCTTCTTGACAAAATCAATCTAGCTGGATCTTTTTTGGATTTGTCGTTGGTCTTGTCTCCTCCTTGTATAGAACTAGGCCTTAATGCCAGTAGGTTCATGACGAAAATATTGAATTCTTGAAATGCACATGCAACTCCTCGACTAACGTTTGCGAAAAAAACAAAGTCAGTGCCACAACTGTCGCGAGAAGTAGCACGCAGTAGTTGCCTGTGATCCTATCACAGCTCGTGCGTGCTCCATCACACGAGGCTTACGACTCGACTTTTCCCGCACATCACTGAGGCGCACTAGCGGCCTATTGGAAGAAGTCATAACACTACAACAGGCCTTCTATCGCGGTCTTTAGGATCTTCTACTATCCATTTGGATATTAATATCCTACACGAAAGCGCCGAAAATGCCGGATAGCGGGTCTTATTTTCCCATTGCGGAGCTGACTCCGTACAACCGGAATTGGACGATTAAAGCGCGCGTTATGACAAAGAGCACCCTGCGCCCGTTTAACAGAATTAATGGGGGCGGAAAAGGATCCGTACTTCTATGTTCTTGTGAAGAATTAATTGATGATGCCTCCAAATGACTTTTCTGTACTAGCAGCTGAATCATGACGTTGAATAAGAACTAGTAGAACTTCTTACCTAAATTTCGTCATACTGAAGAACTTCAAACTTTTTCTGATAAACTTCCTTGTGCGTTCCTGGCGACACAAGTCTCCTTTCCAACTCTCTCAAAGCTCTTTAGCGTCGATTTGGAGGATAAAGAGGGCGACCAGATTCGGGCAACCTTTTACAATGAAGTTGCAGAGAAGTTCATCAACACCATCGAGTCGAGCAAGGTGTATACTTTCAGCAAAGGGACAGTCAAGGTACTTATCATTTCGTGCATTTTCAGATGCTTTGTTTTGTCGTAAGTTCATCTTCACACGCGTATTGTAGCCCGAGTTCTTATGGCTGTATCTGCCTTTCCATCGTTGAATTTTTTGCGTCTCTGTTTCTTCTTGGCTGCATTCTTGGACTCCGCCATACGCACAGGTCGCGAATAAAGCCTACAATACTGTAGACCATGATTATGAGGTGAGTTTTAATCAAGGTGTCGTAGTGGAGGAGTCTGCGGACGACGGAAGCATCGGGACAAATGTCAGGTATCATCCTCTATATAAATTTGAAGAAGCAAGTCTGAGTAATTTTTTAGTGTTAGTTTTTGAGTTTTTGTTGCGGCCAGGAGAACATTAAAATTTGATTAGCCTTAAGGTAGCCCAATGCCTACAGTTTTGGATGATGTTCTTCATCATCCTCCGCGATGTCGCCCCTGTCCTGTGCCTAGTGCTAATCTGCGCAAGCACAGGATAAGACTGAGAAGGCAAGCCATTTGGTTTTTGTTGTATTTAAGTACGAAGATCCCTGGGGCTTAGTGCCTTTCATCTGCCTAAGCTAACTAGATCCGGGTCAACTATTTTTCTGCTCAGCTTATTCCTTTCCTGCACACGCTTAAGACCTTATGACTTTGATCCTGTGGCTGTTGTTGATGATGTTGATGATCTCGATGCTGTTGATCTTCGTGTTGCTGTCGTTATGATTATCTTGTTCCCGTTGTTTCCTTGATCATGATGCTCGTAAATCTTTACGTTGTTGATTTTAGTACTGGCGGGATGATATTTATTTTCATGCTTGAGATGATTCATAATTTGGGGATCGACAGTTCTTCTCCATCTCTACTATCGTGGCCCTTTTTCTTTCTTGCTTACTTGGAGGTGGTGACACACGTATCTTCAGGTTCAACTTCGTGGACCTGCGTTCGGTGAAGTCGCGTGCACTGCCATGCAATATTGACGTTGTCGGTGTGGTTTCCAAAGTGGAGGAATCTCGAACTTGGCAACGAGACGGAAAAGAGTTCACGAAATACGCCTTCACAGTGGTTGACGAAACCGAGACCGAACTGGAGGTGTCCCTTTTCGCGAGCGTAATGGACAAATACCCTCCAAAGATGGTCTCACCTCCAGATGACAACCCAAACCAGAAACCGATAGTTGCGATGAAAGGGGTCGTCGTAAAGGAATTTCAAGGGCGCTCGGGTGTCCTGAATGACTCAGGCGTGCTTGTTGTCAACCCGCACCTGGACAAAGGGCCGGGAGCCGTACTCAATGCTGAAAAGAACTAAAACAATCCCACTTCTTATGTACTTCTGCTTACTGAACGTGAAGATTGTTCTCAGGTTGGTTTAACTGAATCGTGCGTTCATTCTTGGATCGTCCTTCGTAGTAAAGCCTTAACATTGTTGCTAATAAATCAAAGAGTATCCAACATCGATCTTGTTGTTACTCTTGCTACTCGTTCTCCTTCTCCTCAATCTTCCAGGAGCGCGCCCAGGCAGTGTCCAGTTGGTGGGAAGGCGGCGGCTCAAAGAAAGCGTTTACGAGTATGCGCGAATTGACGGGAATTCCTGGAGTCTCCAAAGTTGAGAAGCGCACACTCGCCGAGCTTGTAGATGAAGTAGAGCCATCAGCGGGTCCAGATCGCCAGAGCTTCAAGTATTCCGAGGTATACGCGCGTCTAAACAAATTCATCTTACGGCGCAACTCTAAACGTTGTTTGTCAGAACAGAAGAGAAGTGACACAGGAAAATAATGCAGGCGGAGACGAGATCATATTGTCGATACTCTTTCTCACGGATAGTACTTATACCTCAAAGTACGAGAACCACTAGTACGGGCACTGCTCTTCTCTAGAAGTATTAATGAATACTTAAATATAGTCCGTGTTTCTAATCGAAACGGAGCGAAAAGGAGAAAAGCTGGACATGTGGTACAACGCCTGTCCCGAGAAGGTCGTGCGCGAGGGGGCGCCGGCGAATTCAGCAAATTTGTGCAACAAAAAAGTCGTTGACGGTATGTGCCGAACACACGGAATGGTGAATCCCTATAAAAGATGGAACTGCCGCGTGGTCTTTCAAGATGCCTTCGGCGATACTCTCTTGACCTTGTTTGACGAGCACATGACGAAGATCAGTACTTTATATTTGAATTATTTGTGTTTCTTCATCACATCAAACACATGACGAGGATCAGCAGTTGATACACGAGTTTGTGTTTCTGCTTCTTCATTAGACACGGAAGATGGGAAGAGCTTGGCTTTCACTGTTACTTTTTTCTATCTTGTTGAAAAGCAAATGGAGAGTAGATTATCTAAATCGTATTTTCGATCTTCACTCTCGTCAAAAAAAAACCACTTTGTATAGGCTCAGAAACGGCAGAGGACGCTGTAGCAAAGCGCAGTGCGGATGCTCTTGACTCCTGGTATACAAGTTTGTGCCATCGCGAATTGTACAAAATGCGGCTGCAGACGAAACAAGAGGCGTATGAAGGGGAGATGCGAGCGAAAACCACGATCATGGCAATCGAGCCGGTCAACCGCGTCAGTCGTGGGGAAGAAATGATGAAGGAAATCGAGGAGTTGTATGGCTGAGGAAAATGGAAAACTGTGAAAGTATGTAGTGCGGAAGAAGTACACAAATCGTATCTTCATACATTTTTAAACGACATGCTGTCTGAAGACTCGATGCGCACCTTTTCGCACAGAGATCATCATCCTCCTATGACTTTTTTTGCTAGGTCACGGAGACACTCACTCCAGGCGTTCACGCTCGTACTAGCTCTATGTGAGTAGCAACTCAGCTAATATTCTCGTTTGTTTTGATGTGGCTGTTCCGTCAACTTGCAGTTTTGATCCTCCCTTGATTCCTTGTTCATCGCGAACGAGTCATTGACGACCACGGTTGATCGCGTGCACAAATGTAATGACACGCAAAGCCACTTCTCGTTCTCAGTTCGAGAGTGGCAGAGCCGTCTGGCAAGTTTCTGTGTTTCACGATGTCGTGCATCATTGGTTCAAATTTATGATGGAATAATGAATTAGCGTAAGTAGTTTTTGTATTGGCCTCCGTGGTGAGAAAGCGGCAGAGGCAGTGGAGTGTCGGAGTGGCGCAAAGACTCATTTGAAATTTTAGAAATCTGCATTTTGCACATCTTTTGTGAAGTGCGATGGTGCAGCTTTTACCGGATTTCAAGTGGGCCACTGCGTCTTCGCTAGGTCTTAGAATTCGCTTAATGCATCAGGTCACGTGCTAGTCAATAATGAGGTCCAAAAAGTTTGCGGATTTGTCCTTAGGTATTCTTGCCGGAAGCAGACCAATTTTTTTGGGTGCAACTTGTATATACTCGTACAAAACCTTCTGCAGGGCAAGAAAATGGATTGACATGAAAATGCTAGAGGATTAAGTCGTTCATTCTTCGCTCTGAAGAGTGGATCTAGCTTTGTCGTGCGCAAAACTGCGACACGTGGAAAACTAATTACAACATACAGGCACATAGTTTCACACCCTCATGTCTGGGTTTTTCCTGCTTCTGCAGCAGATTCTTGTTTCAATTTCTTTCAGAGTCGCATAAATTCAACGTACACTGTTGCGCGATTGCGCTGTTGATTAACTACACAGAGACTTGGTTGTGCGATCAACACGTGAAGATGGCGACTTCATTAAGTGACGGGGACTCTCAAGTCGAAAATATAGTGGCATGCGCTACGGATCATGTAAATCTGCTGCTCCAGTTGAAGGCAGGCACACTGGAATCGCTTGCTCGAGAGGTAGATACTCTGGCAAAGGCCACATCCGAAGGTGCTCGAGTGAAAGCAGAGACGCTGTTGCGACGGTATTACACGATTCTGAAGAATTTTCAAAATTATGTTCTCCTTTTTATCCACGTTCCTTCTCGTTCATTTAGTTGTAGCTGGTGACACAAAGTTGAGACTGAAAAAAGCAATTTCATCTTGCATTGATTTATTCTTCTTTATCCGACATTGATTCACAGGCTTCGCAAGTTAGCTCGTTTTGCCCCTACCCAAGAGCTGCGTGACCGCTGTCTTGGTTTTTGTTCGCAATTACACCCTTCTGAACCGTCGCAAAGCAGCTGTGGGAGCGGTACTATAGGCGGAGATCGTCTACTCGAGCCCTGGGGTGGATTCAAGGAACAACAGCGAAAACAGATATCTTCGATATGCAGTTTCGATGCAGCGGAGGAAAGAGATCGACCCGCGCTGGATTTCGAGATCCTTGAAAGCTGGTCTAAGTTTTTCGTACAGAATGCCGGCAATCTCACCTCGTTACACTGGGCCATGTCGATTCATCACGGTTTTTTAAACCGCTTTTACGACTCAATGGGCGCTTTGTTCTTCGAGGAGGGACCACTGCCGAAGCCATGGCGGCACTTTCTGGCCATGCTAGCAGCGGCGCAGCACCGCTGTGAATACCTCGTGCGACACTCGTTGGAGATGTTTTTGCTTGCCGGCGGCGACCGGTACTGGATTCTCACTCCGAGCGAGACGGTGCCTGCTAAGTTGCTACGTATCGCGAAGCTGAACGAGCTAATGGCGCACCAACCTTGGTCAGTAGATGAAAATGTGCTACGAGAGATGCTTTCGCCTGCAACGTCAGCGGAACTTCGTTGGAGTGTGCCAGAGTTGCTCGCAGCACTTTCAATTTTGTCGACCTACCACGCATTGAGCAGTCTCGTCTTTGCTCTCGCGCTCCAGCTCGAAGACCCCAGGGTGCTGTCTTCATCGGGTTCCCCCCCAGGCACGGTTGGTGGTGATGGTTCATCAGGAGCAGCTGCAGCAGAAGCGAGTTCTCCAGAACAGCAGCAACAAGAGCCACCCTGGCTCGCTGAAGCAAGCAACATTTACACAGAGCTGCTCAGCAGCGATCCATCGTTGTTCTCGCCGACGCCGCATGCCGCGCACCGCTCCCCAGCTGCCTCCTCCGATGCGCTGGTCGGAGAAGGCGTCGATGACGATGATGACGCCCGTCTTACATGTCGCAGCTTCGCGACCGTGCGCTCAGAGCAGAGCTCGAGTCAAGTAGACGAGGCAGAGTCCACCGCTACCGGCTACACGGAAGCGCCTAGTTCTGTGGACAGCTCTAACCTGGTTAACCTTAACGCCCTCGATGGCAACCCTTCTCTCGGCGACAAAGTTCTTGGAGACAACTCGGCCACTACCTCCATCTCATTGTCAACACCAGCGCTGAGTAAAGACGGCACAGCGGAGCCCTCGACGAAGCCTGAAGCGGACACCTCTAGTGCGGACATGGCAAAGAGATTACAACACCCGATACTCGACCCAAGTAGATTGCCGGCTTGTTTCCAGAGAAATCTGGGCGTGAATTGGACCCACTTCATTTCCAAGCAAGAGGAGCAGGAAGTGCTAAACCCGATTAAAAGTGAGAAGGATTGGGGAGAGTTGGGGAAACTGACAGACAATTCGCTGACCGATGCGGAGAAAAAGGCGCTGCAAGGTGTGATGGCCACGAAGCCCGAAGTAACTAGTCCACTTTGCGACTACCTGCGGGCCCGCTGTTGCGGCAGTGCTGTGGGCTCAATCAAATACGTGGATTTTTTATGGCCATGCTGTTTATTGACCTAGTAGCATCACACAGATCTATTACAGAGTACCAGTTTATAGCACGCATAGTGCATCAAGTGCATTGAGTAGCATGGATCTACGACATCTTCCTTCAAAATCTTCGTGCTGGTTTTCGTGTTTCTGCTTCGAAGAAATAGCAATAAATCTAGGGCGGATCAAAGGGGTTACTGCTTATGAATGTATTGTAATGTGCGGGTATTGGACTGTTGGCATCTAACCTTTGGTTCAAAATCTGCAGCTGCAGCCTCCCAAACTAGTTGGGCAGACCATGCTTTTCCGCTGTTAGCACAATTTTGTCCCGAAATTGCCGACGCTATTCATGAGGAATTTGAATTCGCTAACGCCTACACGGATCGGAGTGTTGGAGGTAATTAAGTACATATTATGTATGAGTCATATTTGAGTTGACACACTTAGTCCTAGTACGAGAGTCACTATTTTAAAAACGATGTTGAGAAGATGCTGATACTGACGTAGCTTTTTTTGTTGATGAATCTAGCCTGCAGCTCTACAAATTTCGTCTTACCCCGCCAGGTCAAGCCGTCGAGTCAACCTTACCGCAACGGAGGGCCCTGTCTGCCTACGTCTTCCGAATCTATGGTCTGGACGTGGACGACTTCAATTACACAAGGTAGTTTATTCTATCACACTAGTGGAGCCACTTCCTCGGCAAATTTTCTGTGTCGCACTAGTTGGGAGCTAAACGACTTATTTCTATTGTCGATAGAAATGCGGCTCATCAAGCATGAGCCGCTAACTAAACATCCCCCTATGCACCGCTTTACAATTCACCGCCACAGGTTAAACTTTTATTTGACGCTGCTTCATAAAGTGTATTTGAAGAAGCTGGTCTGCTTTCCGGAAATGTTGACCCGAGAAGACTACGAGCGGCTGCGTGCATTTTGCGGTTACAGCTTGCACGATATGATTCAGTACACGCACATTGCTACGCAGGTCCGAAGAGTGATGGAATTACAATACGTCATGGCTGCGTTCCAGAAATACCAAGGCGGCAATGCATCGGATTCCGGCACGCCGTAGAGGGATGCGTTATCACTATAGTTCACGGCAGCTCACGTCGCCAGATTCATCTTGCTTAGCAGCTACAACATTTAGGGTGACTCGTACTTTTTACGACACTTGAGACGATGTCGTTGGGAGAGTGTGGCAAGAAACAAGGCGTTTTGGCATCTCGGCTGCAGCTTTTGAAACAGACCTGATTTTCTTGTGCCTCGGTCGTGGTTCTGGATAGATCAAGCAGAGTGCTCAACATCGTGCTCCACAAGAATGAATATCAATTATCCAGTGAAGAACAGAAGTACGCGTCCTCTCTTAGTCCGTATCTCTCTTATGTATAAATATCTATCGTTTACTGCTCTTGTGTACGTGTAGTTAAGGAACACAACAATTTTGCAACGAACAGCAAGAACCGAAAAAATGTACTTATGTACAACCATCTAAAAAGTTGAACATCATCATGATATTTAGAGCAATTGACAATCCCAATCCAAATCCAATGTCTACTTCGATTGATCGTGATATGATACTTATAGTATCTAGTGGTCGTCCAGAAAGGCGTTAGGAGAGACAGATACATGATAATATCTAGTCGTGCCTATAGGCTAAAGCGGCGGGTTTTGGATTTGCAGCTTGGATTGCTGGAATCTAGACCAGATGATTGTGCCACCGCGTTGAAGTGTAGAAAAAACATGGAAACGAATTAGTCTGTATTAAAGGGAAAAGGAGGTAAACTTGGAGCATTAGGCTCGAACAAGCGCACCATCGTAGTTTCAGCTCCTGACTCTTCGATCAGTAATCTTTCAGAATATATAGCATTTCCCTAACTAGTAAAACTACGCATAGATACGTAATAATTTGTTGGTCTTCTTTTGTTCCTCGATGTCTGCGCCCCACGTACGAATACTCCACTCTCAGCCTCATGCTCTTCGCTTCTCGCATTTGTTTAGGTGCGATTCTGGTGGAGATCATGAAACACTAGTATGCACATCTAGCCAACAGCCACTCTCGTCCTACGACTTATACCATTTTATTCGATACCACGAGAAGGACCACTATCTTCATGTTTCACAACACAAATTTACCACACTAGCTGCTATATCAAAATGCTTGCCATCAACTCGCTTTGATTGGTTGTACTTAAATGTATCGAAGTCATGACTCCATATGAAGATTCCATAGCAAAAAGAGCTCCGATGTTGTTTGGTATTTGAGTTTCGTTTGAACTTATATATTCACATGTTTTCGTTTCTCTAACGCGGAAATCGAAATCGCTGACGTCCTTTGTTTTCCTGGTTCTAGTTTCTCCGTATTTTCGGTTCCGGCTTGCTTACTAGTTAGAGTCTCTGGTCGGAGGTCAGTAGTTAGAGCACTTCTTTTAGTTAGAAGAGTCTCTTTCTCAGGCGCACCTCGTCATGAGTTCGAATACTTCATCTTACGTCGTACTTTAATTATTTCCTCAACAAAGAACAAGAACAATCTGACAAAAAACATGGGGTCGATTGGGATTTCGCTTTGAACTATCACGTTTCTCTTATTTTCCAGTGTTTCGTAGTGCGAAAGGATTCTCTAATTGGTTGCAGCTATGCATGAGATAAGAATGAAGAATTAAACATGTATCCGCGAGGACACCTCTCGATCCTCTATCTCTAAGGAGGCCAATATTCTGGTGATGTGGCGCAGTTGGTGCCATCAAACTTTTCCGCTCACTCTGCTTTTGCTGCAGTGTTTTTTAGATGAATTCCCGCGAGTGAAATTCCGAGAAGCACGTCCTTGAGGTGAGAGAACCGCGAGTTTCTCAGGAGAAGAAAAAATTTAGATTTTTGGTTTCTAGTTCTTCATTTCTTTATTTGATGTTCGTTTGTGTGGAGCACCATTACCTAACCTAGCGAGGTGCATTCAGGTTGTTTCTGTGGTGGTGTCGTCGTACCGGAAGCATCCACTAATGTTTCATCAATATACGCATTGACTCTAATCGTAAGTGTAAGAGGTCAAAATTGTAGCTAGAAGGCAATGTTGGGGTCTTCGCTCGGTCGACTAACGGGTTGCAGATCACTGCCTTCGGCTCTGGTAAACAGCTCACGGAATTTCGCAACGTCAAAGCACGAGGATCTCTCACTTGCAGGTCGATACTCAGGAGCGCTACTGGCAGCGTCACTCAAGAAGAAGAACCTCGATAAGGTACTAGAATCAAAAAAGTTCAAATCGTAGTCCATTCAAAGGAGTATGTTTGTAATGGAAGATGTATCATTATCTACATCTTCGTGAAACTGGAGATGAACCACGTTCCTTCTACCTGGTTCTGGAAATCGCTGGTGATACGGGTTTTACTACAATTTCGATCATCGCTTTTTCATCGTTCATGTGTTACTGTTGTTGATAATATACTTCAACGTTTAGGTATGGGGTGATCTTTCCCACGTGCGTTCCTGCTTTGAGGAATCCAAAGAATTTGCACTCTTCGTCGAGAGCCCCGCAATACAGCCAGCGAAGAAAGCGGAGGTTTTCCACGCACTAGCAGAGAAGTATGGATATGATATGCTGACGGTGAACTACCTCAAGACACTTCTCGAGAACAAGCGACTAGCGGAGCTAAAGCGAATGATCGACAATTATGAGCAGTTTTATCGTGCAGAGAAGAACCAACTCGTATGTCAAGTGACCACGGTGAGCGAGCTCTCATCAAATGAAAAGCAAAAGGTGCTTCATATTTTTTGCCTTTGTTGTTCTTATGTAAGAAGCACGAACAGTATTCTTTCTCTGTTCCACAACCACACATTCATGTAAGAAAGCGTTGGTAGCGTTCCTGAACACAATGAGTGACCGCAAAAAATTGTGATAAATTTTTATGTAAGTAGTCAAGATTTGGATGAAGTTCCTTGATGACTCCATTGGTTCTTCTCCTCCATCAGGTAGAAAGCATGCTGAAAAAGCGAGAGAGCGGAAGGGAGCTTATTGTTGGTTACAAGACAAACGATGCAATTCTGGGAGGCATAGTAGTGAAGATGGGCGAAGCAGTCCTGGACTTTTCGGTCCAGTCCAAGCTAGAAAGGCTCTGCACGAAATTGGCAGCCCCCATCTAGCATCATAGGGCACCAGTCATCATAAAATTGCTTGAAATTCATCATCCTGATGCATTGCGCTTTGACATGTCCCTTCACATATTGCTTTTTTCACCTGTCACGACAGTTTTATGAACCTCCCAAATTTGTCGAATCCTGAATAAAGAAATCATGGCTGTTCTTAAAACATCGTGCATAGTCGGAGATTCAGGTAAGTCGTAGGTCCAATCGCGGCCGATTGACGTCATCAGTCGGAAACTAGCAAGAGGCTTCTGGAGCTGATGTGGTGCAAGGTGCAGAGCAGACGTTTGATTTGAATCTCTGTTTCAGTGTGCGGCACGTAAATTTTGTGTCATTCTGATCGGTACGCCAGCCTGCATTCGGATTTCATCTCCTTTTGCTTGTAGACACATACAGTATCTTTGTGTTGTGATTTTCGGACTTCTCGGTTACTAGGCCAGCCTTCGTTGTAAGTTTTGAACCGTTCCATTTCGTACCGAGCGGAGCGACTCAGATTGGACGCGAGAGAGAACACACACAAAATTAAGTGGCAGTAGTTGAAGGAGGCTTCGGGAAGTACGCGAGCATTTTTGAGGGTTTGAGTCGGCCTCAATAAGCGACCCTTTAGATACCCCTGCTCTATCGACCAAGATTTCTGGACGGGTGTCTCGACGTGATGCCAAGTAACACTGCATTTGGATTGCTCGTTTCTCTTCGCTATTTGAAGTTGAACAAGTCGCCCATCCCCATCCAGTCGGACGTAAGTAGTCGCATTGTTCGCTTCTCTTCTCATCATCCTTGCTTGACTCGACGTAGAAATAGTATGCATTTTTGATTGACCTCTGCTCATACGTAACTAAGATTATTTAACCAAACTCTACGCTGACTCGCTCATCGATTTCTGCAAATCCACAAACAGTTCATAGAGACATGAAAACTAAGTGACTCATCACCATTTTAGGATATCACCTGCCTGCTGGGAGACAGCGGCAGTATGGCGCTCTCGCTCTAAGTCGTTAAATCGTAGCGACTGCGCGCAGCGTCGTGCGCTGAAGGTGAGTTGCTGCTGCACCAAGGACATTTTCTTTGCCGTCAATCACGACGCAGACGACTCCTCGCAATTAAGCTAGCGCTTGGGATACTCGTTCTAAGCCAGAAAAGAAGACGGCAGGATGGAAAACCTCAAGGATCACATCAGTCATATACCGCAGGTCGTCACGCAGCATGGCCTCTTTCTCTCGTCAAAAGATGCACCGGTAATTTTTTCGTCTTCCATCAAAAGTAGATGCATCAGTACGTAGTAGTAGTACGCTTATCAATACTTCTTACATTATCAACGCTACCGAATAGATTCAAATCATGATCAATCATCATAAACGATCCATAGCCGAAAACCAAGATATCGTCCACACCAATATGTACGATGTAATAAACCAGCATCGCTTAATATAACGTCCTTGTCAACAGGTCATCGCGGCTAAGCCGGGGCAGAGCCTCTACGACAGAGAAGGCTTCTACACGTCAGAAGTGAAGAGGGCGAAGTATAATAATTTACAAAGTGCACTTAGACTTATAAGTAAAAACATTTGGTTAACAAGTAGTTTTTCCCTCGTAATAAGCCTGAGACTTCCCTTTATGAGTTCCTACTTGATTATGCTGTTGCTGGAGTATGAGTATGTATTGTATTTCTATATTGAATCAATAGTTCGATGACATTGGTGACATCTATCTAAAGGACACCCACTGCTCATTGCATGCCCGCTTTCGCAAACATAATTGAATTCAGTGTTTTCGATAAATCCAATGTAGGAACAACTATATCCAAGAGACGCAGCGGGCACAGTCAGAGTATCAGGAGCAAATCGGAATAACAACACATGTCAAAGATTATACCTACCAAGGCTCGAGGAGAATGCCTCTCATCCCAGCGGCGCTTGCGGTATTTTCTGTCGGACATACTTAGCAACTAGACTCATGTAGAGAACATCAAAACTATAGAAGCTGCTTCATTACATTGCCCGTGTAGCTCCGTGTCCGTGCACGCTGGTCTTACATATGTACACTATCATGTATAGATTTTCTTGCTCTCTTCACACTCACCAGATCCATAAAAAGCGACCAGGGGAGGGGGACGCAAAGCCGAAAGGACCTGAATTCGAGCCAGAATGGCAGGAAAAGCTTGATGCAACCCTCACGAAAGTACTTTGTTCGATGAAAAGATTATTAAATGACTATCCAGGAAAGGTTCTGATTCCTCTGTAACAAAAACAAGTGTAAACGTGGATCGGAAACTACCTGTTACACTACATACATTTTAGGTACCAACAAGTCCGACTGCAGGCTCCAGCGGGTCAAAGGGTCCACGAAATACCGGCGCCGCAATATGGTCATCGACATATCGAGAGACGCACACGAAGTGCGATGATGCCGTACTATTATGATTTGCTAGTTCGTTGTAATATAATGCTCATGTTAGTTTTGCTGGACTTACCTCTAGTGTTAAGTACAAGTACCGCTGTTTGCAGGGTTTGACAGTTGAAATCCCATTAGAAGAATGCCAATAGCAATATGTCAAGAACAAGATCACTTCGTGACACAAATTCGCGACCTTCCAACCAGATACGAGCAGAGTGTAAGAACTATGTTAGGCTTCGTGGGCCAAAGTTTGCCGTAGCACATCCGCCTCAGTGTTTAGGAGAAGAACCGTACACGAGCCAGTATTCCTCGGATTACGGGTACGCACCGTTCCATTTTCGAGATGATGCAGCACGACTGATGGCGTGTCGTGATTTTTGTTTAGCACGACTCCTGCAGTGGATGATCTCACTTGTCGTTCTTTTTTTAGAAGGTCATCCGACATCCACAATATTCTTTACCAGTCAGGTCACTCATTTTCACCACAGCATCGCGGGATCAGTGCCTACCGAGAAGCTAGTCATTGCGTCGTATACCTACGATGGTCGAATCCAGCCAAAAGAGGACGGGTTTACGCGCATAGTAGACGAAAGGGCTATCCGTGAAAAGACACTGATGGAAAAAGTTGGAGATATAGCGAAAGACGGTAGGTCAGGTGAAGCACCAGGTATTTCAAGTTGAAAAAGTTTTTTGCAGGGAAGCAAGTACAACTAAAACAACAAGCTATTGAGGTAACTCAATCCTTATTGAGAGGCGATTTTTCTTGTGAATGTATCACAAATTGCTTGGATTTCACTCTGCTTGTTGCTCTTCTCACTCATCAGAACTTCCACGGGAGGCGATAACGAAGTTCGTGACGGTGAAGCATGAGCTGACGAAGGGAACGACTCGAGGCACCTCCCATATTCCCGGTTATCAGGGATATATACCCGTCAACACTAGTAATCGGAACTGCGCGAAAATAGAATGCGGCATCGGAGAGCGGGAGAAATGGTAATGATGAAATACGGCGCTACTCGGGTTGCTCAATGGTTGCGACGAGTCGAGCTCTTACTTCACAAAGAAATAGATAATCCTTCACTAAATGAATGATCCTCCCCTGCTGCCAAACTCCAATTCTTTTTTCAGGTTCAATCTTGCGGAGCAGTACCACTTGAATATACCGGGTTACACAGGCCATTTGCCTTACTCCTCGATCAATGACCGCGGCACGCGACAGGTGAACTCCATGTCAACCTACAATCGCGACTACGCGCGCACGGCCGGGCTCGTCATTGCAAACTCGAAGTAGAGGCGACACTGACATGCTTAGCTGAACTACACAGCCCGAATAGGCTCCTGAGATTCAGTCGATACTTCTACTACGGTTGTATCCTCTAATATGTTCGCAACATGCGACTTAGATGTTACCAATTAATCAAAAGTTCTTAGCAGAGCAATTCCAGTACTTAATATACCAAAGTCAATTACACTTTATATCACAATCATGCGTCTTAATCAAGAATTATTCAGGAAACAGAAATTAGAGTATAGTGAATCTGTGAAACGTGAGATGTTGATGCCAATTGATCGATTTCGAACTGATGATGGCCATCAACACGGTGTTGGCCGGGTGAAAAAAATTCACGTGAGTGAAATTTAGCAGGACTTGAATAGGAGTGAGCAAGTCTCACTTTTGTGACAGATAATGACTACATCATGACCGCATTTATTCAAGAACAGCCAGTTGCTGAGTAACGTGACCAATTAACCGATAACCGAACTCCTCGTGGAGTTTCGTTGTACAACATGCTTAATGAACGGAGAGAGTACAGTTTTGTCGAACACACACACACACACACGAAGATAACCAATAGAACTGTTATGCCATATAAAATGCCGAACAAAGCTGGATATGCGATCGTGACGAAGACTTTCTTACTTCTTGTACATTTGATTTTGGAAGATATATCACGGAACTCAAGTCGTCGGGGAAATCTTAGGCAGATCGCCGAGTAGATTAGCGCCATCATCACGGAACTCAAAAGCCGCAGGGAATGCGTCACGCCTCCGATAGTCCTGTATGGCTGTGCGGGATGCGATGACGAGGACGATAATAAATGTGATGGCGCATGCTGAACTCTTATATATTGGTCTTGCAGATCCGAACGCCCAGCACAAAGAGGTGAATGTTTGCAGAGCGTAGCTGAATTATAGACCAGTGCTGCAGTGTCAGTGTGTACCCAGGAGCGATTTATATGCCGGAGCGCTCCACTAAGAACGAACCAGCCTACATTTTTTTTCTCCTCTATTCCGATGGTTTTTCACGCAAATTGTGCTTATGAAAAGATCCCTGCGATTTGCAAATGAATGCAGGAAGTATCTCACGAGAAAGAAAGTCAACAACTTAAATTACATTCAAAAAAAGGCGCCAGACGCGTCTGAGAGGGCAATTCTGAAAATACTTTGAATTTGATTCTTGGACCACACGTGATAGACTTTTCTGTGTAGTGAAACATCTAACGACTACTTTTTTCGCATCATTTATTTATCATACTTTTTGATTGTTTCTTAGCACAATCTGTCAGGATGTGGTTCGATCTGGTGTACGATTTGCTATTTTTTCCGTGCCTCGTCGCAGTCTTCTCCGTAGTTTTGTTGCGTCTTCAGCAGTTCGCAGCGGGGCAGAAGAGCAGGCGGTCTGAAAATGATTTGGAATCTTCAGGTACCAAAATAAATATTGTGTCCACTGCTGCGCAGCTTTGAGATCATTGAATTTGATTACAGGAATACTTGGGCCCTTTCTCATCCTCATCGGACCACGCTTTGTGTTTCAACAGTAGGAAGAAACAGGAAGTAACGTCGAAAAATACGCAAATGTTCAATTTTCGCAATAAAGGCACAGCTTCGGGTGATTTTCTTTTCCTAGACGGCGTCGTGGGTAGCGAAACCGTGTATGATGCGGGATCTCCAGTCGACCATCATGAGCAGTTGCCACTCGGAACCACGGTTAAAGATGCTCCTGCTGGTGACTACGAGCAAGATGACGAGGCATCCTTGATTGAAGCAGAGCGCACGCCGCTTCCGAGTTGTACAACAACAGCGCTGTTGTACGCGAGGAACCTCGCCAGCGGCTTAGAGTTTCCTGATTATAGTAGTAAAGGTGGCTTCGATCTGTACTCGCCTACCTTCGAGGAGAAGACGCCAGCGCTGATCGAACAAACACCGGAGATTCAGGAAACTCCGGCTTTGGTTGAGCAAACGCCGTTGCTCACAGAAGAAGACTACGCGTCGGGGAAAGCCGCCTATGCAAAGCGCCAAGATGAATTGAGAAATGCTCAGCATACAGGAGGGCTTGATGTCACCGATGCAGGCGAAAGGAATATTATCGTGGCAGCGAAAGGGACTGCTACTGAGGGATTAAGCGACGGTGATGTACTGCAAGTGGAGGAAGCGACCGCAGAAAACAGTCAAAGTTCACGTGGAGACTTGCGAAAACGCGGGGGCAAGAAAAGGATAGAAATCGCGAAGCATGTAGACTTGCAAAATCCGAAATCGACCACATATCGCCTGCCGGACACTCTGGGTGACGAAAGCAGTTCCGGCATTGAGGAGCTTGGCGATGGTAACGTCGACGATGATATTGACATGATGCAAATGATAAACATAGTAGCTAGTTTTATACCGTGTCGGGTGTTCCAGCAAGGCTGGTCATAGCGGTTAGTTTACTTGAAAACTCCAACAGGGGCTTGATGGGATAACGGGGCGCATGAATTGACTAGGCTTTTGACATTCCCAACTGTTGGCAGGTTCCAGTGTCGAACCTGGGTCAACGATGTCTTCGCGCGGTGGAGCTGATAGCGGTCGATCGCAGGCTACTTTTTGTCGCGGTTTTCGTGAAGATGATGAGGAGATGGACCCTCTGGGTGACGAGGACGATAGTCAGTTTTTCGCACACCCGGGTTGTTATCCGAGCTATCCTGCGGCAGGTTTCAGCTACGTAGCACAGTCTCCGCCTGTCTACGGCATTGCGCCATTGGGAACACCTGCTTCGCCGCAGTATCCCGCGTGCTTCGGCCCGCAGCCACCTTATCAAGCACTAGGGCAGCCCTCGATTGGAGTGGGAAATTTTGCAGGGATGGATATAACAGGGCCACCATCTAGTTCTTCACGCATGGCGGCAAGCCCGGAAGTTCACTCGGTGCCTCCGTCATCCCCTCCGGTGTATTTCTATCCCAGCTCGTCCCAGGACGCGTGGGCATCTTACTATCAGAGCTATGGGGCCATGCACCCGGATGCGCAAGCATGGGGAAATATGCCTCTTCAAGGTCCTGAAGATGATTCTTTTTCATGGTAATTCGACGTTTTCGTCATAAACATAATTTGTTTCACAGTTAGAGTATAGCCACAACGCATTAGGAAGGTTCTGCTGTTGTCAAAACACGAAACAAAAATAGCCTTATTTGAAGAGTAGCCTCTGTGTTCGATGTGGCTGTGAGCACAAGATCAAAACAATTCATTGTACATCAATTGTTCCAGGTGGGCCTATGATGGGACATTACAGCACGCCTGTTGAACCACGATTTCATCCTTTTCCGCGCAGTGGACCGCCTTTAACTATGCAAAAAAGGGTAAGGCTTTTTAGACCTTAGACTTATATATGTTCCAGGGCGCGGGGCGACGCCCCCCCGCTCCCTAGCGGGGGGGGGGCGGGGGCCCTGGACCCCTTTTTAAGGCGCCTGCCGGGGGGGAGGCCTCAAAAGGGGGGCCCAGTGAACTCCCTCCTCCGCTCCCTTCCAGCTGCCTGGATGTTCCCTAGGGGCCTCCGATGGTGGTGGGAGGCTTCAAAAGGGGCCCAAGGGACCGCCTGCGCCCCCGTCCAGGTGCCTGCCTGTGCCCTCAGTGCATCCGCTAGGCTTCGCCGCCTCAGCAGTGCGCCGGCAACGGAAGGCCTCCGAAGACGGCAAAAGGCGAGGGGCTGGACCCCCTTCGCCGTGCCGCCTGTACCCTCCGGGCCCTCGGTCATCGGCTTGCTTGTGGCCGTGGCCGCCTCCGGCGGCCTTGTACCCCGGAGGCCTCCCGCCTGCGAGGGTCCGCAGAGGCCAGGGGATCCCTTAGGAACACGCTGAGAGGCCCAAGGGGAGGCCCGCGCCAAGTTTTGACGCCTTCCACCACTAGAATCCGCGAAAAATCCGCGCGGAAAAGCGCGCGCGCCACCACAGACCAGACCGCAGGGGGGGAGGGGGGGGCCGTCCGGCCCTGAGTCATATAAGAATGTTGCGGGTTTATCATCCGCGAGCTTGTTAGGACGTCACAAACACAGAGTAAGATCGAGATATCTTAAGATGCATGAGGGGTTCATTTTGATGTTTGAAATTGTGTTTCTTGAAGGTGCCAGGATCTTCTGTTTCAAATCACGTTTAGCAACGACGCGGTATCGAGGGGAAAGGCACAGCAGACGAGAAGTCAACGCATGCACCACAGCAGCCTAGTACAGGAAATGCAGTCGCGACGAGCGGGGTCCATCAGAAAAAGGCGAACTTCGCCGACTGGCGCGCGAACTCAGAAGACCTTCAATCATCTTCGAGTAATGAAGACTTGAATCATGTTTCCGCTTGTGGAGCAGCGAAGTCTTCGACCGGGATTGCTAAGACAAATGCACCAGGAAGTACGGCAATGCAGGGCGGAAGGCCTCTGGGTGCTCCCGGTGGAAGGACGCAAGTCAAGGCGGCAGCGCGACCTGCATTTGTGCGACAGCTGTATTACACCGAAGACGGCGGTGATGTAGGCCTAGGCGACGACGATAGCGATGAGCGTGCCAGCGGGTCGTCAAAGTCCAGTATCGCATCCACAGAACCATCGCCAGAGAATCCTCCGGTACAACATGGGAATAGTACGAAAGGCTCAGCTGCCGCCACGCAGCACGCGAGAAAGATAGACGCGTCCAGTGGCAGTTCCGCTTCACCTGGTGGAGCTCCAGATTGTGTTGTACTCCAGCGAGTAGACCACGCGACCGTCGGAACAGCGGGCGTTGTTCCGGAGCTTCACCACGGTCATGACTTGAGTAATTTGCCGCCAGGTGCAGAAATCCTCCAGAATGGGCGTCTTTATATTCCGCCGCTGCCTTCGGCGCCACCCGCTAAACGCAAGAAGATAGAGCAAGAGCGAGTTAATCAAATAACGACCCTGATGGTACGACATCTCCCCTGCAAGCTGACTTTCCAAGAATTGCAGGAAGCGCTTACAGAAAATGGGTACTACTAACCTGGTGAAATGATTGAAGAGCAAACTAACTGCTACTTTCTATTCTTGATGTAAGTAGGTTATTAGACGGAAGAGGAAGACTTTTTGTTTTCACTTCTTTGACGGTTGAGGGACCTGTGACATTAGAATCAATTAGTCCTATTAACGAAGTCGAAGTGCTACTCCTACTTCCATCGCGTTGTCTTTTTTGCAGGTTTTCGGAGGAGACCTACGATTTTTTGTATCTGCCACAAGACCTCATCAACAACACAAATCGCGGATATATGTTTATCAACCTCGAGGATGGCCGGCTTGTGCACAAATTTCGAGCAACCTTCTGCCGATACCAGTTTCACGAGAAATCGTCAAAGGTACATCAATGTATGAGAAATGCTCGATGAGTCAATCTCAATGATTGGTATATGATGAAGATGTTGATTCATTTATGCTTTCTTTTACTTCTTGAACGTGTGTTGGCTCAATGAGCCCCTCATGATGTCGATGCTGAAGTTTTAGAGTGCAGCACCCTGAGACCGGTGACTCGAATTCATTCCCCACGTCTTCCAACAGATGGCGCACGTCGTGAACGCACACTTGCAAGGATTTCAGTCGTTGTACGAGCACTTCCATCGAACGGTTGTGAAGAAGCACAAGAATTGCATCTACATGAAGGACACAGCAGTGCAACGACTTTATCCTCAGAATGATATGCCGCTCAACGAAAAATCGGATGAAACTGCACTTGGCGGAGTAGGTGAACAACATGATATGGAGACAACGGAGGTTGGAGCCAGGAATCGAGCCAGTGGACATGCTGATACAGGAGACCACGGAGCGAGAACACCAGAAGTGGCACTGCTGGACGTCGGGACTGGGCATGCTGAGAAGATTGTGAGCCAGTCGACCACTGTAGAAGCATCAGCGAATGCAGTTCACGTTGGGACGATACCACATCGGATGGAGTCTGTCAAAAGGCCAGGCGAGATAAGGAAAGAGGACAGTCGGGTTGAAGCAGCGCAAACTGCTTGACATCTAAGGAGGAATTTAGATTTACTTTTAGGTTCTGTTAGTTGAAGAATAGATCGACGGTGAATAGTTTGGAAAAAATCGAGAATATATTTTATGCACTGTAGTTAATTATAGTTTTAGAGAGAATTGGATTTCGGAGCCAGAGCGTCGTAGGAACGAAACCGGAAGCGGGTGTTGTCGATAAATCTAACGATCCATATTGTTGTCTACAAATTCAAATTCTTTTTGTTTTTATGTTTCGATAGTATACAGACCACTCTGTCAAGTCTCTGTAGTTTTGGATATAGAATCTATGGTCCCCAGTATTCAATTTTGCTAATAAATTCTACTTGCTTGATGTACAGAAAGACAAATACGTATTTTTCACGCGATGATGTCTATGACAACGTCGTGACTATCTGTAGTTCTACTTAGCGCAAATCAACAAGTGTCGGATAGTTACAACATCCCAATGATAGATCTGGTTCTGTTTTTCGCGTCTCGCTATTCATTATAATTGTGCAGCTTTTGAGAATGCAAGCGATTGCGATATACAAATCGATTTCTGGTTTCATCTGTGTAAAATCATCTTTTCCTTGATTTAGATTTTTTTTCCTTTTGTCTGTGCAAGCGAGCGTGTCTTTAGAAGAAAGAATATTAAAGCACATATTTTTACCCAAGGTTTTCATGCTTCGGGGGTTGGTCGGATACATCGAGGACAAATGGTATGAGTTGATCGTTTAGATTTGTAATTAAATTAAAGAATTTACCATCATACGTGGCAACAACCATCGGCCTCAGCCTGTGAAGAAGACGGGCAACCGCAACAAAGGATGAGAAGGACCGAGATGAATCTACGTTTTTGGATGTTGAGACCTCTAGTGTATGATAATGAAGGCGAATCAGGATTGTCATGCCTCAATGCAAGTCGTCGGCGCACGCCTCCGGGAAGTGACAGCATCTTGGGCGAAAAATGTTGAAGTTACAATTCGCAGGCACGCAAAAAAAGGGTAGGTTCATCGGAAATTGGTAGAAAACGAAAAGTTCGGGAGGGAGAGATGGATGCCGAAGTGAAGGAAGATAAAATTCGACTGATTTGTTTCTCTCGCTTTTTTCTCGTAGCTCGGAACAATCAGCGCCGTATTATGTATTGTTCGACGAACCACGGATGCCTAGCGGATTTTGCTGAATCAATGTTATCCATCGATGTTGTACCTCTGTCAGTTTAAAAATACATGCAGATGATGAATCATAAAGAGGTTAGTCTATGTCCAGTAAATCTTTTTTCTTTGTCGTTCCAAGATATACAACAAAAACGATGTCAAGTGCATCCCTTGGCTGCAGTGTGACGAGAACCGTATCTGGTTGTCCCATGCGACGCGTTTTGTTAGCGCCCTTTGTAAGTGGCAGCGCGCTGGCGCTGTCACGGACGGCGAAAGGCCATGATAAGCCACGCATGCTGCGCAGCGAAAAACCTGAGGGTGCGCTTGCGGAAGAACAGAAGATGTTTCTCGAGACGCAGAAGGGATCTTCTTCGGCATCTCAAGGCAGTGCCTCATCAAGTTCAAGTGGCTCCTTTTCTCCCTCAAGCGCCGCTGCTACGGTGGAAGCGTCTACATCCACTTCGAGCAATACAGCGGATGGAGTGACCGATAAAAACGCAAAGGTCGTCGCTTCAACAGCAGCATCAACGCAAGTTGGGGACAGCATGGCCAGCAGTGAGATCTTGAAGGGAACCACGACGAGCAATGCGGATAGCGTCACTGCGACAAGCAGCATAACGATGAAAAAAGTAGAGGAAAAAGATAGTGGAAAAACTTCATCGAGTTCACTAGCTGAAGGAGCCGTGGCAACCGATGGAGATCGCTCAACTACGAAGACGTTTTTTCCAGAAACGGATTCAGGGACGTCATCGGAGAAAGCAGACGTGAAAGCAGAGTCCTCAGAGAGGGCCTCTGCTTCGGCCATCCTAAGCGTCGTGGAGGCAGTCGGGCAAGCCCGCGGGGACGAAGACGCAGAAAAGGCCGAGGCTCTTGTGGAGACAGCGGCAAATAATGGTGCCGCGACAGCAGCAGCGCCCGCAGCAGCAGCAGAGGCTGGGGCAGCAGGTGCTGGTGGAGCTGCTGCGGCAGCGCCAGCGGCGGCACCGGCAGCGGCGCCAGCAACTGGACACTTGGAGCCGACAAATATCACACCGAAGGATGGGACACAGGTCGTAGAACTGATAGCGGATCTAGTGGTTAGACGCAACAACGGCGACAAAAATTCCGTCCTCGTCATCGACATGGGAGGTATCTCACGAGCAATGGATTATCTACGTGAAGACTTGAGGACTCTATGTCTGTTGCAACATCAAAAGAAAATTATAACATTCTACTATTATATAGCAGTTCGTTTATTGACGTTGATATTGAATTGCAAGTCGGCACGGTTTCCAGCGCGCCCTGCGTACTAGGAAGACAAGCACTTTTTGCATATACTAGATTATCGCTCTCAAAAACCCGTGAACTTCGATGATAATCAATGTCCTCTGTTTCTTAGGTTCCGATGCGGCGCATGCTGGGCTCGGGTTTGTCCATGTAGCCGGCGGCAAGGTGCTTAAGGCGGATCCACCTAAAGGTACCGGCAAGCATGAGTATGTCGCTGTGGATCTGAACAAGCTTGCGGCAGTGAAGCAGTTGAACCTCATCGCAGGAGAGCCTACCGAAGCGTCAAAGAATGCCGTGCAGCTGATTCGCGGTAGCTACAGTGAATGCGTTCTCGCCAGTGTGCGTGCTGCGGCGCATGCAACTGATCCGAGTTTGGTCGATGCCGAGCGCATAGCAATGGTCCCCAAGGGTGACGCAAAACCGACAATGGATCCCGAGAAGGCCAAGGCAGAGCAGGCAAACATCGACTTTGTAAACAACCTCGTCATGATCTTGAGGCACGTTTTATTTCTACCATAATCTGGAGAAGCAATTACAAACTAATAAATCACTTGCACTGTAGTTGTAGTACAGAGAAAAACAGAAACTAATGTTTGTTTGATGTTGCAATCAGGATGGGCTGACTTCATGTTGAAAGTCTCTCAAATCGATGATTCTTGGAATTTTGATGGTCTCGCCGATTTTATCCTAGACGAAAAATCCATCTGCTACCTTTTTTGTTCGCTAATCACCGGAGCTCCAATTGCCGTGCTCCTTGCGCTCATTGGGACTGGACTATGCCTACAGGGTGGCAGCAGCAGAGGTTCCGGTCCCAACAGGAGCTCAACGACGAGTTCCATGGGAGACGGAGAATAGGAGGACTGAGCCCGCATGGGCAAATAGTGGAGCAAAGAAGACTCGAAGGTTATTAGCTTAATTAGAATTTGAAAGTTTAATGTCAAAGAATATGTGGAGACACTAGAGAGTCAATCAAAAATCCAATCAACAGAAAAAATTTATCAGTAAAGGTATTTCAAAATCAAATTCAGACCATGACTACAACCAAAACTAGCTTTCTCTGTAATATCAAAATGCACTCTGTACACAGGCAGGAAAATGATAATGTTAAAGATGATAGATTCCAGATTTTGTCAACCGATGTATACCAGTCTATAAGTCAACAACCGACCTTATCCCATGTGCATCTGAATCAACGTTCTTTCAATCAACGACAAAAACGAATGACAACTACTTTTTCTTTGACATCGACGTTGTTTTGTTTCCGTCTATACGACCGATCATTACGATTCTTGTGTGGAAGCTTGCTGATGCACTCGAGGAATTTTGATTTGTCCGGTTATTTTCACCATCCTGGGTTCATACAAGAAGTGAGCCTTTAAGTGACTTGTAGCAGGAAGCGTGCTCTCCTCATATATAGGTGATGCGACAGCAGACAAGAACTGTGGTTGCTTTCTCAAAAATTTACCCACTTGTCGGTGTCGTAGCTCTTCTTAGAAGGTACTACTTCACTGAACGGCCTCATACATAGATACACAATGCTATAGATACAAGAGGCACCATGACATGACATGACAAGTGAAGTACTCGAAAACTCAAAATAACCGAGTTACTGACTGAAATAAGGGAGGCAGCTTAACATCAAGGCTACTCTTCCTTCTCATAAGTTGCATCTCGGTTATTCTCGTCTGATACTCGCATATTTTAGTTTTTCGAGTATGCTAATGCCAGTGAGTCGCGAGAAGTGTCTTTCATGTTGATGTCATTGTAGAGCTTCGTTCCATTAAACCACAGACAACACCGACATCGGATTAAAGACCCACTGATGACCACGAATGAAAATGAAATAACGAGAGGGCTAATGAAATGCGAAGCAAAGCTGCTGAATTGAAACCAACTGAAGAGTTACTTTCTTATCGTAGTGCTACATCCACTATGCTTTTTACTTGTTTCGCAAAAGTGTTCCCAGCTAAGACCACCAGTCGCTCCCTACTCGGCACCAGTTCGGATCCATGCGGCGCGTGCTATTTGAAAGCAGGTAGCTTTAAGGAGCATCATAGAGTTCTTTAATATCTCGTACATTTAGTTCGAGAGCATGTTGTAAATCTTTTCTCGAATTTTTCCCCTGACTCCCCAGGCTAAGGAAAAACTGTCCCCGACACGTGCGATTTCCTTTTTTTCACCTGTCTCTAGGGATCGTGTTGAAAAGTTTTCAAGTTTTCTTTTTTTGTGTTTATCTAGGAAGTATGTAACTGGTTGTTCTAATCCATATCAGATGGTCTCTCACTTTGTTTCATGTTCAGTGCCCTTGTTGTAGCTTGCTAGGGAGTGATTAACTCACTCCTTTCTGGAAGGATATTATCTACTTTCTTGAGTTTCAAATACTCAAAGACAAAAAATGCCGTTGAAGTTCAAAGGTGACAAAGATCCCGTAGGGAAGAAAAAGAAGGAAAAGAAGAGCAGGAAGCGTGCTAAGAGCGACGATGAAGAGGAGGACGAAGTTGCAGAACTCGTGCCAGGCACAGGGCGCATCGTAGCTACTGGCGACTTGGTTAATGGCTTTACCACTTCTTTCCAGCAGGAGTTGGAGATTGGTGACGAGTTGAGAGTTTTGCACCCAGGCACCCTACAGCACGAGCAACGACCCGTGAGCAAGATCCTCGGGAATCGGAGTTGTCTCCTAGTGTCCGCGTTTTCGAAAAATTTCGCAACGACAACAGGATTCGAGATAGAGAAGCGCGGGAGGCTGTTGCGCAAGAAGATAGAAAAAGAAGAGGGCGACGACGGCGAATTCGACGCAGCATTAGACAAAGCCATGCAGGAGAAAGTAGAAAAGGCGTTGAAAAAACAGAAGAAGACTATACAGGTACTAACACATATGAAGTAGAAGATACTTCTCCTCTGGTGTATGACCGACAGGGATGATTTTGTTCGTTATTAATGAAGATGATGATGCTTGATCATGTTTCTTCATTCCAGAAAATCCTCGACTGTCACTCGAACTGGTATAGAAATTCAAGACTCCTTTGCATCGAAACAAACAAACTTAAGCTTTCGTAATCCCTTCATCCAAAACAGATTCGAGAGAAAGTTTACGGCGGCGGCGGTGTCTCATATCGAACAATAGCGAAAGAAATGGATAGGGATATGACGGCAGAAGACGCACTGAACGAACGCGTAAAACTTGGGAGAGACAAACATTGTTACTAATGATCGCTAAACGAACCCGTTTCATTTTGTCTGATAAACTGGCTCCCCTTTGTCTATCGAGAACCTCAAGCTCAAGACGGACTTTCTCCACCCCCCCCCCCCCCCCTTTTTCGACACATATAACGACAGCATTTAGGCGCCTTATCATCCATTCATGCGAGATTGATGCTTGTCAAAAGTGCAGAACGCGTGTTCGTCTTGCTAAATATTCACATTTAATTATTATGTTGTACTCGGCGCCGCTTTTATTCGGTGTCTGTTCAGTAGAACAATTGCAAGTAAATATTATATGTTTCATCGGTTCTCAGTCCTATGGTTTAAGTTTCGGAAGAGAACAGGCGATGAAAGAATTTCGGTTAATTTGAGTGAGACTGTGAACTAGGCATTCATGCTCTTGCTCGGTGGCTCGCGTAGGTGGTTCGGTGTGGAGATTGCCGACACTAGTTCGAGGAAGAGATGATCGGTTTCTCTTTACCTTGTGGCCCTTCCTTGTTACACGTACCCCTCATCAGACACATCGCACTATTGTTTGTTTTTCACCATGGATGAACTGAAAGCGATTTAATTCGAGTCCATCACCGCCTGCTTGAGTTTTTCAGTATCAAGATTGGCTTAATAGGCGCTTGTTCTGGTCGCGTTTCTTGACTGTTGCAGCTTTGCTGCTGAAAAAATGGGTGTCCTCGGACAGGGACACCATGTTTTATCAACAAATGTTACTCTGCCGTTCTTCACGTCTTTCGTATCCACTGCTGTGGCAGGAATTGACGAGCCGCTTGAGCTGGACTACGCGCCGATTTCGGTGAATCCTCCCGCTCAAGGGCCCTCTGGAAGATTGCAATGTCCGCACTATCCAGGGCCTCCGCAACCGGTACCGAGGAGCTTCATTTTCGACGACTACAAGGACCTAATCGCCGGAAGGAACAGTGTATTGAGGCAAATCGAGGTGAAGTACGTTGCCATGCATGCACGCCTAAAACAACTTCTTGCCGAGATGAGCTCGAATGTCAACACTTCCGAAGAAGGAGGAGAAGATGCATATTCTACAACTTCTTCAAGGCCTCCTGCGTCACTTTTTTACAATGGGTTCTACACACGCGTTTTGCGGTTGCGCGATGAATTCGTTCGATTCCAAGCCTTCTTGCATCAAATGTTCTCCCAACTCGAAACTAGTCCGAGCAGTGTGGTCCCCGCCAGGCCGAGCCGTGTCACGCTAGATTTCCGTGCGCCGCATCCCTTCGCTGCGCGCGTGTTAGCTGGAGAGCTTGCGTTTCAAGATACTCGGCGGCATGAGCGTTACGCTCGCGCGTTGCGGCCCTGGCGGGAAGTTCTGGACCAGATGTCGCAGCCTCATGCCTTTGACGTGCCCGACTGGAATAACCGCCGAGCACCAGCCTCCAGGGAGTGGTTACGGGAAGAACAGAGTGTTGATGATGCCGCACAGAAAAAACAAGAGGGTGCTTCTGACGAAAACAACGGTGACACAGGTAAAGAAGATAGCGTAGACGACAAAAAGTCTAAATTTGACGCCAAAGCAGATGCACAGACGCCGGAGGCAGACGCGGCCATGAAGGAATTTCAAAAGGAGTATGGGAGTATTGAGCGCGTCATCGACTACAAAGCGAAGACGAAATCAAGAGACTCTGCGCCATATGACGGATACCCGCCTTCGTCTTCGTCCTCAACCGTCCCACTCGGTGGACGTGGCAAGGGCGCATGTTCGACACTTTTTGAGGACTTCTTGGGCTCAAAATTGATGCCTAATTTCAATCCTCAGCTAGACAGGTCTGGCCGACGGCGAAATGTGCGAGTGCCACCAGCTCCGGCAGGCTGCCCGCCAGCGCCTGATTACTTGTTTCAGAAGTTTTATCCTCCGCAACCAATTTTTCCGAACGTGTTGGGTCGGACGCTGGGGCAGCTAGCTCACGATTTGTGGCTCCTGCGTTCTTACCTGTTTGTACCTGCTACACAAGCCCGGGCCCGCGAAGTTCTGGAGGTGCCGGAAGACGACTACCAGCGGGTCAAGGTTACGTCGCAGGTGCGTGAGCCCAACGTTGTTCCCGGATTTCTTTCTGGGCAAAAATATAGGATAGCTTCTGAAGGGTCTAACTCTGCAACAGCACGGCTATCAGCAGGAGCTGGCTCGCGGAGTGGTGTTGAGGTTAGTGCCGCAGGTGTCTCCTCAACCCCAGATCAACGGGTGTCTTCCGTGTTAGACGACGAGGTGGACGAGTTGGGCTCTTGGTTCATCGAAAATGCTAGCGGCAAGAGTGGCACGAGGGTGCTACCGCCGACTGCGACGGAAGATGCTAGGGTAGAATAATTTGATGTCGCGCCCCGAGGAGACGTGAACCAGAGTACTGCTGCTGGTGAAGGTGGCACGGAACTCGCTGAGAACAAAACAGGAGAAGTTGATATTGACAACGACAAACCGGATGTGGCTCCTCCTTTGCCCCCACAGGAAACGCAATCTGCATCGAATTCTACCAAGCTAGCGGCTGCACTAGAGACAGTAGAAGCATAGAAGGACACACTTAGCACATCCAAGATGGCGAAGCGTACGCAAATTTGGCAAAGAAACGCGAATGAAATCTGTAGGAGGTACGCTGAGCTGTTCCTGCGTCGCTGGAGTTCTCGAACAGCAGGCATTTCGTTGACGAATGACGTTGGTTTTCATCGAATTTTGCCGAACAGTCGCTCGATCGTGAAGATACTCGTCGCTCGAGCTGTTTGTAATTACAAGTGATCAGTGATTGAGTATTACGCCGAAATCCGTCGCCTGTTCGTATCATTTAGATCATGATAATTTAGAAATTTCATATAGAGGCAGGGGATTCAGATTTCTTTCATCGTCCATTGACACCGATGAATTTAGGACTAGCTGCGTACGGCAGCAGTATTTTCATGTCACAACTACACGGTATCTATTGAAACGAATAGGTGAGCCTTGACCGCTTAGTAGGCGGGTATATGGCTCCCAGTAAGTAAGTATGTCATCTTCACCGAATAAGCAGTCTAGAGGGGACCTTGTTCCCAACTTTTTGCTCCTGTGCGGCAAAGGTCACACGAAAGAAGTCGCGCGATTGCTAGCAGCCGATGGTGGGCTGTCTTACCAAAAGCACCCGCAAAGCCGCCAGTCAGGGTTTACGATCGCTTGTCTGCGTGGCAACGAAGAGATCTTCGCACTACTCCTTAAGGCCCTGCGCGAAGAGGACCAGCTCAAGGCTGTGCTCGACGTCGTGGATGTCAGCGGTACTGATTAAAGAGCTAGAAAAACAGGAACTTTGACCTTACGTATTTAAGTGCTCACTTTAGCAATAAACCTCATCTCACAGCTCATGAGATAACTTGACATTCATCGACACTGCTGGATGAGTCGCACTGTTTGCATAAATAAGTGAGACCGGAGGCCTTGGTACGCTTTCGTTAGCTGAAAGCATCGCTCATTTTTCTCTCTTTGCAGGTTCCACCCCTTTACTCAACGCGGTTCATGCGTGCAATCTCAAGATAACGCGATCGTTGCTGGAACTCGGGGCGGACGTCACCCTGAAGGCTACGAACCGCAGAAATGTGGCCCATGTTGCTTGCACCAAAAAAGATGGTACCAGAGCAGTTCGCTCGCATTTTATGATGTGCGATCGTGGAAGTACAATTAGTTCATGAATACTTATGTTCGCAGACGACTTCGCTCTACATCGATCAACATCCACATCTTCCCGATTTTTCATGATCATTGCTCTCGCTTAGTTTCTAATAAACAATAACGAAGAGAAAGGTATTGTTCAAGAACAAAGCAAGCATATGATCATGATCTGAGCAGGTCTTCGACTCCTACGGCTCTTTCATCGGAAGAAGGTGTTGCGGCCAATGCTTGTTGAACCTGATTTGTGGGGTGCGACGCCGATGCAGGTCGCGGATTCGAAGAGGCACGGAGAGCAAGTGGAGTTCATAGATCTAGTTCTGCGCAGCAGAGAGGAGGATGACGATATGTTTTTTGTCCGTTACGGTGACGATGATGACGATCCTGAGTCCAGTGACGACGATGATGATTCGGTCCCGCGGCGTCCTCAGATCTTGCTTTAAGGCTCAATACAATTCATTTTTACAACACATTTCTTCCTGTTTCCTTCTAAGGAGTGGTATACATGCAGCCAAAAAATGAGCTCTAATTGCTGCCTCGCTACGCGAATGGCAGTGAGTCGCGCTTTCCGAATCTCACGCAGGCGATAATGCAGCAGCATCGTTCAGGGGGGCACCAGAGGGGGGTTGGCGAATATAATGAGGAAGTGACAGCGCTTCAACGTCGTAGTTCTGCCGCAGCTCTCGTGGATGAAAGAACATGGCGAGGAACGACTGCGAGTACAGGAGCTGCCAAGAGGGGCATGACAACAATCAGCTTCGAGGCAAACCATGTCCCAGCGAAGAATACACCGGGAAAAACAATACTGCAGGTGGGAATTATAAACGCAGAGCAGTCGTCATCCAAACAACATGAGGATTCGCCGCGTCCGCCGCGACCGGTTTCACCCGCGAGCAAAAAAGTTTCTGTCATCGAGTTAGCGCCAGGAACGGCCAACGAAGCGGCCAACGAAGGCTTAGCTGTCGTTGCACAGAAGGCACCAGAGCAGGCACAAGCAGGCAATCATAACAGCACCGCACAACCACCTGCCGTCGGTCCGGTTGCGAGTGATACAGGCATAAGCGGGACAGAGCAGCAGGATGCGGCGCATAGTGAAGCTGATTCGGAAATGAGGACTGGCGCAGTGTCGCAGTCGCGTCAGCAAAAAGTGCACTACGTGCAATTGTTTGCTGGCGAGACGGAGGTACACTTACAGTATTAAGCATACCTGGATAAGGACCACGCTGGTTGCCGATTGAGAAAATGATGTAGCAGTTCATTGTGGGGTAGCGGCTAAGTATAGCATTTCCATTTCTTTCTTCCATCAACACTTACTTCAAATACAGGGTTATTACCGCTGTACTTCAATTCGTTCTTCTACCGAAACTGATAAACATAGGTGAAAGCAAATGGCGAGGAGGATCTGGACTACTGGCCTTCACCAGAAGTGCCGCCGCTTGCTCTGGGCCCACCGGTTAAGAAAAATCCCGGAAGGACGCGATCGCCAGGAGTTACAACGACAATGAAGCAGGGCTATGACGAAGCTGGTGGTCAACACATCCTCTTTCAGCTGCACCAAGGTGGTACCGACCACGATGGCGGTGAGGACCCCAGTCCAAGAAATAGGCCGTCAAGCTCATCAGGTAAAAGAACCTTCGTGCAGCAATCAGGCTCCAAGACTCGCTCGAAGCGGAACGGGACGTCAGGTTTAGACAGTAATACATCCAAGCATGCGAAGGAGCATAGTCATCAGCATGGAGGAGCAGGTAAGCTGACTGCCGATGTACAGCAGCAGATGGAAATGCTAGATAGAGAGCATCGGAAACTCGGGACCCGTGGCGGGGGAAAGCTACAATACACTCGAAGATCAGAGCAAAGCTCTGCGCCAGCGAGAGGGGCTTTCGGCGCAGCGCACGGGGTAGAAGATCTCGCACGCGATGCAGCACCCGCGGAACGTGGAGTGAGTAGAGAGCGAGACTCGAGCAACACGTTTTCGCATCGAAAGTGGAGGGGTTCTTCGACCGGCAAGGAGCGCGGAGAAGCGGGACTCATGGGCGAAAAAGGCGGTGAAAATAATCTGGGAGCAGGGTGCATTAACCAGAAGATCCTGTTGCCGGCGCCTAAAAAGTCTTCACTTTTGCTCGCTCGAGCCAAAAGCGCAACTTCTTTGCGAGAAGCGCGGTTACTGAAAAGCACGCAGCAACAGCAACAGCAGTACTCGACAAAAAACTTACCTCCCGGGACCTCTGCCTCGGGTCGTTTCATACGATTTATGGAGAAGAACAACCCGCTTATGGACATGGAGCTGTCGATTGAGAATCTTCCACGTAGAGGGAACGAACCTACTTTCATCCGCAGTTTTCCCGACGACTTGGGCGATCATCTTTCTCCGGCAGATAATTTTCATGGTTTGCAAACTCCCGGCGTGCCGGCTACGTCGCCAGCAGCGGACGATGGAAGCAGCACTAGGAAACCAGGAGATACAGCAGGGCAGAACCAGGCGGGCTACGTTTCAAAACCGGTTTTGTCGCATTCGCAGAGCCCCAGACCTGCCATGGGGCTTAGCGCGAGTCCAAAGCAGGACAATGTTTCTGGTTCGCCGAAAGTCGCCAGCGTAGCGCGTGAGAGGGCAGCATTCTTGAAAGTAGAGGGCACTTCAGTTGCCGGCGAGAAAGGCCAAAGAGGACGTTCACGGTCGACAACCACTAGCCCAGACGATGTTGAAGCTGTGTCAAAGGCACGCCCAAATGGCCCTCCGAGGGACGATGGGAAAACGGCATCTGCAAATTATGAGAAAAGTGCTGGAACTGAGCCAAGTAGCGCCAACGGTGATGGTAAAAGTGCTGCAGTATCTTCTTCCGGACCGAAGGAGACCGAGTCTCCAGGGGATTCCAGTCCTAGTGGGAGACCGTCAGGAAGCCCATCTCCAGGGAAGGACGGTGGTTCGAACAAAGATTCCGTGATTGCCTATAAGCACGCAGCAGATGCGACCGCTGTAGAGCCGGGATCGGACCCTCTACGAGAATCTGAATCCAAGCATGCAAATGGACAAACCGTTGCCGGGGCGGGCCGGCGAGCAGCTAACAAGTTGAAGGGAGAAATGAACACGGCAGCGAGCGGAGTTGTCGTGTCGCCGTTAGACATGAACAGCTTTATAATGGAACAAGAAGCTCCAGCACTTTCTCGCGCTCCTTCGGCGTCCCGTTCGCGAGCGAAAGCGGGTGGCGGCACTGCCAATTCCGCCGTTTCACCAGACGCGGCAAGGGGAGTTGTGAATGCTTTTGCGGTTGGGCTAGTAGGTGTCGAGCATGGTGATGGAAATGGAAGACAGAAACCCGACTCCCTAGGAGAGGCATCGGGCGGAAGAGTAACTGCACTCGTTGTAGACACTGGAGGCGATTGTGCAGTTGATCGGGAAGTGTCGCCGCTCCACCTCGTCCATTCTCCGTTGGGGATTACGGAAAACCACGCATTGCGATTCCGCAGTGCGCCCTCAAGATTTCCCGGCCGGCCAGAAGAGTTCGACGCTGCGCGGGCCTTCGAGGGAGCCTCTGGCTGCGCCAAGGTTGGGCGACCGATGCGGGGACGTCTGCGACCGGGGGCAGCGCAGGCGCCGTTGTCACCACGCAACAATCAGCAAGGTGCGACTTCAGAGTCCAGCAGCAGGCCAGTGTCGACCAGCGCCACGCTTCACCTCCCCCGCGTGTACAAGACCGTGATATCGGGAGCTCCGGTTGCCGCAGTTGAAGTGAGCCCAAGAGATGACGAGGCAGGAGAAGAGCCCTCGATCGTCCCACGGCGACAGCATAGCAGTGGATCGCGGTCGAGGTCCCGTTCGCCTAAGCCAAAGCATTGCAGCGAGACTCAAAATAGCACATCGATTGAGGGAAAGAAGGCGTCGGGAAAGAAGCACAAGGAGAAATCTTTAAAAAAGCAGTTGCATCTGGTGGCTTCCTACCGAGGCAAGGACTATCAGGAGCTAACGAGCCCTGGGAAGCCCACCGCTTCGGGGAACGCAGACGAGCCCTCAGTCATCGAAGATGTCCTTTTTGAGGAGGAGGAAGCATCGCGCGTCCAAGCATTCATGAATAAACTGCAAGACAAGTGCAACGACAGAGGTGCAAAAAAACTGCGGGGTAGTTCTTCTGCGTCTGGGGCCGGTCCTCAATATAACAAAAATTCAACGGCTCTAACAGACGAGAGCGAGTATATGGACTCCCGGCGCCTCTCCATGATGCGAAAGCGAGCCATGCACGTTGCCGCATTGACACCCGAGGGCGTCGGATTGGACCCACTCCGTCGGCGTCGTCCGCGCACGGCGGGAACTGGCGGAATCAATTACACTTTCGGCGCTGACGTGCTTGGGCTGCCGTCGCCTGTTGCGCAGACGCCGACAGCCCCTCTCATGGTTCGTGTACAGTACCCGGGAGATTCCGGGATCGGCAGAAATTTTGGTCATCCGCCGCAAATTAAGACTGCTTATGTCACATTAGGAAAGAACTGGGTCGCACCTCTCGACGCGGCGGGCGCGCAACAACAGCAGCAGCACGCACGTGGGCAGGCCACGGGCGAGCACATGCTGGTCGCTCCTGCGCCGGCGGAATCCGTCAAAGGCGCTGGATTCTTAATGGCGAAACGGAAAACTCTGGAATTTCCGTCTGGTTCTCCCCAAGATGGCGGTCCGCTGGGTGAAACAGAAACAGAATTGGAGCAGCTGCAGTTAGGGCACGGAACAAGAAATTACAGGCCAAAGTCGGCATCGTCCGTTGCGGTACGAACATTTGCCCGCGGAAACGCACCGAAGAAGAACATTGCTTACACCGGCAACGCGGCAGCCGTCGCGAGAGCTCTCAGACCACGTATCTTCTACTTTTCATTTCTACTATTGCATGTTGTCATTGATTGGCGATGGGTCAAAAATTATAAGAATGGGATCAGACCTTTTGAAAGTTGAAGCCGGGTCTTTTTGAATGCGTCGCATTTATTCGGAAGTGGTTGAGTATGTTCTTCCTCAAATTCGTGGATCGTAAGGGGTGCCCGGGCTCGCGAGCTATCACAAGAAAGTGAGCTGACGTGACACGGTAAGAAGCACCGGAGTTTCTTATTAGTGAATCATATTTATATGTTTCTTCCTTGGCTGCAGACTCATTTATTTGAAGTATGTATAGATGAATTAGATATAGATTTTCTCTTAACATCAGTGATGGCAACACGACGGCTTGAGGCACCGCAGCTGGATGAGCGGGATCAGCTGCCGTCGTTTGCAGAAATGTTTGGCCCACAGTGCACCGGACAAGAGGGTGAGAACACGCAACAGATGGCAGATGCGATGCAGCTTGGCCTCTTACAAGAAGTTCGTGCGGAGCAAAATTCCGGGACGCTTTTCGATGTCCTCTACGGACCAGGTGCTAAGGAGTTTCTAGTAGCGGAGACAGCTCAAGACGTTTTGTAATCCGGCTTGCATGGGTGCTCATGGAGGATTATCTTCTGTGTATCACCTTAGAATCTTCACAGGCATGTCGCAATCAGAACTCTGAATCTATTTGCTAATCACAATCTCATTTTTCAACAACACCGGTTTCAACTTTCATTGATCTACATGAATTTGTCGTACACCAGCAAAATGAAGATGACTGTACAAGAACTATCGCAAACCAAGAAAATTTGTTGTGTCTTGTCGTGTCATTTTCATTCGCACAAGCTGGAGGGGGGTATACGCAAACCCTAGGCCCTTTCCACGAAGTGCCACACTGCAGCTGTATTGGTTTCTAAGCAAAAAAATGCTTGTGATGTGACTTCTTTGCAAAAAGGGCGAAAGATTGAAAGGTAAGGGATGTAAAATCCGAAAGCAAGAAACGTATGTACCTCGATCGCGATACAGAAGAGATGTTTTGTGTGACAGTTCATGTTGTAGCGTTCGATGCGACGTCCAACAGGAGATACGCAAAAAGAAATCTGTTATGAGAGAAATCTGCGCTCAAGGTTGTGTCTCTACCTACCAGGAGACACGTCTTGTCTTCAGATGGTCCGCCGGTCGCCTCTAAGGAAACCGATAGGGATCGCTGAGCTGTTTTTTCTGTTGCGGGTTCTTTCGCGGGTTTTTTGATAATATTCGGAGCGGCTACATGAGGCAAGTTTGAAGCGAGGAAATTGCGCGAAATAGAATGTATAAAAGAGCGCATCGCGATTGCCTTGATACCTCTGAGTTTCTTAATTTCGGGGCAGACAGAAAACGACTTGTAATGATGTAGCGGGATTCTTCGAGGCCGTAGGAAGTATTGTTGGGATGATTTAACCTGAGTAGAGGCCGAGACCATCGAAGTTTAAAAGGGGAGAGCGTCCCATCGCTCTACTCCCTTACCGATTTTTTTTATCTCCCGCCCGCTCTTCGCAGAGTTGTGTCTTTCAGGCATAAGGTAGCCCCTTTGGTAGGAGTCAGCCCTCCAATTATTTGCTTTTTGGTTTTTGTTTGCTTTTTCTGTTACTGGCCGTGCCGCATGTGCGTGGGAGGAGCAGACCGCAAGAAGAGGATGACGAATGAAGAAGGGGATGGAGTTTAGTGCTAAGAAACTAGTAGCGTCTAGTGTTCCTTCACCAATTTAAATGACGTGCATGCTCTTACTTAGTCAAAAGCATCCTTCTAGTTCTCATCAACAACGAGATGCCGCGCAGCTCCACCTAGGGCAAGCAATACATTGAGTTTCTGTTTAAGCGGACAACGCTCCGCCGCCCAAACGTAGCATTCACAGAAAGCGCGGGAAGGTGAGACGGGCAACGCCCCGGGTGGCAGGTACTAGGTGTGTAATTTTCCCTGCCTTTGCTCCTAGGCTTGCCCTTTTTGGAAGCGTAGGGGCATTAGCGTAGTTGTTAAGGAGTTTAAGAGCTCCCCCCTACGCCGGTAGCTGCGCGGGAAATATGTAAGCAGGTTCTTCACGGAACTCCCTCGCGACACTAGAAAAAAAATAGAAACGGCGAAACAAGGTGGATTGAAAAAAGCAAAACGAACGATAAAAATTACTTGCTTATAGTTTCATTGTTTTCATGTTTTTGTAGATGAAGTCGTGAACGCCGTCTAATCATTTTTAGTAGGAGTTTTGTTTCCAATTTCAAAAATTGCAGACGTAATGTGCATCTGTACGAACTTCGAGACACGAGCGTGGGTCGCCTCTGTGTCCGGTGGCAGCTGACTCGAGATAGAGCTCGCGAAAGAGTCATGCAACCACAGTGGGAGGTGCGAAAATTCAGCCGACTCTCGTGTAATTGTCGTTAGTGGACCACAAGACTGCGCGGCAATAATTAGCGACTCAATGAATAGACGAGGAAGAAAATGCATCGTAGCGCCTCGTCGATGAGCAATCCGTCTAATGTGATTGCCTTTTCCGTTATCGTCTTGCGGCTATTGACGGTCAGATGTGCGGTAGGAGAAGTTGCTCCGAGCGGCACAGCGACGCGAGCGGAGGGGGGCGAAACGGGTCTGCGTACGGTGCAAAGGCGGGCTGTGATCGATGCTGATGCTCGCACCGAGGTCCTACAATCCACCACGGAAAATCAGCTTGGAGAAACAGACCGGGAGGAGACGAGCGATGACGGCTCACCCCATCGTCGAGACGACACCAGCGAACAAAAGCCGATAAGGAAACATCACCTGCGCAGGGACGACCAACAAATACCCACACGAAGACAAGCGCCAACCCGCGCGCCTAAGGTGGCACCTTCTTAAGGGTGGGTTGCTTCTTAAAGTTGTTTTTCATTCGATTCTGTATTGGTCGATTGGGGGTGTCTATAGAAACGGAACGTCAGACTTAACGTCATTATCTTTGTTTGTTTTGCAATTACCTGCCGATAATATATTCTTGTCGCAGTAATTTGTTCCTTCTTGTCGAAGATGGTTGAGGTTAACCGAGTAAATATGTTCATTGCAGTACGATAGATCGCCTGCTGGTGACTTCTGCCGCATCTCTAATCATTCGTTGTGGATGCAACAGGAAAAACACGTACTTGGCCATAAGTGCTGTCCGTGTAGTAATCTAACGCTAACAGTTAAGATAAGAATTTCTTTCATGCATAAAAATGAATGTATGTTGATAGTAAAACTTGCATGATTGGTCATCGGTCATAATGTTCTGACACTAACAGGAAGTCGCACTCGTAGCTTAATCTGCCCTTCCAAATGAGGGGGCTGACGGTCACTCTCACATGCTAAAGCATAAGCCACTCTCACATGCTACAAACTCCATGATAATTTTTCGATTGATGAATCAGTCGGAGTCAATTTTTTCGTTCTTGATTCTTCACCTGGTTGTACGCATCAACAGATCCGTTGAGTTCGGGGGTGAATCGGACGCTAAGTGTCGAGTCGACGTTAGTAGAAGACCTCGCAGTGGTGAAGGGACGCGATAATGTGCGGGACTGGGACAACAGTAAGAATCTGCCTTGTGCTCTGATGGCACAGAAAAATCTCGAATGCAAGAAAGCAGAAGTGGAGAGCGAGGGTTAAGAGTTTCATGGTGATGATGATTGCCCCTTGCCGTGGTGCGTCAAGTGAGTTGTCGACATCGTTAACTATCGTGTGATCGGTGATGCCTGCTCCGTCACATGCGGAGATAATTAATTCAATGGAGAATTGCTATTTTTGTTTCCTGTTGTTTGTTTTTGTCGTCATGGTTGGTGTGTGATCGTGATGATCTTGCTGCTTTTTTTCCAGCTTTTGATCATGATCAGGGTTTTGAGGGTTGATTTCAATGTTCATCTTCGTAAGAATGGCCACGGGCCGTAAAAAATTAATCCTTGATATGATCTAAACTTTCATGCCGAAAGGCGACTACGATGCAGTGCATTTTCGAGAATTCGGCCAGATGAAAGGAGAAAATAACAACGAGTTATGTTTCATATTGAACAAGAGTGTTGATGATTATCGTGAAGCAATCGTGAAATCGCCACTGAAGATTTCAAGATCATGTCCCGAATAGCACCCCTGCGATGGCCAACTTCATGAGCACTCATGTATTCAGTTGATGAAGGCTTCCTGCAGATTTCTAAGGGCGCTAAACCTAATTCGTCCCTTGACCCTATCTATAATTCAGTGATTGATTAGTTTTAGAACACAAGGGTGCGCGTAACCTACGAATTATTATATATGTACTCGTTCCACCCTCTCTGATATATTGTATTGCAATTTTTAGAATTTCATGAGCATTTATTTAGGTCAGACTCACCCCCATGAAGGGGTCTTAATTTCCACTACTGCGACCGCCGCTAGTGCTAGAGTGAATATAGAAATACCTTTATCTATTGTGATCGTCGACATGATTTTCAGAAAGAAAATACTAAAATTTGGTTTCCTCTTTTTCTTCTCTAGTCTAAATCCCCCGCTCGAAAGTGTGAAATATACCGAAAGTAAGAGCGGCACAGACGGGTTCAAATGTATACCGATCGAACAGCTGTGGTGGGACGATGATCATCTGATAGAAGAGAACACACCTACACTCGACAGCGTCAAAGCGAACTACATGAACCTTATGATGGGTGCCTACTAGCGCACGAAAACACTCATCGCCGCTCTTATGTTCTCTCTGGTGCATCTTACACTTTTTTTACTCCGTCCTGGGCGTCTAAAGGAAACTAATGCTATCGTCCATCAAACTTCCAAGTGCTGCTGGCAGAATAAACTATCGGTTTTTTATTATGTTGAACCACATAGGATCTTATGTCTTTAAAACGCGTTCATGACGCAGCCCTGGAAATATTGGTTTTACACTGACAGTGGCTCCTGGGCAGTTACGATTTGGGGTGGCAAAGTAGACTATGAGATATTATGACGACCACATCGATGTATTGTTATCAAGCAGGGCTGGGCTTTCTAAGAAGAGATTCATGTATCTTCTACGATGGTTGTATCAAAACCGGGGTGCAGGGCGAGAGACGGGGGTGACGGTATTTCTATGACTGTTGTTGTTCTGTTGATCAACTAGAACTATGTACGTAGATAATGAATTATGAACGATATGGATAGAAATAGTAGAGAGAAGTAGATATCGATTATTAATGGCTGTCGTAGCGCAGAGCTTCTAACGCGTTGGAGGTACCCCCACGGAGGTACTAACAACAAGGTTCCGCAAATGCTAGCTGTTCGGCATTGGAGAGATGGCGACGAGCACGGCGTTCAGCTTCAATTTATGTCTCGTTCGTATGTTGATGAATGTGTCTCTCTCTGCTCCACTGCTTGTTTAGAAAAAATATGGTAATGTGTTTAATTTGTTCTGTTGCTGCGTTCTGATGCTCGATGAATCTCTCTCATAAATATGTGAATAACTAGAAGGAGGCCGTAGTTTTATTCATTATGCACATGCAGTAGTATCTTCAAAGAACAATTTTTGTTCTTTTGTTTGTTTCCTTCTTTTTATCTTATGCTAGGCAGATTCATTCTAATCTGCTTGTGTACGACTGTCACCCAAAAGCAGCAGTAGAGGAGGCGCCAGATGAAGCATCGGAGAGCACTGGAGTTGCTGAGAGCAGTACTTCTGAAAAATCATGGTTTCATTTGGATCGAATCTTTAGTTTTGACGCTTCTCCTATCCTATTGTATTTATCCAATTTTTTGATACTCCTCAAACGGATAAAATTTCATAAGTGAGCGTAAACTAACTGCGCGCTTGGCTTAGTGCTGTAGGCGTTTACTTCTTCATCTGAAAGTATTTTCTCACCTTTGCTCCCCTCAGTGTATCACCCTAACGAATCTTTTAGGTTTCCTGAATTTCCGGGCAATCGTGCTTTACTTAAGGCTAGTTTTTCACTATCCTGTGTGGAGTATGCTGAGTGGCGTTATCGGGGACACACGCGTGACATGCTGAGTGGCGTCCCCCTTGATTTCGACGGGAAACTAAGGGGGACGCAGGGCCTACCACTCGGCCAGAGATAGTGAAAAACTAGCGCTAATTTATCTCTTCCTTGTTTTTGTTCTGTGCCTTGGCGGCGCATGGGTTTGGGTTATCAAAACTTCAGAAGACGGGGAGTAGGCAGTCGAAGCGTTTTGCTCCGCATGGAGGAACACTCACACCGAAGTTGACACATGGTCGAAACGTTGTGCTACGCATGTAGTAGATACTTTGCTACATCACCTGACACTTCTGCTCATTCGTCGACGAAATACATAGCGATTGTGTATCTATTCAAGTAAAGATGCTATTGCTCTCACATGCACGAGGCCGTTTATATCTACAAACGCGCTTGTGTTCCGTTACACTGACGCTGTGCTTCTGTTATCAATCAGTATTCCGTTTTTTGCATCTATGCATTCATAGTAAACGCAAAAATGAGCTAGCGGAGTGTTGACTCAATCGCGAGGAATGAGAGGAGTTCTTCCACACCGAAGATGATCAGACCCCCGTGCAATTATCAATCAGATTTCATCTGGCTAGTTTAGTCTGATAATTTTTGAGTCTATCTCAATAACACTTGGATGAAGAACAAGAGGAGGAAAAAGGGAGATTATATACAGAGAAAAGTTAGTAACAAGAAGATTCAGGAAATAGTCACGTAACGTCGAAGGTAATCCCTCTTGACCGCGTACGAAAAAATGCGTCTAAGTAAAAGTTTATGATCTTCTCCATTGACTATCGTACGCAAAACATCGATCATGCACAGATGTTAATGATGTAGGCAAACGAATCTTTTGACGAACAATTTGGGTAGAGAGGCAAAAATAAGGTAAGTAAGTCTCTCGCACCTGCACTGTACTTTAAAATCAGATTAAAACTACAACAACAACAACAACAACTACTACTGCACCCATCACTGAGAATTTTAATTTTTGTATGTTCTGATCAGCCTCCGGTCCGGAAAGCATCATGACGCGGGTTCTGCTACTTTTCGCGTTTTTGAAAAGTGTGGTTCTCTTTTTCGCTTGCTGTCGTGCGGAGAAGTTCTTGCTTGCAGGTCGCGCTTTACCAGACCCGAATGTCTTGCATGTAATATCGTATACAACACTAACGTCTGACGGTTTGGCTCCTAAGATTAAGGCATCCAAGACTGCATCCACGACGTCATACATGGCAATTTTCTCGAGGGGAAAAGGCGCCATCAAGGACGCTACCAGGGATGCGACTGAGGGAGTTCTAATAGGATCACCTTTTTTCTCAACGCTGAGGAGGTTCCGGATGGGTTGCAACTGCATGTCATCCACGCAGATTTGTTCAACCGGATAAATCCCGACCGATTCTGCTGTAAGCGCGAGCGGCGTCGTTCAAATACTTGCCCAGATGCACTCGACAAAAAGTTTGTTCCGCCACCGCTTCTTCAGGACGATGTTGAGGCGTTGCAGACGGAGGGCAATGACGTTTCTATCAACAGCATGCTGCGCTCGTGGACGTTGGTCGGGCGATCAGACGCGGCCAAAATGGACTACAAGTCTGCTCTTGGAGATGCGGCCGTGGGTGCTTCTGCCGCGGATGGCGACAATGGGCTAGACAATCGGTCATCTCCGAGAAACCGAGGGGAGACGAAGATGTTGCTACCAGGGAACCTAGCGCCGAGCTCCGTACCCGCCACCGTAAAGCAAGGTGTGGAGGCGAGTAGGGGGGGAGTCGGAGAAGATGGGGCAGGTAGGCGTGTGATTGATAAGGATGCTGAGCTGGTGGCGGCCTACGGGAAACGACTCCGCAAGGGCCTCTACTTCGTAGTACTGATTAAGGCTGGCCTCGGGAATGCATCTGAAAAGTCATCTGGGAGCAGAAAACATGAAAATGAAAAAAGAGGTACTTAGATGGGTCTACAAGATGCTACCTAAGGGTAAGACGGGCACATGTTTTCCTACGCGTCTAAACTGACCAACTGTGGCGTGCGAAGTGCTACGCATCTGCAAATCCGCAGTGGCTACGTGGATTTGATTACCTACAGCGCGTTGCCGGCTCCTTCTTTCAGAATGCATGACCGCATGTTTCGGCGCGACGAAAAGAAAAGCCTCGTGACGTTCTATCTGCCCGCGGCAGACATTCCCAAGTTGCCTTTCTATGGCATCCTCTTCGGACTCTACACGGGATTGCTCATAGCGTGGGTGCTGAAGACGTTTTTCTTCTCCGAGTTCCGCATTGCAGGAAGTCCCGCTGAGGTTGAACCCGGCTTGGCAACGCTGTCCAGTACTACAGATGATCAATTCGCTGGCAAGCAAGAAGACGATACGCCACAGGCGCAGCTGAAAGAGATAAATAGTATGGATTCATCTGTTCATCTTCCCACCGCACCAACCATCTTGGCTGCGCGCCCTTTTGCTGCTCTTGCGAGCGCATATAATAGAAGCAAAATATATTTGAACAATGTTTTAGTAGTTGGGTTTTCGTTCCAAAGGGAAAAACGCAGGTTGCAATCACATTCGTGCCATAAATAATCATGTAAAGAGAAGTAGCCTCGATGGTCTGGAAGTGGAAGATGGGAAATCCTGCATGATTCATAAACGGAGAGTTTTTCTGGCGCACAGTGAGTCTCGCAGGGCCTGTGCATCACATGGTTACTCAGGCGCTAGCCGTGGCCGTTCTGGAATCCTTTTTTAGGTTCAGATTTTCATTATGCAGGATGAGGTATTGATATCCACAAGGGGTCAAGAACGAGCCACCGAACAACAATGGCATCGTTGCTGAGACGGACTCTCTTGGGCTGAGGACAATCATCACTCGTAATGGAAGTTCCTGAGACGACAGCAACCTATTGTTTACCTTGCGTGGGAAACAATGGATTATGAAAAATCTCCATACAACCTCTAAGCTTTGTTGGTATTGTGCATTAGCACATTGGAATCTTGTTGGGCGACGGTGGCATGGTATGGTAGTTTTAGCAAGTCTGTCTACAGCTCTGAAGCAGGGGATATCCCTGGCTTTGCTTCTTCTAGCTTGCTTGGGCCGCGGAGTGGTTTCCGACAACGGACAGCCGACCAGCCGTCAACGGGGGGGCATACTGCTTCTTCTTGCTTTGTATGTCCTCACGGACACGTACCGACGAACCGTTACAACGATGGAGCAGCGACCAAAGCTAAGACTTCCCCCATTCCAAATCCATCCTTCGATTAAGTTCGAGATGAGGCATCCTGGAGCTGGATATGGACAGCGCTTGTTACATTGGTACTCACTGGTCTAGGTACGGCGCGTACTTGTGAGAACTATACAAACGGGAAAAGCACCGGGATGCTTTTCAAGAGATGGATTAGTATTACGGGCTACTTATAACAAAAGGCGGCGCACCACTACCGGGATTGGATGTACCGGAACGATACCGAGGAGGGAGTCTTCTCCTGGTCATGCTTCCTGCTAGTCTTTTTTTGGGCATATTCGTTTCGTGGATTACGTCCGCGCTCGACTCGACGATAACCTACCTCATGGAGCGAAGAGAAACACAGAAAGAAAGCGTATTTGATATCTGATAATGATTCTTTCATTCATCTTCTCGCAACGGGCCTGGAAGTACGTTTTTGTCTCAGAGCTTCAATTAGGAATCTTCAAGTCAACCTATTTATTTCTGGCATCACAACTACGCATTGGTACAGCTTTATCTACAGCGCAGTAAATCAATTCATTCCGTTTTAGATATCTTTCTCATATGAATCTATGGTCCAAAATCCTCTAGCTCTACCCTACATCAGATGTATCGGAACATGCGCAGCTACGTTTTGTTTCCGATAGGGGTTGCGGTTTTCCTGGTGCTCTGGTTCGAGGTCGCGTTTGTTCGTAATATAGACCTGGCGCACAATTGTACGCATGAGAAGGCTTTTTTCTCCCGTTAAAAATTTCAATAGCACGCTAGTAGATTAGTAGCTGGCAGAAGTCGTCGGGGAAATCTCAGGCACTTTAATACACTTGTAACAAAATGAAAATCGTGCTCGACTATGACGGGAGAAAACACTTACACTACATTCATAAATTGGGAAACGCGTTGGCTGTTCACGGATTTAGCGCTTCACGCAGGTCACTTATTAAGAAATATTAACGATAAAGATTAAGTGCTTTCCGGAAATTCCAAGGTTCGACGACGCATTTCGGGGATGTTTCTGTTGAATCGAGAAAAAGGGACCGACCAAGATGTTGCTTTTGAACGATCATGGATAGCGATAGCCGTAGCTCTAAACTTTACCTTACTTTTGGCAGTTTGTTGGCTGTGGTTGCCTAGCGAACGAACGGCGTACCTAGCTGGTGCCTTTCAACTGCGCAATGACGAGGAAAACGAGCTACCGGAAACAATAGGACGCCCGGATACTTCAGAATCGAGTCCGTCATCAAGTGATTCCGTCTTGCGGGGGGAGAATCGGAAGAATTATGAATCATTCTCGTCCGCAACCGCTTAAAGTAAAGTTTCTTTGAATACTTAATACAGCAATGTAAATCAACATCCACTCATAAACCTTTGAGTGCTTACTACGGCAAAGTAAAGGAGCAGCGCCACTTTTTCTATAAGCGTGCTTCTATAAGATTAGGAAGATTAAACTAGTCTAGACTAAACAAACTATCTACTATCCGGTTCCGGTTTAGACTACAGAAGCTTGGATCGGGAGTGGATTTTCTCGTATGTACTTACTTGTCATCTATTGTTCTTCCTCTGCTAACAATAGACGGAGAAAGAGAGAAGGCAGCCGACCAGAGCCCTCGAGCAACACGAAATCGAGATTGAGCCTGAGGGGGGTGTGGAGCTATCGGAGTTTGAAAAGGAAATAAATTAAGGACTTGCACCCAGCGAATTGCATTCCTTACTTGCAATTCTGGATCAACTTTCTATAAAGAAAACAATCCAGGAACGCTCTGAAGAATGCAATGCCAAAACTTCTAAAGAGAACTTGGAGGAAGCAGTGCTGTGGCACTCGAATAATCACGCGAATAAAAAGAAAAATGTTTAAATGTGATGGGTGTGAAAAAACACTCTCAGGTTCACATCATAAATGTGCAGTGCTACTGTTAGTATGCTTGCAAATTGTGATTTTTTGTGTCATTGCGAGGACTTCCGAACCGCTCGACCGTCCTCGTCCATGTGATAGCAAAACTAATGAAACTCGTCAGGATTCGCCTTTCTTATGATAGTGCACACAGCAGTGGATACGAGATCACACCGCATGCACTCATAGAAGTCCAATTTGGACCCATGCTCTCCCAGCTCCTGTGAGCTACATTCTCTTGAAAGAAGAGATACCGATGATTGTTCGACGAATTACAGCTGGTTCACTATACTTGGTGAAAGGCATACGCTCGGGCTGGCGCAGAAGCCAACGATTTTGTTTTGTATTCCTTCCAACTACTGTTCCTCTCAATTAATGTACATTCGTGGTTGTCGAAAAACAATTTCTGTAGAATGATGAGATGACGTGTCTGTGTAGTCGTCCGTATGTCAAATACAGTCAGTTCAAAGCTGAAGAGGGCATGTTGGACCTGAACGAGATGTACTAAATGTGTTCCAGTAAAGTTTCTGTCTCCATTCTAAACTGTGTCTGTCGAGTGTGAGCTAATCCGAGCTCTAGAGAGGGTACTAGCTAAGTGGAGAACCCAGAGGATACCATCAAGGAGTTCAATCTATGTATGCCACTTTCGTCGATGTCGAGTGTCGTCTGTCATGCCGGTTTCTGTCTTTAGCAATATGCCTAGTTTTATTTAAGTGATCCGAGAGTCCTGCGAGATTTTGCTTTGAGTGAAAGACAGGTCGGTGAGTGAAGATGATCCACGAAATCATCAGATTTTGGAAGCACAGCAAAAGACCATGAATGTTGTCAAGATTTTGATGCAGTAGTTACTTAAACCATCCTAAGCAACCGAAAAAGGATCGTCTTTTTACTTTTTATCTTTCGATGAACTAGGGTCCTGCAATATAGACAATTTACAGATATTTATCAATCTTTATCGTTTTTTAGGTATTAAGAGGTTGAAAGTATACTCATGTCTAGAAGTTCGACAGCACAGCAAGTCGTTGTTTGCTGCCGGAAAGGAGTCAATTTAGCATTGCCATTCTTGCTAATTACAACGGTCGGAATTTTGGTTATTCGTTCGAGTGAATTCCGTTTTGCTTTTCGTTGCAGCAGTGTGTTGTAGTTGTGTGCAACGACCTTTATCCGTCTTTAAGATTTTTTAATCGCTCACTCTCTGTCGTTCTAGATCATTGAATGTAAGTACTACGATTAGAAGTATTAATGTTGTACTAACCAAAATCAAATAGAATATGACGAAAGATAGGACAAGAATGCGAAGGGCGAAGGGGCGTCGGGAACGTAGATTGATGCTAGCGTCAGCTGCCATGGACATCGGTGTCGTGCAAGTCACGGGTGTGCGCTTGCAACGCGTCGCGAAGTACGGCGCGACGCCTGCAAGGGGAGCTCAGGAACCACAGGATGATCATGCTCAGGCTCATGTCCCTGCTCTGGACCTGGATGATCAGGACGTGAAAGCTTCTTCTGCTAAGGACGCGCAGCGAAAAATTGTCGTTACAGAGGAAGTTCTCAAAAAGCAGCTACCGGAATTTGCTAAGCTGGTATGCGCGTACGCACTTGAAAATGCTATTGTCATGCCAATCGGACGAATCCTGATCACAAAAAGGACCAACAGATCATGACGAAAACCACCTAGGGGATTCGTGTGCGACGCCGGATGACTAACCCTGCGACAGCGAAGGAGTGGCACGACGGACATGGAATACTAGAACAGACTCTGGACAGCGAATGGGAATGGCGAATTTTGGAGCCAGCATCTGCATTATTAGGCAGGATGATCATGATGGGAGATTGCACACCAGCACTGCGAAAGATGATATGCTGGGTGGGGGTGCAGGCAAGATTTCCGCGACTGAGTTGGGACGTGGTGCTTCAGGGGTTACATACCTATGCAAATGAGATACACGGAAAGCGAACGAAGCTCCTCCTCTTGTTGTGAAGGTTGTTTGGTGAGCTGGAAAATTTAACTGCCTGGAGGCAGTTTTTCAGTTCCGAGCGCACGCAAGCTCATAGGAACACTTTCCTGCTGTTATTCCGTGGACATCCATGGAAGTGAAGTCCAAGTTATCCCGTCAACAAAACTCTTGGTTCGCCTCGAGAATGAACAGCATCTGCAATCCTCACGAGAAGCCAGCATCTCAGGTGTGCGCGTCGAAAGAATCTGAGGAGCAGCACCACGTGTTGTGGTTCGAGACAGCACCACTAGAGTAAGGCTACCGCTAGTCCATCTGTGTGGAGATCTCTCAAGCGTATAAACGGTATACGAGAGATATTCTAGAAGGATATCCTGTAGGGATGGGCTAGGGGAAGCTCGAATCGGCATTGTTCCCGAAAATTCGGAGACCCATTGTTGGCAGCATCCTTTTACCACGTGCTGGGCCTTTCGCGACTGATGAAAGCAGCCTGGCCATTCTCCGGATGAATCACGCAGGTGAGGATGTAACAGAACTCCACAAGTGGCTTCACAACAAACTCGTGCAAATCATTAAAGAAGCGCGTGCTTTATCCGTACCGGATACCACCGACAAAAATATTTTGGAGGATTTTGTTTCTAAAAAGCGGCAAGACTTACGTTTTAATCTCCATGGCCCTCTGGTTCAGGGCTTGAAAGGCGTAGCAGCCCTAGAGGAAGCGCGCGTTGTGCACAATGACATAAGCCTGAGGATATTATTGTTTTCCACGACGTTGAGACGCAAGAGCTCAGGCTCAACATTATTGACTTTGGCCTTGCTTCAGACTCAGTGACAGATGCGGTTGGTATGGGCACGTATCGAAGGGGCACCCAGCTATTTTCCGGGATGGTTCCAGAAGTTATAGCTGTCAAAAATCCATAAATGCGCACACGCAGCTGCGCAGCTGCGTCTGTACCACTTTACTCTGACATCATTCGTCTTTTTGATAATGACGTCTGTCAAGCAACAGTCATGATTGATTGAGAAGCACAGACGCGGCTGTTGTCGTGGAGAAACCAGCCCACTTGTTCAACGGCAAAGGGAGATGAGTCCTCTTCGTCCGCTACAAGCAAGGAGAAGAGAAAAGCTCTTTCTCGCATAACGCAGCGGCACGAGCGGAAGAAGAAGAAGGAAAGAGAAACACAAACGTTTCTGAAGATGCTCAAGCACCGCGAAAAGATGAGGACCAAGGGCTCTGGGTAGTAACTCCTGAAAGAGGAATCCAGCACCTAGCTGAGGAAGTGCAAGCGATTAGAAGCAAAAGAGTCTTCAATCTGCGACAGGAATTGCTTGACATGGTCCTGGACGATGATGATGATGATGATGATGATAGGGACGACGAGGGCAGCTGCTCTATGTCAGAGGACGAGGACAGCAGGTCAGAGAATGTTGACGAGAGTGGCGAGAGGTGAACACGCAGGTCGAAAGCGACCTTCATTTGTAGACAGGGTGGGCCCTTGACTATTTTGCTGTTCCAATGCGCCAACGTAAAAATAGACATTTCCGCTTTGGCAAGGTTGAACACTTGGCAGCTCTAATAGTAGTGGCGCCGCTTATTATTATAGTATCGGAAGATATATGCCCGCTGCATGCTTTTTTCCTATTCCCACACATATGATAATAGCTATTCCTCAACCTCCACTGACATTCAAGCCCAAAAGTCATTTGACAGGCCATGCACACGCAAGCTTGCTGAGTAAATCGGGCGACAGTGCTGCCACCTAACCTCTGTCCCTTTGTTTTTAGTTGTTCTCATTCTAAATATTATACTTAGGGCGTCATTCCAAATATTCCCGCGACGCTTAAAGCACTAAGTAAAACAACCGGGGGTTAGCTTTCACGTCTATACTCTAGGTCTATCCCTTCATGCAAATACTTAGGGCGTCTTTTGATCCCACTGACTACATTCTACAAACATCTTTTGGAGCAACAATGAAGTGACGTAAATTGATTTCTGATGGGAAAAAAAAGATCATGGTGGGATCACTTGGGACTACGGATGGCGCCTAGATCCCTTGCGCTACACTGCATTGTGTTACTCAACGGGAAAGACTTGGACAAGTCATAAGGCAATTTACGTAGGTAGTGACATTACGTAGATCATCATTAAGGAAAGTAGATAACGAATGTTTCTATCTCTTCATGAGACAGTGACAGAGCACTGAGAGGGTCCTTAGACAGAGTGACGCGTGTGCGAGGGGCGCAAGAGTTGTGAGGGAGGTTTGTCCCAGAGGCGATTGCCTAGAAATATTAGAGTCTCATCTCCGATAGAAAAAAGGTATGCGAGGTAGAAATTCGACCATAGGAAGTAAGGACTACAAGATGATTGCTACTATTATTTAGATCTATCTCCTCAATATCACAATAAAAACCTCTATCCTGATTGTCGTGAATTTCCTCTAGCAGCAGCAGCGATGGCGGTTATCTTGACGGAACAGTGCCTCGGTCAGCGCGTGCCGACTCAGACGACCGTCGGCGTCGCGACAGTGTCGTCTTCGATTGCCAATAACGTGCCTCCCGGTGCGTCGACTCCACCTTCATCCTCACGACCGAAAAAGAGCGACTTCGTTGGAGCTTCTGCCGCCTCAGGTTCGGATGACGTGTTCAAGAATGATAAACACGACTCGCAGAAGAAGACAAACCGAGACGGACTATTCTTCGCAGAGTTCTCGCCGTGCGACGCCTTCGTCGCGGCATCAGATTCTAGTGGTCGAGTGCACCTCCTGCATGCAGCAAACGACTTCGAGCCATTGCGAGGAATACTGGAGTGTGGGAGAACCAAAGTTATGCTTATGCTTTGCAGATTTTTTCATTTCGAGAAGAAATTACGATAACATGAAGCTCGTCCCTGGACTACAGCCATTATTTGTTTCTACGTTCGTCATGGTTTTCGTTCTTGTCGTGTCCTTCACCAAAACCAATCTAAGACGTGCAAGCAGCGTGCATCCGGTTGTGCGTCTGTGGCTTTCAAATGGCGACCAGAAGGCGGACACATATCCCAAAAAAGCCTACTGACAGTTGCACGAACTGATGGCTTCATTCAGCAGTTCCACGCATCGACCGGCCGATCGCTTGGAGAAACCGACGCATACGAAGCTGCCGTGGCTGGTGGGAACGGCAGTGGCGATCCAGACGCATTACCAGCACTCTTCTGCATTGACTATGTCCCAGATGGTAAATTCAACGATTCGTGTGGAGATGTAGGTGAGGTGTGCAGCTGCACTAGTTGGTGTGAGGTTGCTGATGAAAATTCTAAAACCTGCATCACGAACAAGAACATGAAGATGCATAAATTACAATTAGTCTGTCTGCGATACCCTATGAATGGGTACACTATGAGTATATATATTTTATATGACTACCACTACTACTGTGTCATAGATATAGATATAGATCATATTCGTCTTCCAACAGGTTCACAGTTTGCGACGGGAGGTAAGGAACCAGAAGTCTTTATATTCGACGAGATGACCAAGAAGAAGATGATGACATTACAGCGAAGTGATAAGAACGGTGGTGGACACAACAGCCGCGTTTGTGCTTGCAAGTTCTCTAGCCGCTCATTGCTTGTTACCGGAGGTTGGGACTCAACTCTGCAATTCTGGGACCTGCGAAAAGGATCCAGGAGCGTCCAAAGTATCTTATCGTTAATGGGCAAGTTCGTTGCATTTTGGTAGATGCAAGCGTCAAAGCATGCCATCTTTGATATTCAAATTCAACAACCCATTCAGGTGTATACGGGCCTTCGCTTACTGGTCCAGCGTCGCTTGATGTGTCAGGCCCGCTCGTCTTGACAGGCAGCTATCGCCAGCAAGACTCCTTGCAGTTGTTCGATATGCGAAAGTTGTTGGGTGGAAGCGGTACCGGCGTGCTGAATTCGCTCGGTCTGTCATCCATAGACCAAGTGGCTGGTAATAAAGAGCCTAGCTTCTCTTGCTCTTCGACCGAAGCCTACCTTTTTTTTATGTTTGTTTTTTATGCTGGAAAATTGACTACACGTAGTGCGCCCTAGTGGTAAATGTAGCATGATAACGATAGATGCTTCTTTTTGTCGATTTTCTCTTCTCTCCTGAAATCGTCAGATTTCGCTCCGCGTGATGTACAGCTGACTACCGCTCAATTCTCAGCAAGTGGGTCACATATTTGCATAGCTGGATCTAATCGGGACGCTAGCAGTGGGTTTCTTCGCGTTTCCGGCAAAATGGATTTGGTGCTGCATTCAGGATCCTGTTCTAGTGCAATGTTTGCCAACAAAACAGAGAATCTCGTGGTTTGCACGTCGCGCGACGGTGTCCTACGAGTGTTGCAGGTGTAATCTCGGGATTCTCTTGTGTTGTGCAGTTCCCTGGGAGGGACGGTGACTAGCATTCATTCACTTTCGTTCAATTTTCGCAGCACAGGAGACGATCTCTGCGTCTACGGAAATCATAGACATTTGAACTACGCAGAGAGCATTTTGTGAACGTCAGTCATAGCCATGAAAAATAGACACTAGAATCCGAACTCAAAGCCATGCATCTGAGTGTTTGCGTGCTTGAAGGTCAGCCTCGGGGAGCGTCCTTTAACCGAAACACTCTCCGAAGAAGGAACGACGTTCAGAGGAGCATCGTTCTTTGAGGCGGTTATCGTCAACACTGTTCTCGTAATATTTTCGAGTTGCTACCGCTTCTTACTGAGGTTCGCCTTCTTTTGGCTGCTTGGTAAGGAAAATGCTGGTAAGATTTGTTAAGCCACTGAGCTCGTGCCAGAGAAGCTGAGGAACCGACTAGCTGCATACTTATATTGAATACTAAGAATAAGTGTAAGTATTTTATTGAGTCTACCAAAAGCAAAACGAGTTTAAAAGCAGGAGCGAAGGCTCACCATCACACTCAATCTCAAGCAAGAAGGTGGGGAAATGTTCGCCGTCGCTGGTCGCAATGCTGTGCGTCGCGCATGGACCGCTACAACAGGCGGCGCGAGTTCATTCGGTTCCGCAGTGGGCTCGGGTGGTGCTTCAAGTAGCAGCAGCAGTAGCACAGGATCGCGAACGCAGGAAATAATAGGACACGCCGGGGTGCGGCTTGTTGCGTTTGGGTGGGGATTTTTCATAGCGGAAAACCTGATTTTGTCCGAAAACAGAACGCGAATCATAAATCGGATCGGGGATGCAGGCTATCACTTTCTCTACAACACGTGCTCAACGCTAAGTTTGGGATGCATAGCATGGGGCTATCTAAACCACGGAAGGAGGCAGGGGCCACTGCTTTGGAAGGTGTATAACTTGTGCTACTTGATGTTCGCAATCTTACTTACAACACGGCTTTGATTCAGATTTCATTCGTCAGACTTACCTTTCTTTCAGGGCTTCGCGCTTTTAGTTTAGCCTTAATCCAACCTCGTCAAACCTCTTTGTCTTAGGTCACGCCAGGGATGCGAGGAGCCAGTATCGGATTTTCGTTGCTAGGCGCGTTAGGATTCGCACAGCTTCTCCCCACGCTTAGAAGCCCAGCGTCTTTCGTTAGTGCGTTGTCCGACGCCTCGGCGTCCAGGAAAAGTACTTACTTGTGGCTATCTCGCTGTCGTCATTCGCCACTAGAACATGTCATTCTTACTTATACTAACTTGGAAAGTCATATGTGAACATGAAGCAGACCATGGATGAGATTGGTTTTAGTTTCATCTTAATCTTTACAAAATTATTACGGGGCAGAAACATGACATTAATGATCTACTATTTCAACATACTCTTTTGACCAGATCTATGTCCGATGGATTTCGAAGCGGAACGACGGTCATCAACCATTACCACACCACACGGAATCAAACGCATTACGCGACACGGGTCCTTGTGGTCATTTGCAGCACTCTCCGTCGGCTGTGCGCTTAGAACGCCCTTTGCGACGGAGGTAGCACTGTTTCTAGGACCAGTGCCGACAGTTCTCTGTCTCGGCTGGCATATGGACTCACGATTTCGGAGGCAGATGGGCGGCGATATTCTAGAGCATCACGGCGCAGATTGGCCCTTCACAAGCCACCTGCCATTCGGAGCACTTATCGGAGGCGCGCAGGAGTGGGCTCCACTCCTCGAAGAGTGGAAAAAGACCAACGCGGCCGTCGCCGCAACCTCTGTCGCGTTGTATGCGCTCGCACACTTTCGGAAATAATTTTTTGAGCAACCACACACCAGTGAACAACATCACGTTCTTTTTCTGTATTCCTCCCCGAACGCATTTTTTGTGTTATTCATTGCTAGGCGTCACCATCGGGTGACGGCCGAAGCATCCAATTCTATGTATCCTATCTAAGCGCAGCGACTTTCATTGTCCTCCCCTCCTCTTGAAGAGTCAGGATTAACGATAGTTGGACGCTGCACTACTCGAGGATATACCAAAATGAGGAAGATGCAGTCTGCCTTACTGCTGCCAGAACTTTTCCGCTTCCAAGTCATTCTTTGAGCGAAGAGATTGATACGGAGAGAGCGGTTGAGACAGAAGCAGAGAAAATCGTTTCTCTACTTAGGGCCCTTGTTGAGAGGAACTAGCAATGCGAGCGCATGATGCAGCGATGAGAAAAAGGTGTTACAAACGCATTTCTTTAGAGAGAAACATGGAGTAGGAGCAGTTGTCCCACTTTGTACTTGATATTTGAAACTTGTCTTGCTGCTCACTTCAGTGAGTACAATATTTTTGACTGGATCCGACGGGTGGAGATGAAAAGCAAACGGACAGACGCAAGTTAGAGTTTGTATTGCGACTGAGTATGCTAGGAAATCGAAGTCAGAGCAGAGCTCGTCTGAACATCGGTAATTACAAGATCGATGTCAAGGCAGTATCAGTAAACCAATAATTTTTTCATCCATGACATCTACATCAAACATATCAATCTGATGCCAAGCACTGCAATTCGCGGGACTGTGACATACACGAAGGAGTTTCTGCCAAGATAGAAAGAGCGAGCTTCTAACAAGCTCGTTTTTCCTGTTACCAGAGGCACGCTGTTTTGCTCAGCACGCACTTACATTTCTGGACTATTCTCCTAAAGGCAGAAGAAGCACGATCATGCCGGAGTTGGTGATTTCTCCCACCGCTGACGGCGCAACGCTGTCAAAAGGGATAGTTGTAAACACGGAGGATGACTTTGAAGACATATTAAGGGTTGAGACATTTCATTTTTACAAGTCTTCTGTACTTGAGATTGCTACTAAAAAATGAAATGTTTCAACCTTTAAACGTAGTGGATGACCACGATGATCTGGGCTGCGGGAGTGATGATGATTTTTGCATTGAAGGCGATGCTTCAGAAGGTGCATTCGACGAGATCGTCGGTGCTCTAGAAGACATCGTCATCGGCGATCCATTCCAGAAACTCATGAAAGAATTCTGTACCTGCTACAAATCCTTATTTGATTCTTTTCGTAGTCCCGCAAGAAAATAGTGATTTGTCGTACATGATAGATTATGGAGTTGGAGATGAATCAGACTTTCTTTGAGACGTTTTTGGAAAAGTCTACGATGTTTTAAGCAGTGGGCGACTAATCGATTACTTCCTACTTAAATTCTACAACCGAAGTACAACCTTCATTTTCCATCTCCACCAACAGCTGACACACATTGCGGAACATTCGAAGACACCGAGGAAAATAAACTGGAGTACATGGACATTTTCTCCAAATGGACTACGAGCATAGAGGGCTTTCTGGAAAAGAATTTGAAGTTAAGGCACAGGATGACTCATTTTTTTTCACAGGGTCTTATTCTTTTTCTTTCTTTCCTACGTAGAATTCAAGTGAGAAACTGAAGAGCCAAACCCAAAGAAATGAGATATTTTGATCTCTAACGAAGTTCGCAATTCCAGGTTTTGTTATGAAAGATTTCATCGAAATGCTGTCGGAGCGGAAAAACATAGAAGAAGAAATCGTCGAAGAGGTAGAAGCAAAGTCTTTTTACGAAGGACCCAGAAATTGCGGATTTACAATAAGTATCCTCTGAGAAGAATGAAAGATTCAGATCGGAGGTAGAAGACTCACTGGCTTCTGAAGCGAAAGCCCAGACCTCCTTCTTATTACATTGATGATTACACCCCAGGTTCTCGAGCTGCTACTTTCGGTGAACGATTTTGAAACTTTTAAGCAGATGATGCTGACACATAAAAAGAGCAGGCCAAGGGCGGCAAGTCTGGCAGTATCAGGAAGAGGCGCTCGCATTTACAAGGACGAGGAGGAGGACGGGACGCATCAGCCTGACCTCGATTTTGCAATTTGCGGCACCAAAAAATGAGTTGTTCGCTAGATCAGTCATTGTAGAGTGTGTGTTTACATTGATAAGGGGAGTACTAAGGCTAGGCGCATCTTCATTTCTTATATAGCTTTGGAGATTTTTTTGACATTTTATACATCAGGATCGATTGCACGACACATCAAACAGGGTATCGACATCGAGTGGCTGCATAGTAGTACACATGCATTAATCATGCTGATCGAACTACAGTGTGGGACTCTATCGACGTGCAACATACCTATTCTCCATACCGTTTGCGAAATGACTGGAAAGACATCGCTTCTCGGCTGAGCTCTGATGGTGTACAAGAACAGGCACAGGTCTTCTTAAAGTAGATTGCGACTGCCGAAACCGAGCCACCAAATGAGGGCTGCCATCTGCGCCTTCAACAGAAGCTCTTTAAAAAGCTTAGCAAACCCGATTCCAGTGTGGTTTCGCGAGATCTTCCAATAGTTAGCTGGATCGGTACTAGCTGGATCTGTCGCTGACACCGAAACTCTTGCTGCAGCAGTTTCCGGGTTAATCATTTCAACATAAGTACTCAAAATGAGGGACTCAAATTTTTTGAAAAGAGCGCAGCAACGAGCGGACGGCTCGGAATAGCTAAGACTCTCAAAGCATGGAGCGGTACAATCGGGATTGTATCAAAATCGTACTATGGGGAAGAAACAAAAGGTACCTTGCGGCTTTGCCGGGCGTAACTATTTCCGTTGGAGCCTCTAGCGGACCAGAGGAAAAGGGCAGAGAATATGGCTTTTAAATGATTGAGTTCTCAGACGCAGTCAGCGATGATGTGGAATGCAAACTACAGTTAGCGGCCTAAGAATGTCTCTTATTGTGCATACGATCTAGTTTCAAAAACTATGCACCCGCCTAACGCCATACAGATTAGATTGATTTTCCATCTTCACCAACACGGTTGTGTGAGATGATGACCTCGATGACGGCTCGTGACACTAGGGTCGGGTTGCGCAGGCGAATCGGCCTTGGCGCGATTGTCTTGACGAATCAGGATATCGCGAAGTCGGTTGTCGCGCTCCGCACGCTGTCTCTGCGGAATAGGCACCAACGAGAACAGACTTGGTTCGACCGTCAGGTGTTGAACGTCTTCTTTACCGACCCTCGAGAGGTAACGACAGAGGTAGCAGCTGGCGTTGATACGTCTGCACTCGAAGTCGAGCCAGAGGATAGTCATAGCGTTTCCAAGGAAACTACATCATATGATAGCGAGGACGCTTCTCGATCGGGACAAGAACTAGTGCTACTGCAAGATGCGAAGGTTGTGGACAAGCGGCGACAGCCCACCATGGGCATGGCGCAAAGTGACTACCTGCTAGCAAATAAGAAAAAAAGCGCACATAGTCTGACTCAAAAAGAGGAAGCGGGAGCGGCTCCTGAAAGCTTGGTACCAGCTGGAGCGGTGGACGGAGCTACGCCAGGTATATTTGTGAGTAGACATGATCACTTTGCATTTCGGTAGTTTTTCGTTTATCATGTGTACTGCATGTTTTGGTTTCGATTTCCAACGTCACGATTCGTTGCGGTTCAGATTACTTCTGGTGGTTCAGAATGGTTACCTTCGGGTGCATGATTAAGGCTCTTTCGATCGCGTCGTCGCTATGCACACAATTCGCTCCGCTGCCGGAGGTGACTCAGATGCGGGAACAAAAAAAGACAGGAAGCAAAGAAGCACTCAGCTACGTGGCCATTGCTTGTACTATTTAACCCAATTCAGAACGGACTTTGTTAGAACATCGTCGCTACACCCTACGAGGTTAGCACATGTTGTAGCTTGACCGCCATTTATCTTTTAGTATATCATAGGGATGTGCAGAGCCAGAGTAGAAAATAACCAAACTGAAACTTATCAGATTTCTCATGGAGCCTTGTATTGTACGCAGAAATTGATATGCAGGGGACCGACTACTTTCTTTGTTACTTTTGTGCCAAGGTACCGGTCTACAGTGGTGCATGTACGGGACGTCGGCGTACCTGTACACTGGAAACCACGGTTTTTTGATTGTGGTCTATGCAAACGTGGTGGGCGCGTGTATGGGTTGCTACTATAGTTTCACGTTCTACCAGCACGTGGACCGATCAACGCGACAATGCGAGCGCATGCAGCTCTACATGGGCTGTGCAGTCACCCTTTTCACAATGCAGCTTCTTTTTTATCTTACACGCCCCCTGGAGCAGTTTCTCCTAGCGTCCGGCTGTCTGTCTGCGACTTTGTCGGTTGTCGTGACTCTAAGTCCGCTAGCTACGCTGCCAACGGTATTGCGGACGCGTTCCGTCGAGTCGATGCCAGTCGAACTTTCTCTAGTGATTATGCTCTCCCTTGCATGAGTAGTACGAGAAGCATAAGGTCCAGCGATGTCCTTGTTTGCAACTGAACAAAATTTGCCGCACTCTAATGTACGCTTTGGCAGTTCGTGGCTCTGGCTCGCCTGCGGCTTGATGCTACACGACTGGTGGATCCTGATACCGAATTACGTTGGCATTGCGGTAGGCTTCGTTTCGTGCTACCTCATATTCGGTTTTGCCGACCGCACCGGCATTCAGCAGCGCAAAATGATGCAGTACCCTCATGATGCAGTATCTTCAATGGCCGCGATGCAGAATCTGAGTCACGAGTGTTATGCCCGTGGCCGGGAGAGTACCGACGCTATAACATTGGTTTCGCATAATTTGTGCGAACCGAGCCAATCTTGCGCGAAGTCACTCGAGGGTGGTCAGTGTGAGCATTCTCCTCTTCTGACGAAGGAACAGGTGGTGGACAAGGGGAAGATGATACTCATGGGCAAAGAACTCGTGAGTTCTATCAGAGACGAAAAAAACCCAACTTCCTGCAGCGGCGGCCCCGATCAACAACATGCACCGATGTCCAAAGCAAGCACGCGGCTGTCGACCATCGGCGAGCCTCAAAGTATGTCCTTCCGGATCAGCTCAGCCGATGCAGCCTCGTCCTTCGGAGAGCCTTACTATGGCAGCTTTTCGCTCACTTCCGCTTCTACGGAATGCAGTGATTGCAATTCCGACTACGTTATGGGCGGCACAGGTGAATCCTAGCCCAAATGTCAAGGAGACGGGGAGTTGATGGTTGCGCACTGTCATCTGGTTCCTTTGTTTCTTATTTTGTCATTGGTTTCTGTTTGTCTCCCATAGTAAGGAGATGAGAAGACTTCCATCTACTTGTTTCTCTCACCTTATACTTTCGTTTTTCCAGCCTCTATTGATGCTACCGTGATTACGACCATAACCCAATTTGGATCTGGATGCACGGAGCCAGCCCGCACGTCGATAACCTAGAAAATGATTTTATTCACGACTACTGAATACTTGATGGAAAGTGTAGTAGAATAGATACAGTTACAGATGTCGGAGTCCTGCGCTGCAGAAACGACACAGCCAGATGATATTTCCTTTAGGATTTCATTCATACTTCATTCTCACCCACTATGTATTCGGTAAATCTCTGTGATGTAGTTTTTTGAGAGCCTTTATGCTCTAGTAGTTAAGCTTAAGCATCGTGTCAAGGAGCGGTACTGTAAATACGAGGAGGCTACTTTTTCGCTTAGTCTCTTCGCTACTCATAATGAAGGACGCAAAATGAGAAGCATTGGTATCTTGGGGGATGCGTTATTGTACGACATCAGAAGGGTAGTTCCGGTACGACTCCTCATTATTTTTTTGATGGTCTCATTCAATGTCTGTCTCCATTTCAATCCCTGGTCATGCCTATCAATCAATGTTGACTAGAACATTGGCGATTCAGACGTCATTTTGCGTGGTACCGACTTGTGTAGGTACCGGGTACGCTGACATGATCATCTATAAGAAGATGTTTTAACCACATCTGACAGATGAAATTTGCGTGACGGATCCGATGTGGCTCTGTGGACGAGTCACACTCGGGGAGCCGTTGTGTAAAAGGATGCTGAGTAGATGGAACGTCCTGAGGAAGATCCGGAGATAGAGATCCGACGTCGCTGCCACGCTTGCAGTCTGAAAAACCAAAAAGGATTTCGAAGGACGGGCCGCTCAAAAATAAACACAGAAAAAAGCGAGAGGTTACTGAGTGTGGTCGCCAAAAGAAAATGAAAAGTCTATTAGACAAAGTTCACGCACCCGTACCAGTAGTTAAGTACCCGCAAAGTTGCCGAAACCGAAACCGATTGTGTTACATTGCCTTTTTGATTTTTTCGAAATTCTAGTTTCCGCAAACGGGGCCCACCTCGCAGCTTCCGACGCGAACAAGATGGACGAACAAAATTCGACTTCTTTGGACAAGAAGCAGAACCGGTGAGATATATGCGGCCACAGCTCAATGTACTAGAAGTAATTCTCTTAAAAGCGTCCGGCACTTCCACTTGTCGTGTCCATCAAGAGTTTTCCAATACTGAAGGTGTACCCGCTGTACTATTTTTAGTTTCTAAAAAATATGAAGTCAAACACAAAGTCTAAGTCAAACTCAAGGTGTGTCATCCACCACAACACACTGTGAAAAAAACAAAAGAAACAAATGGCGTTCTCCGAGCGTCCAACAGTGCGCGCTAAGAGAGCGTGAAGATCGTTGTAGGCTTCTCGGACGAAATTGAATATGTCCGAGGAAGCCGAGAAGGAGCCGTCATTGGCCGAGGCAGATGCAGCGCCAAATCCGTCAGGCTCAGATGCCGGAAGCGCTGCGCGTGACGCCAGCAAGAGCGAGTCGGGAGCAGGTAGCAAGCCGTCGGATGCCGAAGACGAGAAAGGCGAAGATGCGGTCGGTGAGGAAGAAGAAGAGCCCGGCGAGGGAGCTGAGGATCCTAGCGAGCCTCTTTCGCCAGAAGAAATGGAACGAAAATTACGGGCGCAAGGAACACAACTCGAGCGAGCTGACTACTGGCGGCCATTTTGGCTAAGGGGACGTACTACTCATACGATATTTCCGAATACAAAGCACTGGTCGTGGAGGAAACAACGCAATTTATAATCCACAGGAAGAATGACTTTGATTTTGCCTTTTTTTTCTCAGCGAGGGAGTCGTTACTTAAGTATACTGCAATCTACATCAGGTAACTATGCGGATGATGAGGAGACAGCAGAAGCATTCACTGTGAGCCGTGCAGACATGATGACATATCTGAACACGCAGCTTTGGTTTAACGAGGCAGCGTGGGGCATCCCTTTCACCATGTTTCTCTGGGCTTTTTTCCTGACTCTTCTCGCACTTCATGTATGACTGGAATAATGAAAGAATAGTGAGTTCTGCAATTATAGATACTCTTGTAGTTAGCTGTGCAGATCCGGCATTTCTTGGACTTGGCACTTTTATTTTAGCTTCCCTCTCCTTTCTTGGTCTACTCTTTAACTTCTGGCGACATCGAGAGCAATTATCGTGTGCAGCACGCGGTTGGAGGCGCGTTGACGTCCGTCGTAGGGTATGCAGAACTTGGAAACACGCCAGCAGGCGCCGTAAACGCCGACACCTCCTTCTGCCCAGCCACATGCCATTGCGCTTGTGTTCCACTTATGGGTGTAGGGAATTCATCTCCAAAGTCATCGTGAAGAGAAAGCCAAGAAGAAAATGGCACCCAGAAATCCCCGAGATGAATCCCCTACGCGTCTAATCCACGCAAGTCTTTTTCGGAACCCGAAGCATGCCAGGTGGATGCCTTGAACAGGAACTACCTTAATATTAAGTATGGCAGCTGTCAGTGATTCTGAAATAATTTGTTGGAAGGCACCAGATGTTTGAACTTCTTAGAAAGATATATGCATCCAATTCCAAGCAGAGAACATGAGCAAGGAAGCAGGTAATAACTGCACGCATAATCAGCACTCGAAAGAGGGGGCTCTAATCCACATCAGTTGTAGATGGGGCAAAATTTCCGGAGTACACACAGGAGCAGCTGCGTTCTCAGATGTTCACTGAGAAGCAGAATAACATGCAGTACCAAGAGCCAATGCCCTACGATGACGTGAACGATATCACTACTTTTTGGTTCTGGTTACAACATGGTCTGCTACCTGCTCTTTGGCAAGAGAACGACTTCGAACGCCTGGACTCACTCGCCACGAGCCTTAACATAGAGTATAATTGATTCTTAAGCTTTGAATCTTCCATGCAGAACTAACGAATTGTTGTAGGAAACTGCGAGGAGTTGTTATTTTTTGAAACAGCCATACTCTCAATGAATACAAAATCAAGCTTAGAGATCACTTTTGTGACGTAGTCGTAGCGAGTCGGAGTAATTACCTGCATGATGTCTATGCCTAGCCCCAAGACTCACTGACTGTCAAAAAAAATAGGACAAGTTCTACGACGACGACAACAACGACGACGACACCAAGCGTTGGAGGTGCCACTGAAGGAAACGTCACGTCAACAGTGCCTCCGATTAAGGCTTTACCCAATACATCTCTTCTATAGAGATCGATGACCGCTCAAGAACAGTCTGCGTCCCAATACGAATACAAGGGAAATACTCGTGAGGCATACTGTTCACTGTTGAGGGATCTATTCCACAGGGATGAATTGGGGAGAGGTCTAATACGATTACCACGCGTGCGCCTGCTGCTCTAGTAGCGCCGATTGCAGTATCCGAAAAGCCTGGGCGACTGTATTCGACGAACCAACTGGTACAGCATACCCTCTTTATTCGAAATCCTCTTTATTCGACAAACCAACTGGTACAACATACCCTCTTTATTCGACAAACCAACTGGTACAACTACACTGTATTCGACAAACCAACTGGCACAACTACTTTATTCGACAAATCAACTGGTACAAAATACCCACTTTGGGACATCATGGATTTGGTTCTGCTGTCATCATCTTGTTTTTCTTCTATCATCAACATCATCGTCACCTTCTTCTTGTTCTTCCCTGATCAGATAGGAGGAGTGCGGTTGCGACAGTACCGCGTTGAAGAGACGAACGATTGTGATGTTTCAAGTGATCTACAGAGCTTCTATGATGCCAGATGCAGAACCAGTGATCCGGACACAACAAGCCGACTTAGAGGCATTGCTCATCTTATGGTCAGCTTTTTTTCTAATCACAACTAGCTGTTCCACTTCGACTTCAAGTACAAGGGGTTAGTAGGGTCATAAAGTTCTATTCTACTGCACCTTTCTCGCTCTCAGCATCTCGATGCCTTTGCTTCCTCTTGAAAATACAAGAACGGCGGAAATAAGGGTCTCGAGATGAGGGGACAGAGAGGGACTATACTTGATTTACTAGAGCATTTTCTAATGATCCATGTTTCACGATGCATAGCGAAGATGAGGGGATATATGATTGTCCTTTTGACATAGATACCCAACTCGCAACAAAGAATGGGCCGCTCGAAACTGTGGAGTATTTCAATTTCTTCGATTTGATGTAGAACCGATTTTGCCGTGTCGTAGTTTTTCAAAAACATCTTCAGGTATTCATGCGTCGTAACTACTCTGAAGTCAACGAAAGAATTCTGTCCTCAGGTTCATGCTTCAGCCCAACGACTGGATAGACGGCGCATCGGAATACATCGAACTCCAAGCAGCTTTTTTCAATGCAGAAGTGCGACTCTACTCCTTCGCAAAACTCAGATTCACATTCGAAAAAGGAGGATTCATGCACAAAACTGTGAAGGTACGCCTAATTCAGTACTCAAAAAATACGGGCACTAGCTTCAAGATCCATATTGTAAGACCCATTCAGATTGATTAGTAGCTTAGCAAGAAAAGGTCTGGCAGATGAAATTATGCGCCTTTCAATTTTTTGCTTGAACCATTCAACTACATCAAGCAGGTAAATGCGCTCTCGGAGAATTTGTACCCGAGTTTTTGGTACATAGTCCCTGATCTTATTTTTCTGGGGATGGTAAGCACACTGGCCTATCAGGAAGGTGGAGAGGTGATACACTTTAAGGATGTGGAGAGAAATTCATCGCGGTCTCGACCAGAATCATCTTTCTAGATGAAGGACACAGGAAGATGAAGCGGCTAGGTCTTCAGAAGATGAAGATGCTTCCTCAGACGATGGGTTTCCTTTCGTGCATTGCCGGCTAATCATAGCAGAAATACCGGGCTTCTTAAGTATTACCTGAGCGATTTCTGGAACCTCATCGATTGGGTCTCAATTCTTGCGGGTTTCGGAATTTCCTTCCTATGGTTCCAGATGGTGATTGCGACAGGTCTTCTTGGCGACCAACTTGCGGAAATGGTACCAGCCCCAGCCGTCATCACACAATCCTATCGTGCGAAATGGGGTACTATCAATCTCATGTTTCAAAGAAGTGTCAGCCTCTTTATCATGACCAGGAGCGTACTTCATGCTTGCTCAGGCAAATGATAGTCCTGCCTTCCTCCAACTAGATTTTTTCAATCCTAAGATGAAATAGAAACGAGTCTGTTTCTTGCCAGGTAAGATCCTCGACGAGTTGGATACGTTGGGCACGACACAAGAAGTGCAATTCATGCTTCTCTACTGGTACACGCTGGTTCTGATGCTTCGATTTTTCAAGAATTTCCAGGGGCAACCACGTTTGAGTCAGATCTCAAGTACATTGATGAAGTCACTGGGTGACATGGTTCACTTTATCATTGTTTTTGCAGTCGTACTCATCAACTTCGCTATCGGCGGGAACCTCATGTTTGGGACGAGCAGCGAAGTACTCTTACAGATACTTATAATAACAAATAGATACATACTGTAGTAAAAGACAAATAGATTTTTTTGTTTGAGGACGAGGTAGATGCGCAGAATGACGGAGGACGGTAGGGTAGTGCCAGTACTTGGATGACTTCTTTGGTAGCTCGACATATTACGTCGTAGCACTGCGTAGGCTAACGAGAGCTCTACGAAAGATGACTCGATGCATGTTAGTACCAACAAATTTCTCTTTAATATCTAGTACTCCTCTATCCATACACGCAATCAGAACTGGGCAACGATCATGGACAGTGTGAATACGAGCATGATGGCGCTATTGGGAAACATCGATATGGACCAACTAATGCAGATATCACCCATTACCGCCTATCTCTGGTTTTGGAGTTTCATGGTCGTGAACTTCTTCGTTCTTTTGAACCTCCTGGTGGCCATCGTCTTCGACCATTACTACAAGTATTCAACTTCAAACCTAGTCTACCGCATCAAGAGCTCGTGTACTAGGTACAAGTTAGTGTAAATCTGCATGGTGTACTACCTCTTGTCACTCCTCTGCGCTGGACCCTGCATTTTCTACTTTCATTACAGATGATGATCTTTCGCTTTTGTGACAGAAAAATCAAATCTAAACGATAATTTCATTACACTGCAACATACCTCTTTTCTTAGTTTCCGAGATACCGTCGGCGAAACACAGGGTCTCGGGAGTCAAATCTGGGATGTCATGGGGGAAAAGAGCTGGAGCATGGATTGGTATTTGCAGCGGAAGCAATACCTGAAAAAAGGGATAATACCCAAGCCGGATTATCTTGTCTTCGAGTTCACGATTCGTGGGAGGACTTTCGGTATAGATCCAGCACGTTTTGGTTATCTATGGTTGGACGAGCAGATGGGCTACGAGGACGTCTATGAGGCTTTAATGGAAGAATCCCCTGAGGGACCGCAGTACGGCAGGCCAACACTTATGGCTACCTCTTCTCATGATCATGAAAACGATTGGTCAACATGCAAGTTGTAGAAGAAAATACACAATGAGTCTAGTTCTCGATATGGTGAGAGGAGCAGGAAAATGCTTACGTCAATATTTGGAGTACAGATTTTTGATAAGAAAAGGCGGCGTGCAGTGAGCTACAGGATGATTCACTTTTTCTCCTGGCAAAGCAAACACAAGGAATACTTCCTTGCATGCATTTGTTTCTAAGGATTTCCTGGAGCAAATGCAGAAGAAGCGCAACGCAGATCGACAAGCGTTTGAGGAAAGCCTGCGGAAGGATGGGAAGATCTTTAGTCGTTCGCCAGCCAAAGAGGCAGAAGGGGTTGCAGGATCGTGTCCGGGTACTGAGGGTGCCCATGCGTCGCCGTTCGACTTGGAAATGTCAGATACGGACTTCGAGTCACACGCGGACGGCCGCGGCACGACAACGTATGGAGGCAGCAAAGGTAGTAGCTACGTCCCGCCACGCGAACGCGTAGGCCAGAACATGGCGAAACATGAAACGGACAGGCGTAAGATCATTGGAGCCGGCCGGAGACGGACGAACAGCAAGCCGATGCGGGGTCTTTTTGCCATTCGTGAGGAGGGAACGTTGCGCAGCACGAGCAAGAACAAAAACATTGAGAAGTTGCGGAGCGCCATGACCGCGAATAACATGCACATGTTACGAAATTCGATGAACATTGCCAATGAGCAGATGAACAGAGGGGTTGGAGGATACGACTCAGAGCAGATCACGGGCATTCACCCCAATCACGGGGTCTTCGGCGAAGGGCATCATCGTATGGCGGATGACGACGACGAAGACAGCAAGCCCATTTTAGTCGGTGACGGCGAAAGTAGCGGCGGGAAGGAGTCCTCAGCTGCAGGCCGTGATGCGGCCGAAAAAAAGGAAGAAGGAAGTGAGTCACCAGGAGGTGGGTTAGATCATAGTGGCTCTGGTGCTGGGACATCAGAAGGCGAGGGATCAAACAAGGACGACGCAGCAGACGCGAGTGGGGACCCAGATGTTAGGAAAAAGAAGACCATGTCAGCTTTCCAGAGGCACGAAGAGCAGCTTGCGTACCTTCGGGAGCAGATAGGCGTCGCAGAACTTGAAGTAAAAAGCATTCCTTATAACTTTTCGGGGTCAGGTCCAGGTGAATTCCGAAGGTAATATCAGTCGTCGTCTAAGAAAATTGCCTGAGTGCAATTCATGAGTCTTCATCCAATATTCAATAACCTATGAATCGTTCTGCAGGAACTTGGTGTGGAGCCTCGCTTCGCACGGCACTTGATGTTGAGGTGTAAAAAATTTGTGCTAGACGAAACGGGTTACGAGGAGAAGCGAAAGCAGGAACTCACGAGTCTTGCACGCAATGCGGCAGATTTACTTAATGACATTCAACACGAAACAGTTGCCTTAGTGAAGCAAGTCAACCTGGTGCTCGAAGGAGTTTGCAAGAGCTGTGCGGATCTTTCGATGGATGTCGACGGAACACACATGAAACTCGCGAATCTACAACGGCAGCGCGGCGTCATGGCATGTCGCGGTACTCTAATGAACCGCCGTGTTTCTCTCGTTGCAGATCCATATTATTATACATAGGACACAGATGATAGTCATAGTTTCCACCTAAGACAAGTTTATTCTAAATTGAGGTCGACGAACGTCAGCGTGATTGATGTAGTAGATACTTTCAATTTAGATTTTTAGGCGCGGGCTATTCGCGCAAGAACAACAATTTGTTTATCGTTAGACATGCACTCCAGGTACCGCGGTTGCTGCGTTACCGTATTCAGAGCAGCTGTGGAACCAAGGAAAGATGACCAAGACCGTTCCCGGTTTGCAAGAAGAGGAAGACAATCGAAGGAATGCGGCCCTTGAGCTGCTCGGCGGGGTTGGAGCAAAAAAGGCTTTCAAGGCTCTTCTTCCGGTTGCAGCTGCATCTTCGGCGAAGGGGTAGAAGTGGTCGCGATTAGCAGAGAATATAATGTAACAAATAAAAGCTACGTCCCTAATCCAATTCCAATCTTCTATTGATACAAGCAGAGAATCTACTGCTATGGCCATATGAGGCTACAGACAGTATTAACATCTCTACTCACACAAATTCCAATCCATTAGCACATCTAAATCTAACACGGGCTGACAGGGAAGGAATAGCATCTTGTACTTTCTCAGGTACTGAATTATTTTTGAGAAAAGTTGGACTTGGACTTGACATAACACTGTACATAGGGAGAACTTCTTTTTCTTGGGTTAGAATAAACGATTCTCAGCAACTATATCTGATGGATAACTCTTAAGCCGACGTTGAAATTACCCGAAAGCAACACCACGCACACTATAACCATATCCGAAGCCTGAAGCAGCATATGACTTCAGTTCTATCCTGCTGCATGCATCAATTACTTCAAGCGTGAGCATTCTAACTGTTTCCATATGTTGTAAATGTACTCGGTTTCGCCTTGACGGAGTGTGATATCTAAAGAAGAATTCAAAGGTTTTTTTTTCGTAAATCGATCTGACTGTTTTTGGGCGTTATCCATGAAAGGTTAGTTACCTCCCAGTCGGCCTTTCTGAGAAGAAGCATTGGCAAAAACAGAAGCCACTATGTCTGCCGCATGCATGAAAGTAGAGTGTGTTCAGCTGTGTCTACGGCCGACCTTTGGAGCACGCAAACAGCGTCTGGGTGTAGCGGTTGGTTAGATCCTGCAGCGTGATGAGCCTCTACTGGAAGATCAAAAGGTTGAGGTTCTCAATCTGAAAGAATCCTCACGCATGTCTATGTCATCTTTGATGAAAAATTAAGATTTTGAACAACCAGTAGAACTCTAGTGCGTGAGGGCACCGACATCATCTTCAATAGATGATCATGCATGCGTGCTATGCATCAGTTGTATAGACGATGAGATGGTGAGATCTGATCAAGGTAAGAAATTTGCGTCAGGTTCTCACTTGTGATCGATGACGCGTATAGCACAGTGCATTCTGAATCGGTCTAGTGTGATTCAGTCTGGTGTTAGCAATTGCAAAAAATGTTTTAGTGGTACAAAAAATCAGCTGTTACAGCTAGCCTTTCTCAACTGCGTCTGCTTCATCCGATGTTGTACTAGCAATCAAGTAGCAGCTGAGCAATTATCATCATTTCACATACTTCATTCGCCTACTATCTATCGCAACTGGTGTAATTCCTCTTGCAGTTGAAGATTCTGTTGCAAAAGTATTTATGCATTTTTGCCATCCCATTTTGTTAGGGAAAAATCGAGTGAAGAAGGCAACAAAGTCGACCTTCTGTTTGAATATGTGGGCAGAAAAAACTTAAAACTAACGAGAAAAATAATGAGATCTTCGAATTAACGAACATACACGCGACGCTTCTTCTTTTACAATTAAAGACTTGGTTATCTGACATGATTCATTGGATTCGTATTTCTTCATATTAGAATTGATTGAAACTACGTCGCCACCTGAATCTTCTAGTATTTTCTACACTAAGAAAGTTTTCTTATAATTCTTCCGCCTAACAAAACTAGAAAAGTCGTATGTTGTGATTGCTCGCCCTTATTGTTACATATTTTTAACCGCATGATCGTCCTCGAGTATAAGTATCAATACCTTGATTTTGATATGCTCTAATCGAAGCTCGTTCTATTTTGTCTTCAGTCGCACTATGTATTTCGATTGATAAGTATTTTTCTGAATGGATTTCAAAGATTTGGTGGAGGAGCAGTAAAGCAATTGCGTTCCTCCCAATTCATGTGCATAGTTCCCATTCAGAGTGACCTAAGAAGTCGATTGTTGTTTGAGAACATCTTGCATCGTCAGTCTGTCACCACTTAGTTATTTCTACGTAGCTATGTTGTATTTCGTCTACAGCAGAAGTCAGGCATAGCGACTTCCTGTTGTTTGACATTTCGTGATTGGTGAAGTCAAACGACTTTTCTTCGTTAATAAAAAATCGACAGAGTTGTTGATCATAACTTAGCATCAGCAAAGATCTATATGTTTGTTTAGTAGCGGTTTATTGTAGTTCTATAACCAAGTAAGAGAGTAGTTCTCCGCATGTAGAATTAAGATTTACCGCGAAATCTAATGACGAAAGTGGTAGCTATTAAGGACAGTCCTCCGGTCAGCGTTAGATCTATTATCAATTCGTTTTTCATGTTTTTTTATTGAGACATCACATGTAAAATTCTTGGTTCCGCCTTTGGTATTCGTCGGACCCGCACAAATACATTAGTTTCAACACATATAATGCCACCTTTGTCGGCTTTAATAGTCTCAGTGTGACGTCCTGTCCCTAATTTCTTTTTGCAGTCGGTCGTCTTCTATTGAATTTATTATGCAGTCGTAACTACGAGATTCGGAACTATTAATATCAATATGTATCTAGTACGAATTGTATCAACTACTAAATCTAAATCTACTTACCCCACGAGGACCCTTCATCAAGGTTTTTAGCTCAATCTCCCATCCTTTCTGCTCACGACCCACGAACCCGCACCGTGGCAGATTGAAGGACACGACAATTGGGTCTGGTACGAGGCTGCCCTTGTGCCATTCTCGCACCGGCCTCTAGCATCTGTCAACTTATCCTCAAGAATCAGATATATTCTTCCGAAGTCGGACCCGAAGATCAAGCAGTCGGAACAAAATCTACCTATTCGTTCGGACGAACGAAACATCATGGGCAGTGTATACGAAATTCTCTCGTTCCTGGGGAATGAGATCTTGTTTTGGCTAGCGATCTTCCAGATCCTGGTTTTCGTGGCAGAGAAGGTGAAGGGAAAGTTCGTACTTGGGGGAAACGATAAGAAAACCACTTCCATTACGGCTAAGTGTAACTCTCTATGATATTTATATAGTTATTTATTTTTGCAAGAAGTCAACATGTCTCACTGTTTCCTTCGTAGGTAGGATTGTGAGAAGATGGGAGCAAGCATTGAAATGCTTTAAGCTCTAACTCTAACGGTGACCTGAGTGGTGCAGACGCAAAGGAGCAGACTTCTACCAAATGTGCAGCAGGTCCTGCTGCAAGTGATGGTCGCGGAGGTGCTTGTAGCAACGATGATGGCTCTGTTGGAGGACATGCCAAGAATCTTCGTGCTGCTGTCGAATGTGGTCCAAATGGGTCGGCTTCGCCGGGACTGCTGGGTTCTCTGTCGCCGGATCCTGCGAACAAGCTTGATGTTAGTACCAATGCTTCACAGCATTTGCCTGAAAGTGGTGATTTGCAGCAGAGCAACACAACTTTAACCCTCTTGCATATGCAAAATCCCGCTGGTCCTCTGGGCGCGACTTTGGGATCTACCTTGACACCTGGTGCTGGGGTGCAGCAGCGCGTTGCCGGCACGGCTTTCAACAGTGTTCTGGATGCGCTAGCTAGCAACGGGGGGGCGCCTGCAGCAACTGCCCACCTTTCGACGGCCGACGAGAAGAAGAGACTTCGCCGAGCTCGACGAAATCGCCTGAAAAAATCACTTCCCTCCACTATCCTGGAAGTCGAGGAGGAACGTGAACCACCCACACCAAAGCCGACATCCAAGAAAGAATCGACCCCACCAGGTATATAGATACTCGATGGTCTCGCTCCCGCCCAGGTGTGTCATTCTCGTTGGATTTTCGACAAGACACAAGCAACGCGCTCCCCGGGTTTTCTCTCAGAAAAGAACTATTTACTAGATATCGCGAAAACCTTGGGTCTTCTTTGTCATGCTCTAGCCTCTCACGTTTGCCTTGGCTGTTGCCCGATTTGTTCCACCTCGCTGTCCCCACGTCTTTGGTTGCCTTCGCCTTCCTTACTTCCACTTCCTTGCCCCCACCTCCCTGCCCCCACCTCCCTGCCCCCACCTCCCTGCCCCC